CTTCTCTCACTCGTTCACAATCAACCCAATTCAGAGGATACACGCTTGTCTTTCCTTTCCTGTTCAAGACACATTCACTCACTTAGCACGTACCGCACAACATAGTCATAATGTATTCGAAGCTGGCACCCATCTTCGGCACTTTGGCCATTGCCTCGCTCGTTTCCGCCGTCCCCGTCGAGAAGCGCGACATCTACTTCGGCAACCGGGGTGGACACAGCCAGAACTGGGGCAGCTCCGGTTCGGCCTCTGCCTCTGCTCCTGCCAACGGCTACTACACCCCCTCGGCCAGCGCCAGCGGGGGTGGCGCTCCGTCACAGACATACGGCGGTCAGCCACCGTCGGGCTCTTCGTCCGGTGGCTCTGGCGACGGCAGCACCAGCATCTTCAAGTTCCCCACGTCCGATGGCTTCCCTGACATCCAGAACCCGTCAGATGCCTTGACCGCCATTGAGCAGGCAGCGCATGGTCTCCTGCCCAACGGACCACCACCGCCAAGCGCTCCCGCGGCCGACGATCTCACCTCGCTGAGACTCATCGCCTTCAACGAGCTCTTCGAAGTCGCCTTCTTCACGGAACTGCTGTTCAACGTCACCCACAACGTGGCCGGCTACGAGTACCAAGATCAAGGTGAACGCCAGAACATCATCGACGCCATCACCGCCGTGATTGCCCAAGAGAAGGAGCACCTCTTGAACGCCAATGGCGCGCTTGCCCACTTCAACGCCGGCCCGATCGAACCCTGCTTGTACCAGTCGCCGGTGTCGGATCTCAAGTCGGCCATCAGTGTCGCCCGCACCTTCACCGACGTCGTCCTCGGCACGCTCGGCGATGTCCAAACCCACTTCGGACAGAACGGTGACGCGGGCCTCATCCGTGGCGTCGCGGCCGTCATCGGCCAAGAAGGCGAGCAGAACGGCTTCTACCGCAGCCTGCTCGGGCTGATCCCCTCGGCCGCGCCCTTCCTGACGGCCTCGACCCGCGAATTCGCTTTCTCGGCCTTGAACCAGGCCTTCGTCGTGCCCGGCTCGTGCCCCAACGCCAACACCATTGACCTGCCCATCTTTGGCGCCCTCAGCCCCAACCCCCAGTTCCTCGAGCCCAAGGACCAGGACGTCACCTTCTCCTTCTCCGCCACGGGCGACTACTCCAAGTACGCGCAGAGCTACAAGAGCTTGAGCCTCGTGTTCATCAACCAGCAGAACGTGCCCGTCGTGGCCACCATCAACAGCGCCTCCATCGACCACAGCGGCACCGTCACCATCTCGGCCAAGTTCCCCTTCAGCCAGTTCCTGATGAACGGGCTGACCATCGCCGCCGTGGTCGAGGGCTCCGGTCCCTTCAACAGCATCACCGATGTGGCTGCCGCCACCAAGTTCGGCCCTGGTCTGATCGAGGTCAACTAAGCCTGTGCAATCGCTACTGGGACTGCCTTGGATGGATGGACTGATAGATGCTCAACATCAGCATTTCTGTGACGGGTTTATGAAACACACAAGAGACGGTACGACGAAGGATTTGTCTTGCGGCCAAAAGCTTGTAGTTCGGGGCGTGTAGTAGTTGGCTTCTCGCCGCTGGTAATCGTCGGAGTTTTGGTGTTTGGTTCTGGCATGATTCTGGGTCTGATTGGCGCCTATTTTGCCGACATTGGCGGCCTCTCTCGTGAGAGAAGAGATAGATACGTAACTCGTATTTGATGACGTCTTCTCCCACTGTTGATGTTTCGCTTCTGCTCGGACTGGTGTGATTGTCCTTGATTTCGTTTTCCCAAGTATGGCGTGCCCCAAGGCGAACCGCCGAACCATGAGAAATGTAGACTAAGAGGTGCATTGAAGATGATAATGCCCGAAAATCAGTACACGACCAGCTTCATCACATCGACGGTCCGAAGAAGCCCAGTCTACTCGCTCGCCCACTGTACTGCACCCTAGGTGGACACGTGGCAATCCCATCCTCGACGTCGGCACACGTCGTCCTCCACAATCGCTCCAACCCCTCCGCCAGCTGTACAGAGGGCGTTATCCGGGACCTGGATGCCCGTGGTCACGGGCCCTTATGGCACATGGTCTCCTGCGTGTTGGTAGAGTAAGCGAAGAACTTCACAAAAAGAGGTCTAGCTGGACAACGGGCAGAGGGAGCGGGCAGATGGCTGGAAGCCGTAAGGCATGCGCACGATGGTGGTCGCGGCCCGGCGGAGAACCTTTCCTGTCGTTGTCCTAACGGAGCCAGGGTGCATGTGTAAGAGTACCGTCGCGAGGTCGTATGGTGGCAGTCTGCGATCGAAATTGCGCAGCTCGGTGGCTTGTTGCCCGGTGGCGGCAACGGCGTCGTTCAGCACGGAGGCCATGGGGCTGAAATCGATCGATAGTGCTGGGGACAGGGATTTCGCGTTGTCCGATGTACTTGCAATCTTACACCGTGGCTGGTTTGCGGGAGCATCGTCCAATTGTAACAAGGTCCTTGGAGGTGGAATCTTCACCCGACACAGCTTTGTAATTCACCTCGCAGTAACTGAGGACGTCGATCGGTATCTCTGAGGGGAGGAGAGGATGCCGCAGACATAGCTGGAAGTGGACGTTCTCGCTGTCGCTGCCTCAAGGGTTTCCTGACTGCCGGATGAAGCTGCAGTTTTCGCAGTCTCCGCATCTGGCACGCTTCATCGAGCACAGTAGCGCATTGTGGTTCTCGTCTATATTGTCTTTGCTTTGTTGCATCCGCAGCCGAATCTCGTCGATGGTGCCCACCTCCATCATAGGCTGGTTCCGCTCGAACCGACACACGTCCGACTGGGGCAGGCACAATCTCTGCCTTATTTCTCGTGACTGCTGTCTTGTTCCGGGGGGTAGTGGTCCGTATGCGATTAAGTGCGTGGTGAGTGTTTCGATGTCCATGCAGATAGAATGGCGGACGGGAGAATGCAGGCGAGCTGGCAGTGAAGAGTGTCATGAGCGAGAGCCCATCGCCACTGTCTATATTGACTAAGCATGGATACACGTGATGTGGGTGCGGTGCAGATCACGATCCATTCACCATTTTCTCACCTTTCCTTCAGCCCCTCACCAAATACCCCGCTCAAACCCAACAGCGCCGTCGATGCCGAACACCCCCGGTTTCCCCCGAAAGCGGCAGCCATTAGCATTACTCCCCGCGACAAGAGCTTGTACAGAGAAACCCGTGTCTTGCGTTGCACATGATCAATAGGTAGCAGGAAAAGGCAGGGAGATCTTGATAATGGAACCGGTCGAGAAACGCCGCTTGCAGATTGCCTGCCGGCGCAATATGTCGGAGCAATCAGAAGGAGATTTTGTCACCCGTAATTTGACGCCACTTCTCGTAACGGTCATGAGTTCATCATGAGCCCTGCGTCATCAAGCCTTGCAAGAAGGATGAGCGAAGGAGGAGCGAGAGTGGCGGCAAAGAGCGAAAAGGCTGGGTGAGGAAACAGAACCAGCGGGAATGATCTGACACCGCACATTACTGCATGGACAAGATGCATCTCTCACTCCAGGCCCTGGAAAAGATCGACAAATAGGTTGCCTCGGTTTGGGCTTCGTAATGTGTACTTGGCGGCAGGGCGCATGATCAGCTGCAGTAAAGCCAGGGACGAGGCCTTGTTGCCCAGGTTGACATGCCGCAGACGGGAGGGTTTGCCTGAAAGGATCACCCTGCTCCGAACAACAGCAGACGACACGTCCTCGTGGTCCGAACGCTAGAAAGAAGCTCAGGTATCCGAGGTGCGGGTGCTGACATGCAGCAAATGTTGAGGTCGAAGCCCTCATGCGGCTGGGGCTGCAGCGGTTGTTTCAGGACACGAGATGTCTACGAGGATGAGGCAGGGATGTTGTTTCACTAGCACCGCGAGCACAAGCCTTCAAGAATTTTGCTGTCCACACCATCCCCGGGTTTCTGGCACAGTAGGATGACATTGCGGGGTGTCGACAGCAGACCGTTGAAATGCCTCACGCGAGCTCAACTTAATCAGTGGGCGTGGTGGGAATAAAATTGAGATTGAAAAGCTTATGACGGTTCACGAGCTGGGGGAGCCAAAAGCCTCTTGAAGGCGAGAGTCAGATCCCTGAGAAGCTCAGGTGTCAATCAGTACCTGCTTTACGAGTACTGTGAAAGGCTGCTGGCTGCTGGCTGCAAAGATCGTCCCTCGTATTCTTCCAAAAAATTAATTGTCTTGATGCAGCCTTTTTGGATAAAGGTACGCAGCGTTGCTACCGTGGACGGCTGCTTCTCGCCCGCGACTCAAGCATCGCTCACCGGTCACTCAGCAGCTCACCCACCACTCGGCACCTGCTCGCAACGATGCCTCTTGCCCCAACCCCGAAACAAGCGGAGAGGGGCACCGAGGGCACTAAGCGGGGCCGACGGTGCCGCGTTTCAGGAACAGCCAGGGGAACCAATGGCGTCGCACCGAAGCCTCACAAAGTCTGTCATTTTTTTTCTTTGGCTTTTTCTTGCAGCAAAACTAATGCAGGCACCTTCGAGAGAGCGACCGCTCACGAGGGATTCCAGCTCAACCGACCCACCTTCAGAGGCGAATGCAGAAGCCGTGCACAGTAATCGGGCGCCGCGGTCAGGGCAAGAAATTCACTGTCGTCCACTGTGCATGCGATGCGCACTTGACGAGGCACCTCGACTATGCAGCTTCTACCGGAGTCCGCTGACGCACTTCGATGATGTGGCAAGATGAACAGAATGAGCAGAAGAGCAGAAAGAGAAAGGCGCAGGATATGAAAGTGTACAAGACCGTTCCACTCGCCCTCACCTCTCCAGCTGCTCAACTCATCCTTCAAGCATTGTGTTCAACTTCTTTTCGAGTTTCGGGTACCAGTGTCGTTGCGCATCTTCTCTTTTCTCTTGAATCTTTGTCAGTCTCTTCAGCAAGCACTCATTCGTCTTCAGTCTAGTTGCGCTGGCGCAATTCCGTCCTTTCGCTCGCTTCTTCCTCGACTAATATGAAACACTGCCACTAGCCACCAGATCAGCAACTCATGGACCCGCGTCACGGCAATTCCCTCTCGCCCGCCTGGCCTTTACCGGATGCGTTTCCCTCGACTGGTTACAACTTCACGGTGCCTGCGTCTCAGCCTCTGGAGCTCGCCGGCCTTAATCCTTACGCTCTTCCACATGCAAATCAACAAGTCCATTCGATTGAGCCGAACGTCAGGGATGCGGTCCACCTTCTGGCCACCTTCGGCCTTAGTCAGAGGCAGATCCGCAAACTTCGGAAACCACAGTATCGTACCGCGCTTTCCTGCCTTGCGCAGATAGGCGAGGATGACATTGACATGGCCTATATCGCGATTTTTTCAGAGCGGATGAGACCGACATCGGATCCGGTGTCCGCTCACCATCTCTCTGCCGTGCCCAGCCTCGTTTCAGACCAAACCAGTCTCAGGGCGTCTATGGCTACGGATTTCAGCATCCCCATGTCCGATAGTAGTGCCCATGGATCTGGACATGTCCCGAATCTGACCTATGGAACGGCCCAGTTTGGAGCAATCCCGGACGAAGCGAACATGGCCACGACAAAAAGCCTCCATGATAGTCAAACACCCTTCTTCGGTGTCTCTGACCACGACAAGATGGAGTACGAACCGGCTCCTCAGCATTTGGATCCTGTAACAATACCTCGACAACAACCGCGCCCTCAGGTCCTTTCGCCTAGACCAGATACTGCGGTGACACCATCTTCCGCGGCCGGAGAACGGAATCGCTCGAAACTTGATCCTGCGAATCACTCATTCTTCATTTCCAGCCACGACCGTCAACGCAATCGGCCTCCCCAACCCAGGTTTCCGTGTCCCGAACGTGGCTGTCGCAAAGATTTCTCCTCTACCAGGGAGTTTGCGAAGCATCTCTGCGGAGACCACGACAAGAATGTCATTTTCCACTGCTTGCATTGTCAACACGTTACTTTCCAGACAGGCCGTGCTGAAATGTGGACGAGACATCATAAACTGCGACACGCTTCATGTTTAACAGAGGGCAGATGCGTCCAAGAGACGCGTGGGCCAGAGAGGAAATATTGGGGCTGCGGGCTGTGCCTGGAGGTTTTTACCGACGCAAAATCGTACGCTTCTCATTATGCCGACCACTTCAAGAACAACAGGTCTCTAGAACAGAGCGACGTTAGCTCGTCCACCACGATTCAGAGCTTGCTCATGCAGGACGCCACCCACGAGAGGTGGCAGAATCGCAATGCCAGGAGTGTTGGCTATGACGGCTTGACGTATCATCGTTCATGGGACCGCGTTGACATGTCAGACATCAGAGACGCTCTGGAGTACGGCAGTTTCGAAGGAGCCAGCATTTCCGAACCAGATGTTGCTGAACGCCTTCTTGACGAGATCGAAAAACGGGCAATAATGCAGCCGAGTGGCACGCATCATCCTTATCCCGTCATTGAGATGTCCAATGCCTCTCTGGGAGGTGCCGGGCTTCTGCCAACCACGCGACTTTACGAGTGAAGTGTCGACATGCTCTGAAACATGCATCGCTGGAAGGACTCTTCCAGTATTGAGATCCCCTGCCGCAGCTGAGGTGGGCTTCTTCGTTATGGCGCTTTAACATCAACACACGACGACCATGCCACGACCCCATCGTCTAATGTCGGATGGAGTCACACTCGTGGTTCAATCATGTCCGACTACTACAACCATCCGATTCCAATCCCGACCCCCTTTGACCAGATGTTCCGACCATTCGTTCAACCAAATTTCACCATCATCCCATTTGTCTGTAATACCATGTTTCCAACCACAGCTATACCACAATACCCAATCATGTATTTCAACCACAGCTATACCACAATACCCAATCATGTATCTCAACCACGCCGAGAGACGAGCAATCCAGTTATCATGTTATCGACCCAAGACGACGTTACGAGTTCCAGACACCCTCCAGATATCCCTACTGTCATCATGTACTATCTATTATATATATCCATTCTATATATGTATTATGTATTATGTATTGAGTATTGTGTATCGTGTATTGCATAGCATATATCATTCTCAGCGGCATAACATCCGAGCCACAACAGTGCAACGGACCTGGATGAACTGTCTTGCTGTATGCAGTAGCGTTCCCCCTTTTTCACAGGCACGTCGTCTCTACGATTCATTTAGAGGCCCGGTGCACCAGCCCAACCCGCCTTGCACTCTATCCGGGATACAAGTGAGAACCAAGAATCGAGAACCCAAGATATAGCAGACTAGAGCGCAATACAGTATCCGCACAGCAGAGGTCCACATGGAAGCATCCGGCCAGGAGAACAATCCAATCCCGTCCAGTCCACTCTGAACCGCTGAACTCTCATCACTAAGACAGACACCACCCTTTCTGGGATGACGAAGGAAATAGTCTCTTTCGTCTGGATTATTCGTCTACATCTGTCACGCAGACCCTGGCGACCTTTAAACCCACAGGGCATACGTCGGTCTGTCCGCGGCTAGGTCTCTTCGTCCACGGACGAAACAGCCAGAGTTGCATCGTCACGATGTGATACTGTACTGTACCACTCACTATCTTGCCCTCTCGTTCTCATTCTTCGTCATGGCCCCGCGAAAACAAGGTCCCTCTCAACCTTGGCCAACCGTTTGATCCCCACAAAGTAAGCCTCCTTGCTTTGAGCTCTCGAACTCTCGGGCTTCTCACGATGGACCTTCTGGAACATGGCTTTCAGGGATTTTTCCAACGCCTTGTCCTCGGCACCTTGGTAGAACTTGCACACAAAGTGCCCACCGACTTTGAGCGTGTCGTAGCTGAACTTCAGTGCCGCGCGACAGAGGTCCTAAACGATGGAGGGGGTTCAGCATATGACCTAATCTAGGGGCCCACGTAGAGTGATTGGTGGCCCTTTGAGACAGAGGGAAGGATGGACTGATGATGGATGGGGTGGCTTGCACATTCATGAAAACTTACCATACTTCCGGCGTGGTCGCGGAACGCGTTCCCACTGGTATTCATCAACCTGTGATACGGGTTACTGATGCTCTTCTTGTACAGGCCGTCAAGCGGGTCCCAGGGTTCGCACATGTCGCTCAACACCACGTCGGCACACTTGTCCGCATGTGAATGCTCGGCGTCGGCGTCGGGCTCTTCATCTACCAGCAGTGTCTTCTCGACGTGGCTCTCTCGCTCGAGATAGCCCGTTGCTTCCTCCTCTAGCGTGGCTTGATCGATGGATTCACCGTGGGAGGAGGAGGAGGACGACGTATCGAGGAGAGACGGCCGTCGGAGCCGACCGCGATCCGGATCCCGAAGAAAGGCCTTGATCTCTCCTTGAATGTCTGGCGAGAGGAAGTCGCCCTGGATCGTGGACACGCCTTTGGGGGGCTGCACGGGCAGGAGGTCCACGCCGAGCACTCGCCCGCGCGGTTTCGTCAGGTCGATGGCTACCTTGGACGCCCCACACGTGTCAGTCTCAATATAGCCGTATCAGTGATAATATGGTCTCTCCGCTCAACGTTTCAAGCTTCCTTCATGTCTTGTTTTTCTTTTCCACGCCACACATCCTCACAATGAACCCCAAGTGCTCTTTCGTGGCGGACATGGACATGGGCATGGGTATGGGGACGCATATGTACCTGGCTCCAGCTCCCCGGCGCAAAGCCCAGATCCACCACCGTCATGCCCGGCCTGAACAGCCGGTACCGCTCATTGATCTGCAGCAGTTTGAATGCGGCTCTGCTTTTCAGGCCCTGGACCTTGGCCGCTCTGGCGAAATGGTCGCCCTTTTGCCGCTCAGTCCAGCGTCTCGTACTCGAGGACGCGCTCCGCCGCAGGGGAACTGGCCGACATGTCGAGCGTGAGGATGCTGAGTGTGAGGTGGAAGGAGATGATATACGACCAGCAGGTGATGAGGTACAGTTTCGCCAGGGGAGACATCTCGTATGGGTAGAGAACTGACTTGAGTGCGCCGCGGTGGGAGGAAAAGTTGTATGATAGACCCCAGCTGAAGAGCGGAGTAGATGTCGTGGGTTACATGATTGCATAGCACGCTCCTTGCGAAGTATGGAGCAGCGTGTTATACGAGGCGAAGCTTTGTTGGCGACGGGTGCGCAGGCTGATTTCGACAAAGTATTGCAAGTCGATCATCGGCAAATGGCTTCATTATTTGGGTCTTCAAACTCCGGAAGCAGCGTCATACACTTACCTCATCGGGGCTCGGATCCCCGCCGCTTTTTGTCCAGACAAGCAAGGGGAACGAGGTGGCAAGTATGAGTATAGCGCTCAACTACTATGATATACTCTAGTCTACACAAGATATGTGTCTCTACACAGGCCAGCTAATACAATGGTATACACCTGCTTTCCCCTCGTGTGATCTCGGTTTGGAACAACAGAGGTTTTGGTTCCGTGGGCGAAACACTGTCATTCCACAACATCCCATCTGAGCTTCTGCTCCGTCCTCTCTCAGCGTACGACATTTTCCTCAGCGTCTGGCAAACTCTGTTCGTCACCGAGCCTAGGGTCTCTGAGACACATCGAAAACCCGATCAAGAGCGTACAAATGCAGATTCCTGTGATGCAAAGCAACCTCTGCGCATGTTGGTACGACTCGATGATCGCCGTTCTGACAGGCGTACCGGCCGGATACAAACTGGCCATTGTAAAGGGGTCGGCGTAGGTTGAAGAAGCGAGTGTGGCATTGCCGAACGGAGCGAGATTCTCCTCGAGACGTTGAGGCAGAACATTTGTCCAGATGGTCCCCGAAATCGCACCGCCCAGGGCTGAGCCGATATTGTAAGTCGCCAGATAGAGTCCAGTGATGACGGCAACATGTTCATGTTTGGTGGCCGCTTGGATAGATGCTTGAGCTGGGTATGGAAACATACCTCCAGCGATGCCGAGCAGTACTTGGGCGCCAATTACTCCTGCTTGTGAGGACGAGGTCGTGGAACCACGGTAGTGAATCAAGAGGCCAAAAGCGACCAGGAAGAGACAAGTTCCCGCCACAATGAACCACTTCAGTCGTCGCACCTTGTAGACCACCATGCCCAACAGAAAGCCCGAAACCACCGAGCAGAAGCTGTACAAGGAAGAGATTCTTGTGGCGCCCATGATGCTGAAGTCAAACGCAACGATCAGAACAGTGTAGAGGTAGTCTCCTTGCATGTACCATGCAAAGTTCAGGCAACACGCAATTCCCAAGGCGCCCCAGACACCACGGTCTTTCAGGAGATGGAAGGGCACAAGCGGACGCGGTGCTCTCATCTCCCAGAACACGAAGGCTGGAACGCACAAGATGCCGATCACAAGAGGAGCAATGACGTGTGCACTGTTCCAGGAAGAAGTGTTGCCACCGGCGATGGTCAGGGGCACCAGGATCAGGGCAAAGACTGCTATCAGCAGGATGATTCCCGGGATATCCAGTGCCCAGAAGAGCTCGACTGACAGTCTTCTTGCGCCCCACATCTGGTAAGGTGTCTTGTACTTCTCCAACACGCCAGCTTTGCGCGCACGTCGGCCACTAAACCACAGGGCAAGCATGAGTGGGAGGGAGCAAACTGGATAGATGATGCACCACATGCCGATGCCCCACTTCCACGTCGTCGCGCCCAGAACTGCCGCAGTGACATTGCCACTGATCCATGTGTTGATTATAAATGGAGTCGCGGGGATATAGCTGAAGAAAAGCCGAGCACGGAGGGAGGTGATGTCAGCAACGATCACCTCGACGAGCAGTATAACGCATGTATAGCCGATCTGGTAAAGAACTGCACCCCCAAGGAAGGTGTTGATGTTGTTCGCGGACGCTTCGATGATAGTTCCAAGGACGTAGAAGACCACACTGACAAAAACCAGTTCCAGACGACCGAAGACATCGGCAATCTTGGCCGCCGTCGGCTGCGCAGCCGCTGCAATGACTGCTCGGAGCGTTGTTACCGTGGCGAGCAGGGAATGATGTCCCATGGAAGCAGTGGCCGTGGCCTGATAGGTATACCGAATGGTGCCGTCCAATCCATACGCATAGGCGATAAGGAAGACTCCAATGAAGAGAAACAAGCGGTCCTTTCTGGTAAGGACTTCGTTGATGGCTTCAATCCTGACCACACCAGGAGACTTCTCTGCTTCCACGATGGATTGGCGACGCTCGGAAGGCCGCTGAGGAGCGTAGTCGGGACTGCCATGATCTGCAATCTTTGGTTCACTTGTGAAATCATGAGCCTTGCCGTGCGAGTCCTCGGACATTGAGTTTCGAAATCCATGTGCAGCCATGGCTGGGTAACTACGGTGCACTTTCCAGGATACAGAGCTCGTAAGAAGGAAGAAGACCTCTACGGACGAAAGCGAGGACACCAGCCGCTATTGTAGTCCACAGAGGTGACCCACTCTTAACGCTGACTCGGAGCTGCCGTGCGAGTGACTTTCAGGTCCAACTTTTTGCAAGGTAGCAGCAGGGCTGAAATAATGCGTATGAATAGCGACTAGGAGGCCACTGACGGATAATCGTCGTCAATGGCGACCTCCCTCGATAGCATGATGCCACCCTACGGCCTTGGGCGACGCGATTGTGGGGGTTGCGGCATGGCGAAAAGCTGCCCATTGGGTAGTAGGTGGATAGCATAATCTTATCAGATGAAGAATTTTTCATCAAAAGCGGGGGCGATGACGGGTGACGGGGAGCCGAAGTGCCACAAGCACGGATGCCAAGTGATGGTCGATGAATGATCTGAACTCCTGAACTCGTTGCCTTATGTTCCGTAGTCGCGATGTCGGTGCATCGAGATTCGAGGGGACGAAGCCGGGAAGACACAGGCGGCTGGTGTCCAGGAATGGGGCAGCTTGCTAGCTTGGAGGAGCCTGCAGGGCCATGGAACCCGTCGATCCTTGACAAAAGCTGGCATCTAATCGCGCATGAATGATCTAATCAGATGTCGGCTGGGCTTGCCCTGCTAGCACTCTTTCGGCGTTGCTTTCCGCTAGCCGGCAAGAAGACGCCGAGGATGTCGCGATTGCTGCTCTGCGACCAACAGTTAGTCGACCGCTTGTTCAGGCTGTTAGTCGTGTGTGTTGAATCTAAGAGTCAGCTGTCCTGTCCTGCCAAGGGAGACGCTACTCGTTATCACTCATAGTCAACGTGCTGCCAAGTGCAGGCCGGCCACCATGCTGGCAGAATTCAAGGTGCTCCGAAACCGGCCACTCTACAGCTTGATGTTCGTCGACGGTGTTTGTTCGCCTCGTTCTTGGCGTCTCGTGCTAGTGGATCTCGCAGGCCTTTGCGAATTACATGGCCTGCTCAAGTATCCGGGCGCCTCGGATCGCGGTTGCTATATGCCAGGGAAGGCATTCGCGATTGGGCTCCACGCAGCCTCGACTAGCTCCAAGGGTTACAAGGCCACGATATTGTCTGATGACATCGTCCAGTAAATCGTCCGGCATGATCTCGTTAGGCTTGTTGGAAGTTGGGGCTATCGATGTGACGAGACTGATCTCAATCATGTTATATCCATCCTCGCTTCTATACCCTCGGCGTTTCATGAGGAATCCTGTGACTTGAGAGGGACGGAGCTCTGTCATACTCCTGGACTGATTGATGCCATATGGAAGAATGATCCCCCAGCTATCTTCAGATGGATCGACTATTGTAAGATCGCTCTCGGCACTTGGGTCGAAACCGGGATCAGGAGGAGTCGAAGCATTCATGAGCGAGCTGCCACCCGGCGTGGGCGTAGCTGGGACAGCCTGGTCTGGAGACGTCATGCTGGCTTGTGGCGTCGAGACAGGTGTCCCATATTGATTGTGCGAACCAGCCGGGGGAGCTTTCCCGTGCGCTGGTGGTGAAAACACTGCCAGTTCTGGCTGAAGCTGGATGGAAAAGAGCAAGAACAGGCATTGTTTCTGAGGTGCAGGGGATTGGTCGACAACCTGATGCCACTCCAGTATCTCTGCTGGTTCATAGTAGCCGTGCCGTACAATAGCCAGTCGCCATGCTCCGCGGACTTTGCTCATGAGGTCATGAGACACCTCCCACATCTCTTTCAGTATCTCGTGTCTAGGCCTCTTTCTGCCCGACACGCGCACGTGAGAACAATAAGACATACTAAGCGCGATGTGGCCCAGCTCATCTGTCCAAACTGCGACAAGCCACTTCTTGTCCAGACTCATGGAGTATGCCAGGTGGAGACAAGGACCATTCTTCTCCAGGGGCGAGACATATGTGGGTGACAATTGTAAGCGCACGGTGTTTTCTGACCTGGAGAGGACAACAGCCGATCCACAAGCAGATGGATGTCCCGTAGGACCCAGGGGTGGAAGCCGGTTGTAGACCTCGACGGCCAGCTTGAGGTAAGCGGTCTGTGGGTGAATGACCAGTGTCTCCGGGTTCGCAATGAAACTCTGTGGGATGATCTGCAATTGGAGGTCCGAAACGCACAGACTATTGGTGCGAGCTTTTGAAAACGCCTCGAAGAGGTTGTAAAATGCAATACACATCTCTAGATATGCCGTCGGACTGTCGCTCCTACTAACCATGTAGACAACGACGGTGCCAGTTATGCCTGTCGTCGCCGCCAGAGCGCTTCCGACCATGGCCGTGCATTGAATCAGACTGCGTTCTCCTGGATCCTCTGGGTTCCAGCATATCAATCCGTCATCTGTAACGCCAGGGAGGTGTCCGATAGTATGAGTCCCAAGATCACAAGTGGTGTAAGAATCCGAAAGTCTCTGTAACAGGTTAAGACTTCCGTCTCTGATATTTGCTGGGCGTGGGTGTATGCAAAAAGCGGTAATATGTTTCTGGCCGTTTGCGGGCTGAAGATCAAGGGTATCCCAGAAATTCATTATGGATATATTTGCGGTGAGAGGCCTTTCGATACGTCTTAGACATATTTGACTCGGCCTGATCTTGGTCACACGCCCTTGTAGCCTTGCGCTGCTGTGTTCGGCTTTGAGATTGACGAGTTGAAACAAATTTGACGGGCCTGCAGAAGTATTGATTCCGCTCAAATCAACATTCGTCTCGATACAACCGTCGAAAATATTCCGCATGTCGCCCTGATATTTTTCGTGAGCAAGCAGAGATGTCTGGGACATTTGATCGACCAACACTTGGGCCACGTGCTGGGATTTCTGCGAGGTAAGGGGGGGAGTTTGACGAGCATCTCCATGCCCCAGCTCGAAATCAGTTACCGTGGGAGGTTCCACCAGGCCCGGTTTCAGAAGACCTAGAAGCTGTTGGACTTCTTGTTGAATTGTCGTCTTGTCAAGCTCTTTCTGGTGGCTGTTGGTGTCTTGCGTACCCGGATCGTATTCGGTCCATTGTCGGAAAAGTGGAGGCAGTACGTTGGCCGAGACATTGGCCTTGGGCGACTGACTGGAACTGGTCATGGAGCTATCACTCTCAGATGGGCTGGAAGGTCTTTCGAACATCGAGCTGGATTTGGGCCGCCTTGTTGACCTCGAAACAACTGGCAACGGATTAAACCAATAGTCCCCTTCTGCATCGTATCTGCTATCGTGTATGGGGATCGAATGGAGGGCCTTGGGACCGTCATAAATCGATGAACGCCGCCGAGTGTTGGTGGTCGAAGTAGTGCTCTTACCCTGCTCGCTTCTCCACAATGGAGGTGCTGGCTTGGGAGGACTTTGAGTTCTCTTATTATCATCTAGCGACATGACAGTGTCCTTCACGGCAGTCTGGCCTGAAGGCATCTGCGGCTGAGCACCTGTCGGTATATGTGGCGAACCATCCACGGTGAATATCTCATTCTTCACGGGATCAAGTGAATCTGAGAGCTGGCGTCCAGCAGTCTTCGCATCGCTGGGATCGACTTGCTCTTGTCTGGGATCGCCACGGCTCGTTGAGCCTTCCTTTCGACTGTGGCTCGCGCTACGCGACTGTTTAGGTTGGACACCTGGGCCATCGAAGAAGTCCCAATTAGGCTCGTCACCGTTTGCTTCCTGGCCGAAGTTGTCGTCCGGCATCTCTTCAAAAAGGTCTTCGTCATAATATCCGGACATCCCAGTGGTTGGTGGCACATCATCAAAGTCTGGCATCTCCTCATCTCTTTGCTGGGCCAATTCAGCAGAGCCGCCGAGCAGATTCGCTGGAGTCATCACAACCCCATCGACAGAGGAGATGCCTGGGGTCGGATGGGTTATACCCACATCAGGTGGGGTGGGATATATTGTTTGACTAGCGGGGAATGTAGGAGGTCCAAATGGTTGGAAGTGTTCGGGATCGTCGAATGTGCCGTCGTCGGCAAACAACGGTTCATCCTCCTCATCCTCCTTCAAGACCTGGCGTCCAGTTTCGCTTTTGGATGGGGCGCTACCGATGCCGAGAATCCAGTCTCCTACAAATTGCATGGGGTCGTCGTCAACTTCGGTGATGCCCGTTTGTGCCGATGAGCCCCCCTCAAGGACAAAACAGAGGTTTGCGGGCCAAAAGATTGATCTCCAGGTGATCGGGTCGCCGAGGCCAACTTCTTCATTAGCAACTTCTGCTTGATTGCCATTCGAGCTGTGGCCAAGCTCTTCGACAGGCACTTCAGCCTCAACCCAGGGCACATCTGATGCTTTGATAGCAATATCCATATGCTCTCTCAACCACGAGGGGAGTAGGTCCCTCCACATTTCCCTTCGAGCATCGGAGACCCGAGCCTCGCCGCTGTTTTTTTCAGCCAGGTCACCATTCATATCTCTCTGGGAAGCGAGTTTTGATCGCGACACTCGTGCAATGCGCCCAACTGGTGCAAGGTAGACGGCTCTGAAGTCCGACTCGCGTGCTTCCCCATCGGTTCCGGCAAGACAATGATGGAGGGGCAAGAACGAGAATGTGCTGTCTTTCGCAATGGTCAAGACGATATGTCCGTTCAAGACCACCTGCAAGTCTATGCGATAGAGCACCCATGGTCTTCTTTCTGCAAAATTGTCGTGCTCGGTTGCAGGTGGAGCAGTCTCGACCAAGTAGAGATTGGAGCCAATCGGCTGAAGGGCAGTATTGCCAACAGGTATGAGCTTGACACTAGAGACGATGGCGGTAATAAACAACCGGTACAGACGGGCTTGTTCTGGTTTCATCAAATCTGGTAAGCGAGCAGCAGTCTTGTACGCAATGGTACAGCTGTTGCTTCGAAGAACGAAACCAAACTTCATCAGCAAGGCCTTCTGATCCTTTGGAGCCGTGATATCGACCTTCTTGTAGAAGGTGAACAGCTGTCGGGCTTCGACATCGAGGGCAGCAAGAATGGAGTTCTCTCTAAACTGGCGTTCAGTGGCGCGAAGCCTGGCCAGGATATTCTCAGGTGCGGCGACAAATGCTGAGGGGTCTTGGGTCGGTGGGTTGGCTGCTGTGCATACAATGTAGGCTATTTCACCAAAGTCGTTCTGTCTTGATATTAGCTCTGGGCTGGTGGGCAACGCCTCCACCTACCAGAGTGTACGCATTAGTTTGACAATTACCCGGAAAGTCCAAGGTGGCATTCATTTCGTTAGCCGTTCGGGGGAACGAGTATCAAATGTCGACAGCAGCGCGACAATATGGGATGTTGGGCTTTGAGGTGCATTGCACAAGCGAGCTCGAGTTTCTAGGTGTTGTGGAGGTCCACTGCTGAGGCAGAAGCAATGCTGCCGCTACCGGCCTTGTTGAAGGAAGGGCAAAGCCGGAGGCCGTCGTGGGTACAGTGTGCGCCAAGCTGGAATAGATGTCGGCGTATTGATTGTGAAGACGGGTGGTAGAATAGAGTCAGTGAAGAGGCCAGCTCTGGTGTTGATGGAAGTTGATGATCGGATGGAGCGAGAGTGAGCGGAAAGAGAGCGAAGGCGAAGGCGGAACGTTGTCCACGTGACTCGCTCTCTCCGCAAAATTGCGGCAATCGATCCAGCAAAATCTTTTGAGTGCCACCAGGTAAGTATCGATTTTCCCGACACGCCCTTGATGACTTTTCTGTGTTCTGACAAAAGCAGGCTACTTGATCCGGCACCTGTCACCATGTTTGCACGATAGCCTGCCCGTCCTTGTCCAGCATGAGACTCACCAACGGTACCGTCCCCGTCTACACGGTTGCTGGGTCGTCAATAAATCGCAACCTCCCAGACTGGCTTTCCCAGCGACAGAAGCGCAAGAAGGACCCCGAGTATGCAAACCGTGTCGAACTGCTACAGGACTTCGAATTCGAAGAAGCGAGCCAATGTGTGCGCATCAGCGAAGATGGGGAATGGGTTATGAGTACCGGCACTTACAAGCCACAAATCCACACACACTATCTACCCAACCTTGCACTTTCCTGGGCGAGACACACGAATACTCTGAACAAGACCTTCATCTTCCTCTCTACCGACTACTCTAAGACTGCCCATCTGCAGGAAGATCGTTCACTAGAGTTTCACACCCCGGGCGGATGTCACGAGTCGCTACGAATTCCTCGCTATGGCCGCGACCTTGCATATGACAGAAGCAATACGGAGCTGCTGGTGCCTGCGGTTGGGGTCAACAAGAACGGGATGGGTGAAGTTTTCAGGTTTAATCTTGAGCTGGGCCGGTTTATGAGCGAGTTCGAAATCGATGTAGGTGGGGATGACCTGAATACAATCGGAGGCGGAGCGCTGCAAGGTGGCATTCAAGCTGGAAGTGTTAATGTGGCCGCAGTGGCAGAGGGAAGTCACAATCTGCTAGCATTTGGAACCTCACTGGGCACAGTGGAGTATTGGGACACTCGCTCAAGAGCGCCAGTAGCGACACTGGCTGTACCTTCAGACTTTGAAGGACGGCCCGAAGTCACGGCGCTCGACTATCATCGATCTGGCATCAGCGTGGCCGTTGGAACTTCCTCTGGGCTCATTTATCTTTACGATCTTCGGTCGTCGCTCCCCACTCTCAAGAAGGACCATGGCTATGGTTACCCTATTCAGTATGTGCAGTATTTAACCCAGGGCGTCAAAACTCGAGACTCGGTAACTGAACCCAAGATTGCGTCCGCGGACCGACGAATACTGAAGCTCTGGGACGAATCAGATGGGACGCCCTGGACGTCGGTAGAACCAGCTGTGGACATCAACTGCGTGGCTTGGTGTAAGGACAGCGGCATGTTTTTGACTGCTAATGAAGGCCGACAGCAACATGCTTTCTTCATTCCCCAGCTCGGACCAGCGCCAAAGTGGTGCTCCTTCCTGGACAACGTCGTTGAAGAAATGGCCGACGACCCCAACGACCCCTACGCTTTCACTAAAACCAAGGTCGGTGAGATCTACGACAATTATAAATTTCTCACCCCACCTCAGCTGCGCATGCTCAATCTGGATCACCTGGTCGGCAAGACAAACTTGCTTCGTCCTTACATGCACGGCTTCTTCGTCGCTCAAGGTCTGTATGAGGAAGCGAGGCTCATTGCAAATCCCACCAGCTGGGAAGAGGAAAGAGCCAAACGAGTCCAGGCGAAGATTGACAAAGAGCGGGAGAGCAGGATCCGGGGCAAGAAAAAGATTACGGCCAAGGTTAATCGCAAATTTCTGGAAAGGATCCTCGAGCGAGAAGAAAAGAACGACAGGCGGCGTGCCCAGCGTGTATTGGCCCAGGGTGGCGATGACATTGCTCCGACAGAAACAGCCGGCAATGTTGCAGCTCAGGGTGAAGACAAAGGTCTGTTCCCCGATGCTCGATTTGCGAGGATGTTTCAAGAAGAAGACTTCGCTGTGGACGAAACTTCGAGGGAGTTTCAGCAGCTCAATCCAAACTCCAAAGCGCCTGCTTCAAACCTGGACAGAGAGAATGGTCTCACAGCTGTGGAGGAAGAGGCCATTGACGAAGTACCTGGGTCCAGCGACGAAGAAGAGAAGGACGAAGACGATTTCTATGGCAGCCGTAATAAGTCGGGTACCCGAATATCGACTGCCGATTACAAACGTCGTCCGAATAAGAAGCAGAAGAAGAGAGATCAGATACAGATGCGTGTCACGTCGTCGGGAGCAGGGAGTGCTGCAAGGACGACTCATGACCGGTCCTTCGGGTCTCGGGCGGAGAATCTCCAGCCTGTCGAGCGAAAGCAACGTAGAGCAGGCTTTGGTGGAGCCGTGGGTGACAAGGTCATCACGTTCGAACCGACAAAGAAATCTAAAGGTCTGGACCAGTTGCACGGTGGCTCGCACCGCACGTCAAGAGGACAGGATCGAAGAAGTGCATCCGGAAACACGTTCAGAAAGATGTAAAGACCCTTGGCATTGCGCCCTCATCCCCTCGGCTGAGCGGCATCACGAGTTATCGCCGTGATCACATCCCCCGATTGCGCTACGGCGCCAAAGATACCGCCTTCCATCTTGACGGACTCAATGGTGGCATTATGCAGTTGCGGTGTTGCAGCTGCTGTCGCGTCTTCAAGTAGAAGACAGTCGAAGCCACGGTCATTGGCCTCACGCATGGTAGTGGAAACGCAGACGTCGGTGGTCACTCCGCACAACACCAGATTCCTGATGCCACGAATCTTCAAGAGAAGTTCAAAATCCGTGTGAGCAAAAGCTCCTCTGCCAGGCTTGTCGATGATTACTTCATCGGGACCTGGCTCTAATTCAGGGATAACGCCGTGTCCAGGTTCCCCTCGAACCAGGAATCTACCAAGCGGACCTCGATCGCCGATACCCAGTTGGCGCGGATTTTTGCGTGATCGGAATCGCTCACGACTTGATAACGTGGAAAGGTCAGGTCTATGTCCTACAAGACGGTCATTTTCTGGCAAGTGGCCCATGCTTGGTGCGTTGCTCCATACCTTCCCGCGTGAAGAAGACGGGAAACCCGGCTCCGCGCGCAGCGGAGAGCAGTGCCTGGATGGTTGGGATCAAGTTTCGAGCATCCTCGACATCATAGCCTTGACAGTCGAAATATCCTCCGACCTCGCAGACTGGCAGATCGTCAGCTCGCGTCGTCCGTAACGGAGATGAAGGTCTCCTACAATCCCGTTGCATATCAATGACGACAATTGCTGTTGTGGCAGGGCTGAAAGAAGCATCGTGGGGATAGTGGTAGGGCTCTGCTAGGATTGAGCGGTTTAGACTCGAGTGCATTGTTGCGTCTCCCATTGCTTGGATCGGTTGAGAAGATCGACATCGAAACCAGACCTTTTTGTACTCAACTTCTTCCTTTTCCTGTCTCTGCGTACCGGGTATATATCAATATGCGGCCAACTCCGATATCAGTCCAGAGTAAGAGGTGGTCTCGACGCCGACCCACGCCGTTGTCGTCCTCTGCTGACTCAGCCGCCCACCGCTTGGCTCGTAAACGGTACTGGGTTACAGTTCTGTTTGACAGGCACTCGCTTCGGGGCTTTTCTCTATCTCTAAATTCCTCCAGCGAAGCGCTGAGCGAAGATCACGAAAGGCATAGATGTATCTGTCCGACCCCAGTCTGTCCTGGCACAGATGCTCTCGGAAATTTCGCGAATTCTCGGTTAGCGGTGTATAGTAATTGGAACCGCTGCCCGCCGCTGATATCATTTGGCTGCAATAAATCTGGCCATCATTCCTACAATTGTGGATATCGTGATAGCTGCTTCCATTACCATTAATATTTGCATATCACGGATGATTCTGTCGATGCACGAGGGAACCAGCAAGGAACAAGCGTGTTCACTAGTGGCACCGGGTTGGGAAAGTGTAGCGGGTCAATCGGAGAATTACATCGAGACTAGCCCGGCTTGGCGCTATGCGTTGCCGGTGGCAGGGCAGGAACCCCGTGTTTGTAGTTGTGTCTCCTGCCAACCTTTTCCTGAACCACTGCCACCGAGGGAGCTGCCTCCCAGTGCAGACTCGGCCAGTGATACTAACTACAGCAGCAGCAGCATCGCCATCATCGCCATCATCTTGGATATCCGGCTACCGACACTTCGACAACAATCGCGACAACACCAACGTCACCGCCCCAAAACCGCGTCGCATCCCCGTCAGCCTATGGAGAACAGGTCAACAAGAAACATCAACCACCGTACAGCAGCACCCCAACACCGGCTTCGACTGTCACATATATAAATCGCAACGGCAACGCCAGGCGACGATATTGCTACGACGAAACTCACAAATTTCAACCAGCATGGCCCTCCTCGACGGGGTACCTTCTTCACCCCCTGGCGCAGGCACGTCCACGGAAGACGCACTCAAATACTACAAAGCACAATATGAACTGTTAGAATCCGAACTCGCAGACTTTCAAGCCTCTAGTAAAGAACTTGAGGCGGAATTAGAAAGAGATGTCGAAGCGACCGAAAAGCGCGAACGGCAGTGGAAGGACAAAGCTTCCAACCTGCAATATGAGATCGAGGAGTGGAAGACGAAATACAAGCAGTCGAAGATGGAAGCCTCGAACGCCCAGAATGCGCTGCAGAAGGAAATCACCCAGCTCCGCGAGACGAACCGGGAACTGAATCTGCGACTTCGTGACACCGAGGTCGCCAATGACGACTACGAGCGAAAGCAGCGAAATACGGAGTCCTCGCTGGAGGACATGGAACAGAAATACAATCAGACAATTGAGCGCAGCGTCATGCTCGAGGAAGAAATGCGTGCTGGAGAGCAGGAGAGAGAGGCACTCCGGATCGAAGCGCAGAGGCTGCGCGATGAATTGTCTGATCTAAGAATCGAGGCCGACATCACCAAAGAAAAGTTACAGAAAGCCACCGAACAGCTGGCACCACGAGAAAAACACTTGACCATCCAACCGATATCGTTATCGGCGTCTCCACGTTCAGAACTGTCTCCTACGACCACGACCGCCTCCTCACCGACTTTCGACACGCCCCCGGCGAAGTCATCCTTGTCAGACACGCCCACGCCACCCTCGCCACCATTTTCTGATAAGTCGGCAAAGTTATCCAAACCCTTTGCTGCGCCAGGAATCCCCAAAGCCAGGCAATCACTCACGGCCAGCGGAATTGCTTCACGGCCTTCCACAGCGGGTTCCGCTGCCTCCAGACCCGCCGGTCATGCTCGCGGCCCTTCCATTCCAGCCTTAGCCCGAACCGGACCGTCGGCATCATTCCGGCAGAGCCTGTCGAGACCGCCGAGCTCTCAGCAACGACCTTCAGGATTACCTCAATCAGCGTCAATTATCCACCTCAAAAACATGCAAGGAAAGCTCGCCGCGCTAACCGAACGAGCCCATGCCGCCAAGTCCAAGCTACCGGCCCCTGTTCGCACCCCTCCCAGGACTTCTCCCAGAAGTGGTTCCGCGCTTGGCAATCACATACCGGCCTCTGTCACTGTCCGCTCCCGGAAGAGGACAAACGGCAGTACCATTAGCGGCAATGATTCGATCCTTGACAAGGTGCAAGAAACGCCATCAGTGCCCAGGACAAGAACGAGTCGACCTTCACTCAACCAAGCACCTCCATCTCCAACACGCACCGAGACGTCGATGCCCAGACCGAAGACAAGTCGGCCATCACTGAATCAACAGCCACCGTCGCCAAGAAGAGGCGAGATGGCCGCCCCTCCACCGCGCCCAGCATCACGGACAAGCGGTTTCGCTTCATCTCGCCCGTCATTTGCACCCAGCCACTCTCGCCCGGGAAGCCGAGCTAGCGTCTCTGGCTTCCCACGAGCCCCTTTGGGGAGCGGCATCGGTGCTGGCTTTGCACCCAACGCGTCGACGGAGAGAGTTCGACCGCAAAGCAGCCTCAGTAGCTATGGCGGCTTGGACGGTGCCATGGACGAAGAAGACGAACCCAACGAGATTGAAGCTGGCATCACGCCGCTGCGGCGACGGGCGACCTTTGCGAGGGGACGCACTAGCGACGTTGGTAGTGCGATCCCGAGTCCCAGTAAACGATCAAGTATTGGTGGAGCGAGTAAGATGCTGAAACGGCAGAGCATTGGTGTGAATGGGATGGGGAATGCACAGGACTCTGGTATAGGCTTGACCAATGTACAGGAGAGTTATGACTTGAATGAGACGTTTTGACGTACGGGTGGCATTGGAACAGGATTAGCACCACCGCGCCGTGGCTTTGGTGGCGGGCCAAGAGCTTTCAAGAGCTTTGGAAAGGGGGTTGAATGTCGATACGCATTGGATCAGCTACAGTGCAGAACCGCGTGTATTCGGACTGGCGAACCTGCAGGCGTGACTAAGGAACGATACCCTCATTTAGCAATTTTCATGACATTGATACCCGCTTCGTAAAGCCGGCCGAGTGAGATTCGGGACCAAAGGGCATGCCTGCCTCCCTCATTTCTTGCCATTCAGCACGACCAGCTGCCCTTCCTTCCCATCGTCCACACGCCAGTCGGCCCCCGACTCAGGCACATCAAACCCCACGAACCCACTCCTCGTAGGCACGAACTGCCTCAGGGTGACGCCGGCCTCGCCCAAGACCCTCCGACTGGCGTCATCCATGTTATAGCTCTGGCTGTACACGACCTCCTTGACGCCGACCTGGGCGATCTTGACGCTGCAGGTCAAGCACGGACACGTGTCGCAGTAGAGCACGGCGCCGTCGCGGATGCGCTCGCGGCCGGCCTCGAGCAGCGCGTTCTCCTCGGCATGCAGGCACAGACAGGTGGCGAGGGCGACGCCGCCGCCGGACGCGCCGTTGCACCGCGGACAGCCGCCCTCGTTGCAGTTGGCCAGCCCGCGCGGCGTGCCGTTGTAGCCCGTCGAGATGATGCGGGCGTGGTGCACGAGCACGCATCCGACGCGGCGTTTCATGCAGTTCGACCGGCGCGAGGCCAGCGAGGCGAGCGTCATGAAGTATGCGTCCCATGTGGGCCGGAGGCGGGTCGGCGACGAGAGGTCCAGCGTGGCCAGGAAGGCGTGGTACGCGGGCTGTGTGGTGTGCGTGTTGAGGATCGAGAGGTGGGCGTGGGCCAACAGCGGGGCTAGTGCTGAGCGAGGACGGCAGCTTGGATCTGTGCCCCTGTCTGTGTCTGCGTCTGCGTCTGTGTGTCCCCGAGAATCTCTCGTGCCGTACAGTTGTAGGTCGTTGTAGTGGATGAAATCGGCGAGGGGCATGGGAGGGAGGTTGCGTTTTGTACAGCTATGGTCAGGCGTGAGTGGTTGAGTTAGCCACTTTTGGTCTTTGCTTTTATCTCCCTTATCGCCCCTTTGGACGGGGTGAGCGGCAGATGTCTCGGGGAGAGGCGGTTCGTATATTTAGGGTTATATGCGCTTGTGCTATTACTTCTGACATGGCGAGTCGCAAACGCTTTCCACCAGTCAGGTAGGAATAGTGGAGAGTAAAATGGCCAGCGAAGAGAGCAGGATAGACAACGCCAGGGACCATGAGCAGGAAACACATTGACAATAGAGCAGCGGCGAACCAAGGTAGAGAAATAGAGCGAGGACTCAAACGGGACGAGATATCCACACATACCGGTCACTGAACCGCTTGTACCTCACACCTACGGGTGCGTCGACGTTGATCAGCATAAAGAATGGTCTCCTGAGAAGTAACTCTAGGGTCTCTTCGTCGTAGATGTCGGTCAAGACCCAATGCTCGCGCCATCGTTTGGTCACGAAATCTAGCAAGGACTCGACGTCGGGGAATGAGAGGCCGCGGGTGCCAACCTGGTCGGTCACACTGGGGAGCAGCCGTAGGTGGTCTATAGTCGGCGGTGATGGTGACGATTGGAGGTTAGAGCGAGAAATCCGTGATGGGGTGGTGCCGTCGGATGAGCTCTGCAATGGTTGTAGCTGGGTCGGTGTGGGAAGATGCAGGCGGAGGAAGCCTGACTGTTGGACTAGATATTCGGCCGTGGTGTGTTTGCCGGCGCAGATGGAGCCGCAGATGCCGATTAACATTGTGCTGAAATGGGGTGTTCAATCTGGCGAAGAGCGGGAGTCGTCGGCGATGGGGGGGCACGATAGAGTTCGTCCCGTAGATCCAGAGCGCAAGCAAGGCTGTCGCGTCTGATACTGGATGTGCCTAGACCAATCAATATCGCCAGTGATGGTCGGCTTTCTTGTCTTGGTCCGAGATATAGTGTGGCTCGACAGCGACGTGATCAGACCACTACTTCGACGGTGCCTTGCCTTGCTCCCAGTCGCCTCAGGAATCAATCCTCCCAGTCGTTGGCGTCCTTCTCACCAGACGCGTAAAGTGGTCATCCGACGCGTCAAATGACGGTGGAATGACCAGGGTCCAGCGTGACTAATTAAGCGCGGGACCCTGTCACGTGTGTGATGCGTCTGGAGGCGAAGTGACGGACGCGGCGGGCGGAAGCCGGTGGCGCCTGATTCGAGCCGAGCTTCGTCTAGCCTCGAGGCACCCGCTGCACCCACTGCACCCACTGCGCCCCGGGAGCCCAGCCACTCACCCACCACTCACTCCGCTGCTCATGCACGTCGTCCATCCGGGACATACTCCGGAGTTCCAGGCCAACCTCAAACCAACTTTCTGAGCTTGACACATCATTCTTACGGCTGTCTGCTCCGTGGCGACACTCTCTTTGTTTGCAAACATTCCCTCCTCTACCGGCTTCAGACGTCGAACCGCTGATTACATCGGACACTCAGCGCAAGCACCGCCACTCCCAGGCACTGGGACGGGCTCCCAGCCATGCAATACGTCCCCTTCGCCTCAGACATCGAGATCCCATTCTACGCCTCCCTGGCATCCCACAAAATCAACCATGACAAACTCGATGACTCGGCCCGAAAACTCCTGGGTCTGTACGAGATCCGCCCGGCAGACAACAAGGAGCATTCCTGCCGGATGCAAGTCCACGCCAACGCCCTGACCAGCGACGAGGTGCCTGCCGGCTTCTATCGCGCCGAAGGCATCATCAGAAACTTCAACACGGTCGAGGAGTATCGCACCATCGACAAGTTGGCCATGATCCAGCAAGCGGGGAAGACCATCTGGGACGCGATCAACGATGGGACCATCTATTCATGTCCGAGTTTGCTTGCTTGCTTTCTGGTGCTGAGCTTCGCCGATTTGAAAAAGTACAAGTTCAACTATTGGTTTGCGTTTCCCGCCCTGGTCATGGATCCGCCCTGGGTGCCTGTGCAGAGTACAGGGAGCGTGGCGAGTCCAGAGACGGGGATCCCGTTCAAGAAGCTAACGTCAATTGAGAGCACAACGCTGGTTGATAACGTCATGACCTGGAAATATGCCGTCGATGCAAGACAACACGGATTCTTCCTGGCCAAGAAAGTACGTGACAAGCCTGTCCTGGAGAGGGATCTTGGCGACGATGAGGATGCTCGTCCTACTTCACCACGAACGCCGCTCACCCCGACCTCGAGCCTTGGCTACAACTGGCAAATCAGCTCGCTGTCGAGCTATGAGACCGGCTTCTTCGACAACACGGATCCCGAAGACACTTTCGTCTGCTTCGCCGATCCCTCAAACTATAGCGAACCCGGCCCCGTGGCCCCGGGTTGGATGCTCCGCAACTTGCTTGTCCTGGTCCGACAAAGGTGGAAACTCGACAAAGTCCAAATCCTCTGCTATCGAGAGACCCAAATGCGCCGAGACGCAGCACGTAGTGTGATTTTCAACATGGAGGTCTCTTCAAAAGCAAAATCCGCCGGGTCCGCAGCGCAGACCGACTATTCCCAAACCATGCCTAAAGTCGTAGGCTGGGAGCGCAACGCCGCCAACAAACTCACCGGTCGCACCGCCGACCTCACCAGCTACATGGACCCGACGAAACTGGCCGACTCGTCCGTCGACCTCAACCTGAAACTCATGAAATGGCGCATCTCCCCTAATCTCGACCTGGACAAAATCAAACAAACAAAATGTTTACTGCTCGGAGCAGGGACACTGGGCTCGTATGTGTCGAGAAACCTGATGGGCTGGGGTGTGAGACACATCACGTTCGTGGATAACGGGAGTGTGAGCTTCAGTAACCCCGTCCGCCAACCGCTGTTTACATTCAACGACTGCCTGGAGGGAGGGAAGAAAAAGGCCCTGGCGGCAGCGGAGGCGTTGAAGACGATATACCCCGGCGTGCGATCCGCAGGACATGTCTTGAGCGTGCCCATGGCAGGCCATCCGATCACAGACTACGAGAAGACGAAGGCCGAGTACGAGCAGTTGAAGAAACTGGTTGACGAACACGATGTGATTTTCTTGCTTATGGACACACGGGAGTCGAGATGGCTGCCGACTGTGATGGGGAAAGCAGGCGGGAAGATCGTCATGAATGCAGCCCTCGGATTCGACACGTACGTGGTCATGAGGCACGGCGTGAAACTCTCGGCCCCCAGCCACGACGTCGATCGCCTCAAGGAGGGCGAGGTTGAAACCGAGACCGAGACAGGAACGGGGACCGGTGCGCAAGATTACCAAGCACAGCAGCACGGCTTGGAGGGCGAAGAGCTGGGCTGCTACTTCTGCAACGACGTCGTCGCTCCCGCCGACTCGATGAAAGACCTCACCCTGGATCAGCAATGCACCGTCACCAGGCCGGGCATTGCGGCCATCGCGTCCGCCTTGCTGGTCGAGCTCCTCGTCTCCATCCTGCAACACCCTCTCGGCCCCGCCGCGCCGGCCACGACTTCGTCGCAAGAACGCGGTGAGCATCCGCTCGGCATCATCCCCCACCAAATCCGAGGCTTCCTCGCCAACTTTACGAATCTCAACATTACGGGCCAGAGTTACGATTGCTGTAGCGCGTGCTCGGATAAGATCCTCGCCGCGTATGAGAAGGACGGGTGGGAGTTCGTGGCCAAGGCGATGAACGAGAAGGGCTACGTCGAGGAGATTAGCGGGTTAGCAGAGGTGCAGAGGCTGGCCGAGGAGGCAATGAAACGAGACATTGACTTTAGCGAGGAGGACGAGGAGGGGGGAGCAGAGGATGAGGAGGGCGAGTTGGTTTGACTCACGTAGGGGAGAGAAAGTGGTAGCAGCCTACCGTCGTCCGCTAAGCAATAGAGCAGGGAATTTCAGATGTATCATTCATCCGCCATTGATTCCTTCGCACGAAACGCTGCACTCGACGCTAGATGTGCACGAAGTATGTACTGTAATGAACTGTTCTTTATGCAGTAGAAGTAAGTGTCCCCCCGCCCCTTCTCGTACGCTGCAGAGAACGACAATGCTCGCGGGTTGAACCCCGATCACTACCAGGAGGTCTTGGGCTTGTCCCCATTCTCGGCGTTCAGCTCGCTGGACTCGACCTGATCTGCCCATGTTCCTCCACCGCCAGCTGAATCCCACCGGCGCGGGCTTGGTTTATGAGTCTCCTTTGCAGGTGGCTTAGTGTCCGTGTCCAAGTTTGTGTTTGTGCTTGTGTCTGTGTGCTGTTTCTGCGGTTGCGGTTGCGGTGGTTTGGACGCCGAGCCCGAGCCCGAGCCCGCGCCAGAAGGGAGAGCGGGAAATTCAGCTTCGGCGGAGGTATTGGGCTGCTGCTGATGATGATCCCACGACGGGCCGGAGCCACCGCCGCCTCTGTCTCTGCCTCCGCCGCGCCCTCGTCCTCTGCTGCCGCCGCCACCTCTCCCTCTTCCCCTTGCTCTTGACCGATCATCATCACGCCACTCATACTGCCTGAGATCATCGTCGTCGTGGTTGTCCTCCGCCGCCGCCGCTGTAAACCCCCGTCCGCCGCCGCCGCCGCCGCCGCCGTACTCAGTATACCCACCACCTCCTCCTCCGCGTGGGCCTCTACGTCCGCCCCGTCCGCCTCGTGCGTTAAACCCCTCGGCATTATTCTTATTCATCATCGTCGTCGTCATCGTCATCGTCACATCCTCTTTATCTCGATCCCACTCCCGGCCCTCCCTGTTCCCCAGCTTTCTCAGCCGGTTCTTCTCGCGCTCCCCTTCCATGACGCGCCGCTCTTTGCGCTCGACGGCCCTCTTCTCCGTCGCCATGCGTTCTCTCTCCTGGAAACTCGCGGCGTCGGCTTGCGCGCGCGCATGCGCGGCCGCCACGGTCTGTGAGCGTTCTTTGGCGGCCGCGAGTTTCGCGCTGAGTTCTTCTTCGGTGAGTTTCGGCCGCGCGATACCGCCTGTCAGTGTGCGATCGCCGCGGACGGCGGGAGTTTTGGTGTTGGGTTGTTGTGCAACCGCGGCCTCATCTGCTGCTGCGGACTGCTGAGGCCGTGCCGTAGGTTCAGTCTCTATCGTCATCTCTGGCTGTGCGGGCTCTTGAGGTCGCACCGTTACTTTCCCCGCCTTACTCGCCGCTGCTGTTGCTGCTGCTGCTCGTGTGGTCGATCTATCAGAGTCTACTGTTTTCGGTGTTGCCCACTTCGAATCTTCCAACCCAGCAGCCGCAGCAGTGGTGGGGGTGGTGGTGGTGGGTGGTGGCTTCCTGGGTCCTCCACCACCACCACCGCCGCCGCCTCCCGCCCGTCCGGCTTGTTGTCCGACACCTCGTCCTCTTGGTTTCTGCCTGTAGCCCGAACTGGGAGCATCATTCGCGAATGAGGTTACGGCGGGCGGATTTGCGGCTTGCAGAGCAGGAACAGCTGCAGCGACGGCTTCTATCGGGGGAGGCACCAACGCAGGCTCAAGTGAGACCTGGTCGAGCTGGGTAGCGACGGTGTCCGGCGAGGGGGGGTTCTCAATGGGGATGATTTCGTCGTCGAAAAGGTCGTCGTCGCCGCGGGATTGGGAAAAGTCCTCCATCCTGTACACGCGCAGCCAGGGACGCTCTCGAAGACGAACAATACAAGGGCGTATACCTGACTTGACTCAAGGCCAACCTCACTCAAGATTTACCTGGCAAAACGAATGCGGTTGGTCTGTTACTCGTACTCGTACTGATGCTCGTCGAGCAAGCTCACGTCAAGTTCGATGTCAATTTCTCCAATATCGTTGAATTTCTTGAATGCGGAGGAGCGCCGGATAAACAAACACCGCCGTGATCCGGCCGTCCTTCTGCACGGCTGCTAATTCGAAGCCGAGCTTCTTCTCTTCTACTGTAGCCCATCTTCTGGAGCGATATCGTCAAGGCAAACCAGTCTCTATCGAACCCGGAAGATGACTGTCAAAGAAAGGAGAATCCAACTTTCGGAAAGAGGAAATCTTAATTGTACTAGAAGGCTTGGAATATAGATCCCCAGCCCCCTACTCCGTACTTCATGCATCTCTATATTGCTTTTCTTTTCTTTTCTGCCACACTGGCCCGTCTTGTTGGTACAGTGCGCCGTCCTCAAAATCCCCATGGGTGCCCCAGCTATGCAACATGGACATAGGTGCATTCATCAGAACGGGGGCAACCAGAAGGGGTATCCTCCATTCTTGATCCTGAAAACGCTCATCAAGAAGCTGTACATGCCGAAGAGGACGGCCGCCCAAATGATGACCGCGGCCTGTTGAGTCTTGGGATCCCTGATGCGTGGGACGCGGAGAGCGAGATTGATTGCCGCAAAGGCCAGCAGCGCATCTGTAGGTAAATATGTTAGCAAAATCCCAGCCGTGAATGAAGATCGACAGGGGCGAAAACGACGGGCTGTCCTGGTTATCACTCACACATGCCCGCAACAATCTGCGTCTCCATGCCATACTGGTTCTGGAAGCCGCCGGCGAAATAACTGATCCCGCCACGTCCGTTGCCCGCCACGTACGGCACCTTGCGGATGTGGTTGAACATGTGCCCGCTCGTGAACAGCAAGATCATGATCAGGCTGAGGCCCGCCCACAGGTTGCGGTTCTGCACGATCGGCATGATGTACGGGTACGCCACCGTGAGGAAGGTGAAGACGCCCAACAGGACCGTAATGCTAACGCCGATTCTCGCATAGTTGATGGGCCGCACGATCGAGGGGTAGTCCTGGCCGGGGGGGAGATGTCGCAACAGCCAGCCGTGGACGGCTTCGGCGGATTGTGGACCCAGGAAATCCAGACGCGCAGGTTGGCCTTCGGGTTTGGCGTGCGCGCCCACCGTGGGAGGGAACAGGAGTAGCACAGGTGCAGTTTGCAGTTGGAGCTTTGGAGAATCATGTTAGCCCCGCCTCCAAAGTGGCTTGATTGCGCGAACCTTCATGAACACGTTTCTCCCCTGGTCGAAATCCAAGGTACTGAACAAGATCCTGTTCTGCCCGCTGCGGTCCCCTTTCTGCCAGCTGCGTCCCAGGATGGTCCATTCTTGGTCGAACTCTCGACAGATCCCACATGCGTATTTTGCGTCCCGGGCGGTAAGAAGCACGGCGAGGGAGTAGTCCCGCGGCGAGGCCGTCAAATCGCTGTAGCTCGTCTCATCGCTTTCAAATGGCGCCGAATGGGTCTTGTAGGTGTCGAACTTGCTCGTCGTTGCTGCCTTTTTGGCTGAGACAATAGCGGTGAGCGAGAATGCCGTCAGGGCGAGGAGCCTCAGAAACCGCATCTTGGCTTCTAGTGCACGCTGATCGTGAGTGGCAGTCAATGGTGAGCTTCGCAACAGGTGTTCAGTCTTGGATGGAACTCGGGAAAGTTGCCACTTTCCAGTCAGCCAATCATAGGCTTCAATATTCGGCGATGACCCACGATGTGAACAGAATATCAAGCAGTCTCGCAGTTACATCTCAACGGTCCTTTCGGCGCAGGCGAGTCTAGAAGCCAGGTTGGCTGATCTATGAGTCTTTATTCGGTCCAGTGGTGGACTCGGACAATGGGCCCATGGCAATACATCGTACTTCGCCAAAGGGACAGACCACCAAATACGCGGTGCGATTCGTGTCAGTCAGGCATTTGTGCGCAGCATGACCTTCTCAACCGTCGCTCACAAATGGAACCTCCATCTCGAATCATCATCTCCAAGCCACGGCCCCTCAGGATCAACATCCCCTGACTCCTTAGCGTCGCGTCTCGCATTCTCCCTCTTGAGCACCAGATATAACGTGGTCACCACCGCCAGGTTCGCCACCATGTACCCCAACGCGAACGAATGCCCGAGGAAATATCGCGGCGCCGTCTCCGTGCGGTAGAGCTGCGTTCCTAGCACGGCGCCCAGGTTCCCAATACTAATCTGCATGGCGTTGGCCACGGCGCGTTTCGTCTGTCCGCTGACGTTGTTGGCTGGCCAGCTCAGCACCAGCGCCACGGACGGGTAGATCCCGCTGGCCGCGAAGATGATGCCCACGTACGACACGCCGGGTCGGGGATCGCTGAGCAGGAGAATATATCCGAGGATGGCGAGCGAGGAGGACGCGAGGATCAAAGGCGCGCGGACGCGGTATCTCTCGGAGAGGATCGCTGATGTGACTGTTAGGCAGAACGCAATGGCGTAGGGTGGAATGGTCATCAGTTGCGCAGTTGCGGACGTATAGCCTAGGGATTTGATGATGGAGGGGAGGAAGAGCGAGAGCGTGTACAGGGGGAGCGAAAGGCTGTGGAATCCCAACGCGTACAGCCAACATTTGACGTCGGTGAAGGCTTTCTTGACATTAGCCCAGTCGAGCTTTTCGTGCTGCGTGGCATCGCTGTCGAGCCTGAGGCGGTTCTGGATGTATTCCCGCTCATCCTCGTTGAGGAACTTCGCCGTGTCGGGGTAGTTGTGGATGAAGAAGTAGGAGCCCGCGGACACCACGATGGTGAGGAGTCCCTCCTTCAGAGCGGTCAGCATGATATGTCCTTCTAGGGTGACGGTGCTTACTAGGATGAAGATCCATCGCCAGCCGTTGTAACCGCCGACGCCTCTCATCTTCGCAATGCCAAAGGCCAGAATACCGCCGAATGCTCCCGCTAACGAAGCGGCGCTGAAGAACAGTGCAACTCGAAATTGCCTTTCATTGCGCTTGTACCACATCGACAGGTAGAACACGATGCCTGTTGACTATGTTGGCTCGAGGCAACAACCATGGGTGCACGCAACATACCTGGAAAGAGCCCCGATTCAGTGACGCCGAGGAAGAATCGAACAACATAAAACCCGGCTTTCGATTGGGTGACGCCCATTAACGTCGCCACAATGCCCCACGCGAGGGTGAGGGTCGGCAGCCAAAGCCTCGGGGTCCAGACCTTCAAAATGAGATTGCAGGGCACTTCAAAGAGGACATATCCAATGAAGTACAATGTCAGGCCGGTGAGGTATTCATTACCGGACATGTGTATATCAGTGGTCAAGCCCTCGATTCGCGCATTGCCGACATTGGATCGGTCGAGGAATGATAGAAGATACAATATCGTCAAGGCGGGAAGGAGGGTGAGGTCGAGCTTCCGCACAAGAGATCGCTCGTTGATTCCTTCCGGAACATGTTCATTGGCAGTATTCAGTTCGGCCTCTCCGCTGCCACTGTCGGAGTTGCTGTTCGGCTGCTTCTCGATGGAAGCCATGTCGCACTATGGCTTCCTCCAGCCCAGCTATCCAGAGAAATAGATTTGTCTCTGACAGGAGGCGGTCGCAACAGCGGTAGATCTTGCACAGCCAACGAAGATGCTGCGGCGGTCATGATGGATATAAAAGCATGCTGATGTATCCATTTCTTGCATTGCGACATCATAGCCTGACGGCCGGCAACGATCATCTCTCATGGGCCGCCGAGTCGGAGCGTTGACGATGGATCGGTCGCAGGGCCAGTTGTATTGTAGTATCATGGTGGTGTAAAACACATGGTAGATGGCGTGCTTGAGCCATCTCAAAAAGGAAGCTGGGTAAGAGAACGGCGGCCGCTTATTAGTCCATACGCTTTGAAAACCCCCCAGGACACCCACCCAGTTGCCCACGGGATGCCGGCAGTCAATCCGTTATCTTCTGTGTTCATTCAATTATTCTTGTGTGTTATTCTAAGAAGCCTTCATGACATCTCAACACAGTTCGCCCAGCATCGGGGCATGCAGGAACGGTGTTTGGCTTACATCAGACGACTCGCTCCGCCTGGTATTTTGGTGGCTCCTTGTCCCATTGGACATGTCTGCACAAAGTCTCGTCGAACCACAGGGGCAGGTGAGGTTCCAGAAATTCTGTGGTATTGTCAGGACTTACAGCGGTATGGATCATGGCCCTCCCTCTGACGGCAACCATGTGGAACACGGACATAGCCTGGCGCCCAACTTACCATAGAAGACGAACTGCTGGAGTATTTTCTGGACGTGAGGCCATTCGGTCAGCCCCAGTATGTCAGCCTGCTCCGCAAACGTTTTTGAGAACCACGTCCTCGGCCGAGTCAGGCCTCTGGTCTTCAGGTTGATACGCCATTCGAATCTGGCACCGTAGAAGCACACCCAAAGCAGTGCTTCCCGATAGTGTTTGAGAACATCCACTGAGGCTGTGTCCAGGACCTGTCTCATTGTCCCTTCGAGATGATTGATGGTGATGATGTGGTGGCTGCTCCGGTGGTCGCACCCGTAGACTGTTGCCTCGAAAATCCCACGACGCAATACATGTAGAGTTGTCAAAGCCAGCGCGGCTTCTACGAGCCGCGACGATTCCTCCACGTCGGCCACTCTACCAGCGATCAAGTTGATGTATACGTTGATCAAGACGCCGGAGTCGTACTGGGAGTATGTTGTAAAGATGGTGTAGACGGCATCTGTACGGTCGAGGTCTGCGGGATCATTCAGATTGACCTTCGTCGAACGGTAGACCAGATATTGACGAAGACGAATCGCCGCCTGCCGTGTGGCCGGTAGTGCAATGCTCTCGTGAAGGGCTTGGTATTCTGGAGGTAAGGAGGGCGTATTCTTCTGAAGAGTCTCCGCCCAGAACCGGCGAATCTGTCCGTGAACCCAGTCCTCGTAGTCAAAGAATGTGTTCCGCATTTGTGCTATCGCCAGTTCCACGTCGTTGTTCATGCAAGTCATGAATAGCGTCCGAACGTGCAGATCGGGCAGCTCGATTCTGTCAACCAGACGCTGGATGATGCCTGCATGGATTTTGGCTGCTGTATTGTCGCCTTCTTTACACGCCGCGCGGAACAGGGACACAATTTGCGAGATCATTGATATATCCGGTGGGGCGTCGAGTGACATGTTTTCGATGTGCTGCTTCAGGATCTTCATGCTCTTGGTCCGCATCTGGACGGCCAGCATGTTCAGCTCACGGGCCGTGTCCGGTGCAGAGAACTTCGCCAGGACTGGCATGTAGCTGGAGCACCATGATAGAGCACGTCCCTCTTCTGACAGCTCCTCTTTCATTGTATTCCATACTTTCGTGACTGCGCGACGCCCAAACACGTGGAACCCTTCTCCGATCGTGGTAAGGTGAGGGGCTCCAGGCACAGACTCTTTAAACCTCATATAGGACGTCACGTAGACTCCCGGTAGGTAAGCATCTCTGATAAAGGTGATGAGATTGTTGATTTGTGGCGTGATAGGCAGCCCTTGCGAATTGAACGGGTCCGAATTGCCATCTCGAAGGATCTCGAGTAGACTCAATCGGTGTCGAGATGTTGTGGATGGTTGGCTTGATTCTGGAGGGTCCCACGGCTGGTCGACGGATGCGTAACCGGTTTGGCTGTATTCGTGTCGTTCTATAGAATCGACACCCTGTTGTGTACCGGCTGCGACCCCTACGCAGCACCTGGTCATCGATCTGGCATGGCCGCAGAGTGATGAAAATGACCTGCCTTTACTTCGAGCCCGCAAAGTTTCCTCTTGCTCCTTCTTCCTCTGCTTGCGTCTCGCGTCTATTATCCCCAGGAAATGAGCATCATCGACGGGCTCGACGCTGGGACAGAAATCGCGGACCACGGCGGAAGAAAGCAATGACCAGAGCTTGTTGCAAATGGGACTACTTACGAGACCATCTTGCAGCGTGCGACTTCTGGTTCGCGATCTCAAGTTCCTTCTCGACTTGTGTGGAATTTTCGCTAAATTGTGGCACGAACCTCACCGTCGGATGTCGTTGAGGACGCATTGCCTGGGCTTCATCTTAACCACTTGGCGAACTCCAAACAAGATAATCAGACATATTCTCAAGAAAAGAGTCAGGATTTGACCTCGTCCCCAAATTAGAAGAATTGGTGACGCATATGTTGTTAAGTCCACCAGAGACTACGGGGTGATGAGTTAATATGCTTGCATGGAACGTGCAGACCAGAAAGAGATAGAGGCGCATGAGGCGCAGAAAACAAGCACGCTCTCAGCTCTCGAACTGGGCGACTTGTCAGGAGATAGAGGCAACATGACGGTGTTCCCGAGTCCACACTGGAGCTTGCAATGTCAGTAGTCGCTAAGTGCCCAAGCCTATCACGCGATTGGGAAGGACAAATGCCTTTACTCAGCGTCGAGCGCAGACGAAGGAGGTGAAGGCTTGAAGCCAATGCCTGGGACTTAGGTAATCTGCATTTGATAAGAGACTCACCCAAGCCTCACAGCGAATGATCAATGCCTGCGAAAGGGAATGTACTGTACACGGCACACAGAATGGCGTCTGGGAATAGCCAGCCACTTTTCCAAACTACAAGCACTAAGCTTCTGAAGCGTTGTTTGGGTATCAAAATTAGAGTCGTCCAGGAAGAGCTCCGAGATTCATTAACACTCCCAGTGTACGCATACTCAAAGACCGGCATACACGGGTTGCCTCTTGTATCCGCAGAGACTGTATCGATGGCAGACCAAGCGAGCAGTCAGGGATGGAGTAAGCCGTCGTGGCAAGTGCGTCGATATATCTGGCTAAAGCTACTGCGACAGCGTCCAAGGTCGCGCACAGGGGATTCGGAATGATAAACATGTTGACTGAGTGGGATTCAAGCCTTGCAAGACGGGCTGCTACTTTCTCGCTTGCAAGCGGCCTCGCCAGCTACTGTACTTTCAGGCTTCCTGCTCCCTTCGCTTCTCCAGCCGGGCTCTTACTTCATCATTGACCCGCACAATCGCCTCCCTTGCACCATCCCATTTCTTCCGCCCGCCGGGTCGACTGCTTTCAAACAGTCGATAGAAGTGGGGCGAGTATATCCCGTGGACAAGCAAGTTATAGAACCGCCGATCATGCCACCAAAGGTTCCACGAATCCGCAGTAAAGTAACCAAGGTGGTTGTCAATATTGCAGCCTCCCTTGTCCGTGACCCATGGAAGCCATTGCCCACTGCGAACACTCAGTCTGACGAATTTGCCCAAGGGGCTTCGCGCGCGAATGCTGCTAACCCACGTCAAATGCTCGGCGTACCACTGCTCCATATCCTGCTGCGACGGGAGCGAAGGTGTCTCCGGCCTGTTGGACCAGAGAGCCGCTATCGCCATAGAGGCGAGATCCGAAAGTAGGAATGCCGGGAAAATGATGATTGCAAGTCCAACGAACGCGAGACTGTCTGGGTAGTGCAGGGAGAATATGTTTTGGTACAGCCGCGGAGTGTCATTAACGTGCCCGCCAGGAACGGACGGGTCCAATGTCGGGTCGTATCTTCCCAGGATAGAGTAGTCAAGCGAGTAGCCGGTGCAGAAGATTATGCTGTCCACGGTGAGTGTGCTGCCGTCCTGCAGCTCAACCGTCCGGTCGCCTGTGACACATCTTGGCGCATGTGTTGAACTGATCGCGCCATCGCGCAATGCTGCAATGAGAGTGTCTGAGATGGTAGGGTTCTGATGAAGAAGGGAAGGCGACGGCTGCAAACGCCACTGGGGATCAAAGGTGCCGAACTCGTCGCGCTGTGTCTTGTTGACAAAGCCGTCCAGGAAAAGTATGGACAGCCACGGCGCCACCGAGTCCATCGCGTCCTTGACCTGGAACTGCCGATAACTGAGGCCGTGGTCTAGCGACTTTCCGTTCCTGAGATGTCTCGGCATGACAACAGCTCCGTGGCGATGGGAAAGATAGATTTCCCTGGCAATACCAATGAGTGATGTGGCTGTGTCCGCAGCCGAATTGCTCGCTCCTACAACCATCACACGTTTACCCCGGAAGAGTTTGGGATCCTTGAATGCTATTGAGTGTAGAATCTCGCCTTCGAACAGTTCTTGGCCTGGAAGATCTGGCATGATGGCTCTGTTGTGCGGCCCAGTGGCCATCACGACTTTATCGAACCTGAGCCTTTCAGGTTCCGCCGAGTTGGGTCCTGAGACAGTAACGTGCCAGCAGTTCTGCGTGTCATCGCGTTCGATGGACTCCACCCTTGTCGACAGGCGCAGGTGAGGTCTGAGTCCGAACGCGTCGACGTAATCATTCAGATACTTGTCGACTTGTGCAGAGCTGGGGTAAGAGTCCGTTTCCGGAGGAAATGCAAAATCTGTGAAACATGCCCGTTCCCTTGAGATATTGACTATTGTAATCGGCAGGGCAGTGACATTATGCTCCGCAGAATAATGCCAGATGCCGCCAATATAACTGTTTCGGTCGAATCCAGTGACTGTAAAGCCTTGCTCGAGCAGATTCTTGACGGCGTTGACACCCTGCGCCCCAAGACCAATAACCGCGACAGAGGGCTGCTGTGTATCAGCCATAGCGTCACGTTCCTATTCAACTCGTTTCCACAATGCACGAGCCCGCAACTGCTGCTGGTTCAACATCATGGATTCAGGTGGCCTCGGCGGCCTCGGCGGCCTCGGCGGCCTCCTAAATGGGTGCCTGGGGATGCTTTAAGCGTGCTTGGACACGGCATCGATATCGACTCTCGGCTCCGACATTCGACGATGCCAAGGATGCCTAGACCGATGTCGGATGCTCGTATCTTGATCGTTGAAGTGAGGTATTTGTCTCGCTTGTGAACTCAGACAGGTGGCCGGCCAACCAACCCCCGTCCGTGGCCAAAGGCGCCGAGCAGGAGACTAATTGACTTCAAAGCTATGTACTCGCAATCAAATTTCCTAGCCATTGCCCGTAGGCGCTTTCAACTTCAATGCATCTCTTGCCTCTGATCCACAGACATCTCCCATTGACGTCCTCAGCTTTCTCTGCAGTTGCGAGGTATGCGATTCCCCTGGCAACGTCCACTGGCTGGCTAGACTCGGTTGAGAAGGCATTGAGCACCTCGGGCGGCAAGTTGGCAGTCAAGCCGGTGTGCGTGAGCCATGGCGCAACCATTGAGATGGCGATGTTCTTGTCTTTGAGCTCTTGCCGTTGAGATGTGCTCCGCATCAGTCCGATAAGAGCATGTTTAGATGCTACATAAACGTCCTGATACACGACCGGCATGTGGGATGCCGCTGAGCCGGTTATCACGATTCTACCTCCTTTTCCTGCCGAGAAGTGGTGCACGGCCAATTTGATTCCATACAGCACCCCATAAAAGTTGACGTCCAAGACGGTCGTCGGTGGTTGTTTCAATCGGGAGTTGCCTTCACTGGCACCTTCTCGTGGTTCGGACTCAGATGCAAGATAGTTGGATATCACTTTCTCTTTTGCTGAGGGGTTTTCCGATGTGGCAAGCTCTGGGTCGATGCCAGCATTGAGACAAACTATTTCTGGAGGTCCATACGTGTGCTTTACCCAGTCGAACAAGGCAACCTGCTGGTCCCATTTGGTGACGTCGCACGCTCGAAAGTCGCAGCCATGGCCAACTTCCTCCGCGGCTGCCTCTAATCGGCTTGAGGCCAAGTCGACCAGAATGACTTTGGCGCCGTGCTGTGCGAAGAGCTGGGCGGCTGCAAATCCAATCCCTGAAGCAGCACCTGTGACCAAAACCACTTTTGAGTGGTGGAGTCGCTCTGTGAGCACTGAGGGAGGCGGCAAGGTCAATTCGGACATGACGAGTGGGAGCAGACTGGCAGGCAGATTCAATTGAAGATTCCGAGGCTATAAGGTGGGGAAGCCGTCAACCTAAATAGCTTTCATTCTGCTTGAAAATAGGCCAAGCTGTGACCAGCGTGCAAGGTGATACCGTCCACGCCAAATCAAGTCCGAGTCCATTCATCACAACTCCAGATACTTACTGTAGCCGAGCGGCGATCAGGGAGGACTTGTTTCTGTCCTGGCTAGAGATACATCCAGTCCGATTCGTGGAGTCAACATTTGAGGTCTGAATACAAGCCCGGATTGGTGCGAATCGTTCAGGCACTACATGTTTGTACGCATGTCAGCTCGGAGCTGGCGTTGCTGTTTTACCTCATCCGGGAGTAGGAGAGGAACGAAGTGATGAGCAGAAGAGGGGCGTGTGAAGCGATTGGCAGGTTTCTGTGAGAATATCCGCAATGGACAGACTGTCAATAAGGCTCCCAGCGTCCTGGCATAGCAAAGAGCTTCGCAAGTAGTTGAGGGATGGAACGCCTGAAAGCAAAGAGCGGCGACTTGTACGCAGCTGCAATGGGAAGCGCAGTCGCAATATTGCTTTTTTTCGTCGAAGTCACGTGACTTGAAACACTAATCCGCTTTGGGACAATCAATAAACACTGACAACGTGAAGCCTCGGTGCCTCGACTCTCATCAGCCCCTTCAAAGTGCGTGCATATCTGGCCGCAAGGTGCTTGACAACCATGGAAGCAGAATTATCCTACCTGAGCTCGAGTGAGATAGCGCAATCTATCAAAACCACCCAGCTTGAACTTGCCTACGAGCGCGCTTTGCGGCAAGCCGAGCGGATCTACGAAGAGGAGCAAGGGCGCGCACTCCGTGTTCAGCTGCTTCTACTCCAACATGAGAATGACGACCTTCAGCAACACGTTGAGGAGGAGGAAGAAGAGCATCAGCACATGGAAGATACCAACGAGGAGCTGCGAGCGCAGCTTGCCGAAGCCGAGGCAGGCCTGCAACAGACGCAAATGGACTTGAAAGCGCGCACCCGAGACCTGGAGCATCTGAGAACAGAAGTGGTTGCTCTGAACGCTACAAGTACCGACGCGACAAGATTGCTGGCTGAAAAACTGGCACTGGCAAGAGAGCTGAACATCATCAAACCAGAGCTGGAGCACCTGAGATCGCAATCGTTTATCAACCAGAAACTACTATCTGAGAAGCTGGCATTACAGCGCGAGGTCAGTGCTCTCCAGGTTGAGCTCGAGACCGAAAAGCGTGCTGTGCAGAGAATCAAGGCGAGAGAAGAGTCAAACTCTCGTGAAGATTCGACATTAATAGCCGAGATCGAAGGCTTGAGGAAGGAACTTACGAAGGCACAGCGTGACGTATTGAAGTATTCTGCTGCTCAAGAAGGAACCATGGCGGAGATGGAGAGCTTGAGGAAGGAATTGGCGGAGGCCCAGCGTGATGCATTGAAGCATGCTGTTCGTGACGACACAGCGTCCACAGCGGTTGAGAGCCTCAGAAAAGACCTTACCAAAGCACAGCGTGATGCGCAGAAGACAGAACGCGAGAGCAGGAAGAAGATAGCAGAATGGGAAAGCGAGAAAGAGGTGCTGGAGGCGAAACTGGATGCGTTCCGCAACAAGCTACGGTCGACAAAGGAGCAACTCCACGAGGCACAAGAGGAGATCGAGAAGTTACAAGCAGCCAAGATGGCTCAGTCGGCGGAATTGACGAAAGCCCGGATGACTGGTCAAGCTGCAGCATCGAATTCTAGAAAGAGAAACGTGGCCAGGTTCGATCCAGACATGACCATTGGCACGCCGGGCAACGGTGGGCCTGCTGCGAAGAAGCCTCGGATTTCAGTCAATGTGGGCGACAAGTCAACATTCTCGATTACACCCTTCCTAAACAGGACTCTGAGCATCCTACCCGAATCGCCAGACGATGAAGATGAGCCACAGGAGATGGCCCAGAAGCCGAGCAGCCAGCAAGTTGATGGAGCAGGCGGAGTAAGGAACCAGGCCTCCAAGAGCAGGGGCACAAAAGAAAAGCTGGACAAGGCAGCCACCACACGGAAACCACCTGCGGCTTCCACCAAAACCCGAGCCCCGAGGGCACTCAATGAGACGATGAATGCGAAAGCCAACACCACAACGGAGAAACCCCAGCTCGCAAAATTGGTGGGAGAGGGCCCCGACATGGAAAGCGACGAGGGCGGCATGAATCCGGAGGAGAATAGCGACAAGGAGAATAATGAGGACACCAGCGCTACAACCAGGGATTCAACCGAGCCCTCGAAGAAACCGAGACCTTCAGTCCAGAGAACGAATATTTTTGATGAACCTGACATGGCACCCGCACCAAAGATTAGGAGCCTGGGTGGAGGTGCTGGGTTAGGGCGCATCAACCTCAAAGCAAAGCCAGTGGGGAGAGGGAAGACGTTGGCTGAGTTCTCGCCCCTTAAGAGGGACCGCCGCGCTACGAGTATTCTTGAGTGATTCTCGATGCTGGAAAGCACGATGTGAGAGACCGCATGACTTAATTTATATGACGGCTGGTGAGCGTAGGTGCTCTTTTGCTTCCTCCGTTGTCCTGTACCTAGTTTGACACATGCTTCGGTGTGGAAAGAGTGTCCGGTTGAGCGCATACCCGTGGGTCTTCTTCCCGGGCAAGAGTAACGCCTACCAGATGCCTTCGATGTTAATGCCAAGATGAGTCACAACTGCCTTGCCTCACCCCGGCTGGGGCGAGCCGAGTGAGAGATCACCCGCGTCTCACCAGTCTTGGTGCCTAATTAACGCGCCTGGTTCCCCCAGCGGCGTTCGGACTGGGCGGGACTTGACAACTGAGTTACCTGGTTAGTGCTGGGCTCTTCTGGCCTCGGACCCGAGAATGTGAGGATATAGATGGATTGGACTGTTTACATAAGTATAACTGACCGTTCACGTATGTGACGGTTCATTTACCAGGTAGATGCGCCAAACTAAGAAAAAAAAGGTGAAAAGCGCATCAAAGGCCATAGGTGGTGACCATGGTAGCCTCCTAGGTATACAGGCACGACGGGTCAATACAACGCCCTGCGGGCCGCTTGCCTGCGATCGGAAATCACGTGCCTGCTAGAATAATGCAGCTGTCATAAAAAGGTTTGTCCGAATTCTGACCAACAAATGTAGTGCGGCTATAGCTCAGCTGGGAGAGCGTCGTATGTCCAAATCCATGCCTTTAACTGTAGACTAGGCTAACCCCTGACAGAGACTGAAGTTCAACTTCGGTTCCAGAATATCTGAAGGTCCTGTGTTCGATCCACAGTGGCCGCAACCTTTTTGCCTCTTTCTTTGTTTTCCCACATGCTTTGCAAGTCCGGATCCAGTCCTGCGACTACGGAGGTGTGCACTTCGAGGCTTTGCCGCATTCATTAACATGACGTCCCTATAGAGTCGCACATCAGCTCCGAGCAGCTTTTACCCGTCTTCAGGTGTCAAGACGAGGTGCTCTATAACCCATAAACACCGGTGTCCCAACTGTGGTGACAGCTTCTCAAAAGTTAGTGGATTGCTGCAGTACATCGAGACCGCGGCGTGCGGCGTGCGGCGTGCGGCGTAGATTACGATGCCATTCTAGAGGAATTGAGGAGGTACTTTAAGCAGTAGGTTCAAGCTTGCAGGGCCTGCTTGTTCAATTGTAGCAAGAAGGGAGAGACATCCCGTCCACGGACACCCGTCACTTGTTTGGCTCGTCAACGTGTCAAAGCGTTATCCGCCACCTACGAGCAAATCGGGGCAAACGGGATCCTACACCATCTCGACAGTTTGGTAAACTCGTACGGAGTACGGAGTACTCGCACTGTGTCCCTTGATCGATCGACGACAAGTGGCTGCACAGAAAAGTGGCTTGCGTCGTGTGGCTCGCTCGTGTCCCAGTGCCGATCATGACGTCGCGTCGCGTGGGGAAACTGGGCGACGACGAGAGATCGCGACGGCGACGACAAAGTCAACCAGTAACCAACACTTATCGTTCGCAAGGGTTATTTAGGGTGACAAGTTCTTTGGATCTACCAGTGAATCTCTCAGGCTCTAGGCTCTTTCTCTTTCGTCCAGCAAGCTTTCACCTACCCGATGTTATTTTGACAGAAGTCAATTAGCCGCAGGGACGACAGAGGTCGGTTGGCATTAACTGTGACTCTGCAAAGGCCCCTCTGTTGAGGAGCTTAGCTACATTGACACTGTCAGTCCGATTTCAGAGCGCACCTATACTCGACCTAACAGTAATGGCAGCATTGTAGGACAATAGCGCACCCCCTGACTACGATTCGGCCATGGCTACCCCTGCCCTCCCCGCAAGAGTCAAAACTGCGAATGATTCTGATGATGATGTGGTGAACGAAGGTGATCCATCAAGCACCGCAGGCTTGCTTATCGAGCGTCTGCAGGCATGGAAACACATGTGTGGCTATCTGGAGAACTACATCTCAGCAGTCGCGAAAGAACAGGCAGGATGGGCCAAGGAGCATGAAAAGACGGTTTTGAAGACACTGGCGAATCCTCTTCGCGAAGCTCATCACTTCGACTCTGCACTTGGTGGTGTTACCGGCCTGTTTGAAAACTTGCGAGCGAACACTCAAGCTCAGATCAGTTTACACACAGAGACCTCGAAGAACCTCACTGGATCCGTCCTGCCAATCCTCGAACGTCTGCACGCGGAAATCAAGAACAAGAACAAAGAGATCACAAATGGCGCCGGTAAAGGCTCAAAGGCGGTTGATGCAGCGCGTGGGAACTCGCAGAAGCATATCGAGTTGCTGGGCCAGCAGGCAGCTCACTTCGACTCGACCGGAGGCAAAGTGTCCGCGCACCATGACCCTTATGTTCTGAGGAGAGGAGTCCTTCACCGCCTGAATAAGCAAATGCTGGAGGAGAACAACAACAGACAGGATCTGGTTGCAGTTCAGAACTCCTTCTCCCAGTTCGAGGCACATGTTATCCAGACCGTTCAGACGGCGTTGAACTCGTACAATCAATTCATGAGTGGCCAGGCCGACCGACAGAAAGCCATGTTTGGTGATGTCGCTGCCACTGCGAGCAACATCCCCCTTGATTTTGAATGGAGCGGCTTCTTGAAGCGGAATCAGCATGTTTTGGTCAATCCCAACGCGCCCATGAGGACGATGAACGATGTGTCTTTCCCCAACGAGAAGCACCGGTCCACGAAACCGCTCGTAGAAGGAACTCTCGAGCGTAAATCACGCGGCATGGGTGCTCTTAAGGGATACAGCAGCGGCTACTACGCCGTCACCCCGGCAGGCTACTTGCACGAGTATAAAGACAACGAGAACTTCCACAAGGAACCCACGCCTGAGCATTCTCTATATCTGCCCGATTGCATCATTGGAGCTGTTGATGGTCAGAAATTCACCATCAAGGGTAAAGACTCGTCAGGCAGCAAATTTGGGCAGAAAATGGCCATCACCTCGGACTTTCAATTCAAAGCCCACACCAACTCGGATGCACAGCAATGGCACTCTGTCATTGCCAGCTTTGCCAATTCGGGCGGAAGTCTACCGACAAGTCCGGTTGAGAGTCGCAACATCACACCCATTGCTACCAGGATGGAAGAGCCTCAGACACAGGGGGTCACATCCGCTGGGCCAACACCAACCAGTGCGAAGACACCCACCAGCATTCAGCCGACGAGTGCCACGTCGGCTACAGCGCCAACGTCTGCTGGAGAAGCACCACACGCAGGGCCCAGTCCGAATGCGTTGGAAGGCGGGAAATTAGGCGAGAAGTAGGACTGCTCGAGGGACAAGCAAGCTTGAGCTTTTACGGCCGCTTTGCCTCTTGGATTGAGATACTATTTGCACTTTTCATCCGTTTAATCCTGGATACCCTTTTCTGCTACTAAGTACCTATCAATTCTACGTCATAGGTGACGAACTCGCCGCTCAGACTCCAGGTAGAGTGACCAGCGTCTTCTGCAGTAACAAATAAAACCAAACCATACCAAACCAAAGTAACAGCATACCTTGAAATCCACGTCCGTGCCCAGAATGTTAGAGAGCAAGGAGAGAGAACTGGATTCACGCTCCGCACCCCAGCCGAGCTGGACGTGCACGCTGAATATGTACTGTAGGTCCGTCTCGAACTATATCTGAGAATATGTACCTAGGTAAGAAGGATGGACGGGCAAACCTGGGGATATGGGTACCGTACGTATTACGGTACTCGTTCACCACAATACTGCCGCTACCGATTCTCCCGTCTTGTATACTCCGTATAATCTCTGACTTTCTCGGTCATGCTACCCGGTATCACGATAGGTAGACCACAGCACTCCCCCTACTGATTCTCCCGTCCTGAATATAATCCTGACTTTTCTCGTTCATTGCGGGACGTGAGTATACTGCTTGCTGGAGAGGGGACTGATTACAACCATGTACCGAGCCAGAGCGAACGACAGCAGTTGCGAGAGAAACTACTCCTTTTACTCAAGGCCATTCATTCATCTCTATCCAGCTGATTCAGTTTCTTCTCGACTCTACTATACTCTACTCTACTCTGCTTTACTCGACCTTTCGCTCCTTCTTGCCCTTCAAAGTATCCTTCAGCTTGACTAGCGCGTGCCTGAGTTTCTTGATCCCAGCGCCCAGTTTCCCCTCGGGCACTTCCTCGACGGCGACGAACCTCCGCACCAGGAGATTGTAGATACTCCCAAAGGCGAGGGCCATGACCGTGCTGGTCAGGATGATGACATTATACGGCATGGAGAAGTCGGGCGTCGGGAGCGGGAGCAGCAGGCTCGTCGTGCGGAGGTAGACGTCTCGCGTGTGACCGCCTGCTGGGTCGTGCAGGGCGGGTGTGAGAATGCGGATCACCGCGGCGGGGATGTTGAACCCGCGGTTCGCGTCGGGCGGGTATTCGGTGTAGCGGAGGATTGATTTCTCGAACGCATAAGTCAGGGAGATGGTCGTGAGGGGCGGTACGGTCACGAGGAGTTCGAGGTGGGTGGGTCGGTGGCGGTCGACCGCGGGGGAGTAGTACATGTCTTTTATGAGCTGTTTGGCGGCATCTGATGGGGTTGCAGAGAGGCTGGAGGAGGGATCGTTCGGCTTGGATACGATTTGCGCGGTGAGGGTGTGCATGTAGGGCCGCATGAACCAGGGGAGGGTCTCGAAGTAGACGAATGTGACGGCTTCCGAGGACGACGGGTTCGTGAAGATGGTGCGCATTCCGCCGTGAGCGGCGCCGTGGCCTGTCATGGTCCTCTCTGCTCGGAGGAGTTCGTGGCCGAGACGGTGAGTTTTGGAGAGGCGAGGTTGCTTAGGTGCTTCGAGGTCGAATTCTTCAAAGGGCATGATTGAGTAGCAGCGATGCTCATTCGGGCCGGGCTGCGACTTGACTTCGAAGCCACTGTGGCTGACGAGGACCATCCGGTCGTGTGGAACGTTGAGGCATATTGGTTGTGCGTCTTCCTCGTCGTCGTCGGTGAGCGGACACGTCCCCGCCATCGTGCGCCCGAAGATGTCCTTGAGGGACCAAGATGCTTCGTCCACCATGTCTCGCGGGTAGCAGGTGTCGTGGGAGTGGTAGGGTTTGGATTCATCGCAAACGAGCTGTTCTTGCGGGATCGGTCGTGGGATCGGATTATCCCGTGGCCGTTTGGATCGTTCGATGTCGAGAACCACGTCTATGGTCTGGGCAATTTCGAATTGACAGTCAGTGGCGCTGGCTGAGCACTTCGGGCGGACATCGATGGCCATGCTCTGCCACGAGGCGTCAAATACTTTGTGGCCGTCGAGAAGGCTCGATATTCCTGCCTTGCCCTTGCATGGCAATAGTTTCAAGAATGGGGTCAAGTTCTCCGTGCAGACCACTTCACCAGGAAGCACACCGTGCAAAAGATGAAGATTCTGGCTCGCATTGGAATAAGTCCCTGACGGTTGGAACGACAAGACCGGCTTGGTGGTCCTCGTCGAGTCAATGAAGTTTAACGAGGCGCAAAATAACCCCGACAAAGATTGTGCCAGCGTCGTCCACTTGGTAAATGCTTCATCCTCTGTATCCGCGTCGATCCAAGCCCAGAGCTCCACACCTGTACCGCCCTCTCTCGTGCCGTCCCATGGTCGGGCTCCCCAGGTCTCTGGGTCCCATCGCCCCGTTGTAAACCTCAGATGTAGTTCTTTTGTGTCTGCATGCCGCAACGCCTGTCCTAACGAGCGAGGGAAGTATCTGAAGTTCTGAGCCTCGTAGGCTGCGATACTCTCATTGCTGCGGAAGTCGAATGAGGCGAGGAGGGACCCGAGGGGCAAGGGGGTCAATGTGAGTCGTTCATAGTAGTCGGAGGCGGCGACCTTCAGAGCGAGCAACGCGATTGATATGAGAGCGAGCAGAGACCGGGACATACCGGCATTGTTATAACCGCAGTATCATCTCTTTTGTGTTGGTAATGGTGATGAGCGTGTGGTGGAAACGGGAGAAGAGGACACGCTGAAAGGTGGCTGATCTAATCTAATCTGCCACAGTTGATCGCGGCGCGTTTTCTCCTCCACCACTTCTTTCTCGCCATTTGCGGAGACAGTGACCTTTCTTTTCCAACTGCTCGACATCGTTCCAAGTTACTGTACTCGTCACACCTTGTAGGACTGCTTCCATCATGGCCGCAGAACAGCGCAAGCTGCTCGAGCAGCTCATGGGCGACCAGTTCATGGGCATGGGCTCATCGAGCAAGGCCGCAAACCTCACCCTCACCTCGCCTACCGTCTGCCGCTCATACCTGGTTGGCACCTGTCCCCACGACCTCTTCACCAACACAAAGCAAGATCTGGGTCCTTGTCCGAAAGCCCACCCCGAAAACCTGAAGATGGAATACGATGGGTTGTCACAGGCCGAGAAGCAGAAATACGGATTTGAATACGACTATATGCGCGACATGCAGAAATACATTGACGAATGTAACAGACGGATTGACCAAGCGCAAAGGAGACTAGAAAAGACCCCGGATGAGATTCGTCAGACGAACAACCTCCTCAAGCTCATCTCCGACCTGACCAAGACCATCAACACCGGTCTTCTCGAAGTGTCGTGTCTGGCAGAGATGGGCTCCGTGAGCCTGGCGTGCACCGAATTCCACAAAGTGCGCACCGCGAAGCTCGCGAAAGAACAAGCTGAGCGAGACTTGAAGTCTCTCTCCGACACCAGTGGTCCGTCGGGACATCAAAAACTACAAGTCTGTGACGTGTGTGGCGCCTATCTTTCAAGACTCGACAACGACAGAAGGCTGGCAGACCACTTCTATGGGAAGATGCACTTGGGTTATGCGCAGATGAGGAGGACGTTCGACACCTTGGCGAAGGATCTGAAGGGTCGGGGACCGCCGCCCGTACGTGCCGACGATGGTATGGGCCCCGGACAGGGAAGTCCGACTGGGCCAAGGGGCTATGATGATGGCTATGGCGATGGGGGCGGATGGGGAAGAGGTGGTGGAGGATATGGTCGTGGAGGAGGAGGGTACGGACGCGGTGGTGGAGGTTATGGACGTGGACGAGGACGGGGGAGGTGGTAGACCCATCGATCCTCTCTCACTCCAACGTGCGCATTCTCAACCGGCACAGTCACGCGCCAGAAACGGCGCACTATCTGGCATCTTTTATCCTCAACGCGTTCCTCCTCGTCTGGCATGCCTCAGATGGTGTTAAGAACGCCTCAACTCTGAGACCAGCACTGAAGGAGAAGGCATGATGACAGTTGACTCGACTGACGCAGATGGAGTTGATGTGATAAACGCGGCTTCATCGATGGGCGGACCGGGATAGGTGAATCGCATTCTGATGCGGATGGCGACGCCTCATCCTCAGCACACGGACGAGACCCACCGAATCGCACTCTCAAGGGACCAAGACGCTGATTCATGGACATACCATTTTCTCAGCCTCTAGCTCGTCCAGCTACACTCGCCAACCGACAAGCAAAGGGAAAGAGTGAGTTCAAAGATCCTTGGACCAAAAAGGATGAGGGAAGACAGCTGGAAGGAAGACACTAGCTCCCTGGCTGCGATGGTCTTGGTTTCTATCAAACAGACCAGCCCACAACGATACAGTGCAGGCGGAGAATCTGGCTCATGATGAAGGCCGGAGCACTAAATGAGCTGTTTCATGCAAATCCTGGCGTCAGTGCCCAGCATGCTCTCTGGCATTGTTACGAGTACGACTGACGGGTGCGGATCTACCTTTGATCGAGATGTGGAGGCCAGGGAGTTTGCGCAGCATAACGTAAAGTTGTACGACAAGGCCGGCAATCAGGAAAGAAAGAACAAGCTGCAGAGGTATGGCCCAGTATAGTGTGCCGGGGCGCCTGCATTAGGATCTATTCCATCCACATTCGTCAGGATTCCACCACGCGCGAGATCCCATGCCAAATGGCGGAGATATTCACAAGCAACGAATACTCGACTGAGCCAACAACAGCTCAGCGTTCTATTCCTCCTTAACCCCTCTCTACTATACCAGCAAACGTTTTCATCGTCGCCTGCCCACGCCAGCATCCGCGCCCCGTTCCGCCATGCTCACGATCTCGCCTACACCGCCCTCTTCGAGCTCATCCTCCAAACGCGTGACCTCCTCGCGGCAATCCCACCATCTCTCCTCCGCCAACTCAAATGCTTTCTTTCTGAGTTCTTTTATGGTCTGCTCCGCCGTGATGGCCGCCACCTGCGCCGCACCGCCGTAGGATTGTTTCTGGATGATTATGTTCTGCCAGTCTTGAGAAGTGCGGTTGAAGAATGTGGCGCGGGATTCAAAAGGACGGGGGAAGGGGAGGTTGTCCTGAGACGCGAGAGTGGAGGAGTCGGGTTCTTCGGCGACCGGTGAGGGAGGTGGATGGTCGCGCTCTGTTGACGGCGTGGAAGTCGACTTCGCGAGAGATGGTGTATCTGTCACGATAGACATGGCGTCTCCTTCGTCTTCCATATCTTCGTCTTCGTCGTAGTCTTCGTCTTCGTCATCGCCTTCTTCGTCCGAGTCCATATCCTCGTCACTTTCTTCGACCGTGACATTCCAGTTGATGGGTTCGACGTAGAAGAGCTCCTTTACGCCGTCGAGCTTCCCCAGATCGATGGCGTAGAGGTCGGAAAATGTGACTTCGACGTCTTTCTTCTCAAAGGTCCCACCGAAGATATAGAGCGTGTCGTCTTGGACTGTCAGTTGCGCGTTGAAGCGTGGATGAGGCATTTCATATCGGACGGGATATTCCTTCCGCAGCTTGTCGGGCTCGAGCTCGGGGTCGTCTTCGTTTCCAAGCGTGATGTCGCTGTCCTCTGTGGCGATTGAGCCTGTCGTCTCGAGTGCGGCGAGGTTGCGGAGGAGTTCTTCTTCGTCGGCCTTGCCGCGGTCCCGACCTCGAGATTGCTGCTGTGCTTGTTTCTTTGGCCCTCCTGCTTTCGGCCGTCTCAGGGCGAGGGGGAAGAATCGGTTGCGGTCAATGTTCCAGACGAACATTTCGTTGAAGAATTCGCTGTCGATGCCCTCCTCACTGGCTTCGACGTCGTGGACGCCCCCCACCAATACACCACGGCCTTTGTGGTAGGTCATTGTGGCGCCGGCACGGGGTGGGTTGGGTCTATTGGCGGGTTGTTTTCGTCGTTCCCAGCGGAGTGTCGGTGGTATACCGCTTGCTGCGTCGGGTGCGGGCGGTGTGATGCGCAAGAACCATGTGTCTTGATGGACCATCGGTTTGACGATGTTGCGGACTGCTCCTCCACTGGTCTTGCCGCCTTGCTTACCGCCGCCGCTGATTGTTGTCGCTTTAACGCGGGAGTAGCCTCCGTAGAGCACGGCGCCGGACTCGTGGGGGAGGAAGGTGAACGATGAGCGGGGATCAGGCCTTTGGCTTGTGCTTGTGTATTTCATTTCGTGCCATGTGTTCTCTTTCACGTCATAGACCCACGTGTCATTTAGGTACTTCGTCTGCTGGGATGTATCTTGAAACCCGCCGAAGAGGACAATGTAATTCTTGAAATAGGTCATGCGATGCCCGCTCCGAGCCGGTGGATTTCTTCCCTTGCCTCTCGGCTCCAGCTTCGTCCACTCTCGAGAGTCGGTGTCCAGGTGCCAAAAGTCGTGGTAATGGTAGAACTGATTCTGCTTTGGCGACGAGAACTCGCCGCCTGAGATGTACATCCCACCGGTATTTCCGCCTCGACAGGCTGCGTGACCGCTTCGGGGTAGAGGACTATTTCCAGAGACGATCTGGTGCCACTCACCTTTGTCGATGAGATAGACGATCAAATCATTGTAGAAGGATGCAACGGTGCCGTCGTGGTACTCACCCCCGAAAATGAAGAGTTCGTTCCTGTTTGACGGCGACGCCACCATCGTGCTGGACGACCTGGGTCCAGGAGGGCGGCAGGGCTGCTCCGTAACCTTGAGGAACTTTGCTTGTTCTTCGGCATAGGCAGCTAGCACGGCGTCAAGGTCAACCTCCTCGTCATCCGAATCGGCATTCAGAGCAGCCTGCTTTGCACTTTTCTTCTTCTCGGATTTCGTGGTTTTCTTGCTTTGTTTTGCGGCCTTCTGGGCCTTTTTCTCGGCCGCCTTCGCTTTCTTGTCCTTGGGCGCCATGGTATGACCTTACCGCCAGAATAGTCTCCTCCCCTCGTGAGCTCGAGGAGAAGCACTCACGAAGCCAACTTCAGCTTGTGACACTGTCCATATATGCGCCGAGTGACCCTGTCTATGGGAATCGGTAGAGATGCAGAGCTGACAATGCACTTCAGATGTACTCCGTAGTCAGGTACCGTCGCCGTCGCCCGGGCCATGCCACCGCTCATTGTGCTGCGAATGGCTCGACGGCTCTTGAAAATTTGGGTCACATGCTCAGGTGTTTTCTTGGCGTATTAGTCATCACATCGCAGACGCGTTCTTCTTCACGCGTCAGTGGGGCTTCTTGGTGTTCCGTCAACTTACTCGCACCACGAGGCTAGCCTGCGTGCCTGCGCCGCCGACAACACCACTCGTCCATGCCCTTATGCTACCGGTCCCTTGTCAAAGTGAGATGCAGCAAGATGCGACGGACCTATGACCAAGAACAACCTTAGCACCTGTCTTGCATGGCTGCTGCAGCATCCACACTCTTTTGGAAACTTGGATCATATCTCTGCTATCGTTGGCACGCCCGCTGCGTCGTACGATGAAGCTACTGCGACGGAAGCGGACAATGAGATGGCAAGACTGCAACTGGCGCCGCAGACGAATCACAGACCGAAACTGCATTCCCAACTGAACAATGTGCCGAATCCCTTACCAACTCCCACGCCTTCACGACCGTCAGAAGAACCGAAGCCGAGATCGACTCGTCCGAAGCAGACGCTGGCAACTCCGTCCGCGGCGCGACAAAATGCTACACTACGGACACCCGGAACGGCGTCGGGAAACCTCGGCTTCAGTGATGGTGTCCTCGATATTGATGAGATTGATCTTACTGGGGATGTCACAACTTCTTCCTTTGGCGAATTTGGTCCCCCGCTTAGGCTGTGGAGGGAAGACTCAGCTTCTCGCGTAGAACCGCTGCCCAAAAAGAATGGGAAAAAGAGGAAGAGCGACGAATATGAGTCAGATCTCCTTTCTCCACGATCCAGGCGGAAGACAACAAAGGTTTTGCAGAACGCGACTACAACGGTGTCCCCACTTCATGCTCGCCAGCCCGAGGGCTTGGAGAGGCACGCCCAGGAAGAAGTCAGCCTTACACAGACCACCATTCGCCAAAAGCCACCCCCGTTATCGGAAGCGGAAGATGAGTTTTCTGATTTCTCGGTCAATGACTTTGAGGAGACCCAAGACCAGCTGCCGATCAAACCCGGTGATGCTCAGCAAAGTCAGACATTGAGGAGGACTAATGTTATTCCCGATTCGGATGATGATGAGGAGGAGGCAGACGTACCTTTTGCTCCAAAGGTTGAGGCCGACCCAACGAGTCCAAACCCTTATTTGCTCGGCCATACCCATGGCCGTGGGGACGTTGTTAGGGATGTCAAGCATGCGCAAGAAGCCTTTCGATCGCCCAGGCGATCACAGCCTCCTAAATCCTCGCAGTCGCCTCGGAAGCCTGCGTCTCCCCGTCGCGGCGCGACATTGACCCACACAGTTACGTCAAATCAGGAACCAATGTTCAAAAGCAGTGCGGCCAGTACTTCCTCGAGCGAGAACCTTACAGCGGAGCAGAAGGACCTTGTTGCCAACTTTGCCAGCAATGGCCAAGAGCAGTTGCAAAGTTTACTGCAACGGCTCGAACGATCGAAGAAAGCCGTTGATGACAAAATCATGGACGAGATCTGTGAAGATGGCGGTGCATCTACTGAATCTAAAGAGAGGCTGAGAGCGATATTGGACAAGATCGCTTCAGCCGCGCGGCTACGAGACGAGTTCGATACTTTAGCGAAGCTCCGAAAGCAGCGAGAACAGATGGTAGTCCAACGCAACAAGCTTAGCAATTCCGGCCACAGCGTCAACCCAGATGATCCTGCAGATGTCTTGATGTCCTTGTGTTCAAAGATCTTCCAGGCAAAGCGGGACATCGACGCCCGAGAAGTATCCGTTTTCAGACTTCTTGACCAGATCGGGGTGCCTACTGCTGGCCACATGACAGCGCGTGTCAATGATTTCAGCGGCAGAATTCTCTCTCCCAGATCGATCGTGTCGGAGCAAAACGTGCTCGTAGCCTCGACGCAAAAAGGGTCCCAGTTGACCTCGAAACAATTGAAAGACGAGGATAGACAAGGTCTTTCTCACCTCTCTACTCAGTCAGTCCGTCAAACACCTGCTCCCAATCGATTCAATACGCCGCTCGTCAGCGTTAAGTCGCCGTGCCGGAGTCCATCTCCGCAATACACATCGAAGCGCCCAGCATTCGTGGAACAGGCAAGGACGCTTCAGTCGACTCTTAGGACCGCTCATTCTGCCGTGTCAGGGCATGCTTTCGCTTACAATGAGCCTGAATCGAGTGGCAGGGGGTTCTCAAGAACCATGGCTAGCCCCACACGAAACTATTCCTTCGAGGAAGACGACTTTGAGGACGATCTAGACGATGAGGAGATGTACCAAGCAGTCGAAGAATTCGAGCAGCATCTGTCGTCACGGACGGCTGAATCGTCAGAGATACCTAGCCGTGCTGCGCTTGCAGAAGTCAGCGACAATATTCGTAAGATATCTCCTAAGAAGAAACCATCTTTACAACAACCAAGCTCCTCGCATGCACTGATGCAACATCCGTGGTCGAAAGACGTGGCATCGGCCTTAAAGAGGAAGTTCCACTTGCACGGCTTCCGCCACAATCAGTTGGAAGCTATCAACGCAACTCTGGCCGGCAAAGACACATTTGTCCTAATGCCTACTGGAGGGGGCAAATCTCTTTGTTACCAGCTTCCTGCCGTCATAAAATCCGGGCGGACGCGCGGAGTTACTGTGGTGGTTTCCCCCTTGCTCAGTCTCATGCAAGACCAAGTGGACCACCTTCAAAAACTGCAGATCCAAGCACATCTTATCAACGGTAACAGTACTCCAGAGGCCCGCAACTGGGTTCGCCAAGCCTTGCAGGATCCCAATCCCGAAGAAGTATTGCAGCTTCTGTACGTGACTCCAGAGATGTTGGGCAAGAGTCAAGCCATGGTCTCCGCGTTCGAAGCTCTATATAGGCGAAAGCGACTCGCTCGAATTGTGATCGATGAGGCTCACTGTGTCAGCCAATGGGGACATGATTTCCGACCAGATTACAAAAGCCTGGGCGAAGTTCGCAAGCGGTTCCAGGAAGTACCTGTCATGGCCTTGACAGCAACAGCAACTGAAAACGTCAAAATCGATGTCATGCACAACCTTGGTATGAAGGACGCGGAGGTTCTCACGCAAAGCTTCAACAGACCTAACCTGACGTACGAGGTGAGGCCCAAGGGCAAAAACATTGAGGTCCTTCAGAGCATCGCGGACACCATCAAAAGCTCTTACAGGGGACAAGCAGGTGTTGTGTATTGCCTGTCGCGGGCAAATTGCGAGAAAGTGGCGCAGGATTTGAGCGACAAATTCCAAATTGAGGCGCAGCACTACCATGCCGGTATGCCATCGGAGGAGAGAATCGACATCCAGAAGAGGTGGCAAGCTGGAGAGTTCAAGGTGATCGTTGCTACGATTGCCTTTGGCATGGGGATTGACAAGTCGGACGTCAGATTTGTCATGCATCATTCTATGCCGAAAAGTTTGGAGGGCTACTACCAGGAGACGGGCCGAGCTGGTCGTGACGGCAAGAGATCCGGTTGCTACCTGTACTATGGCTACCGTGATTCAATGTTACTCAAGCAAATGATCAAGAACGGTGACGGCAGCGACGAGCAGAAGGAGCGCCAATACCAGCTTCTGCGAAACATGGTCCAGTTCTGCGAGAATCGGAGTGACTGCCGCCGGGTCCAAGTCCTGGGCTATTTCAACGAACATTTCAACCGCGCAGACTGCGAGAATGGTTGCGACAACTGCAACTCGACCAGCACGTTCGAGACACAAGACTTTTCTGAGCATGCACGGGCCGCCATCAGCATTGTGAGAGAGATATATCGCTCGAAGGTGACCGTCCTGCACTGTGTGGACATATACCGTGGGAGCCGCAACAAGAAGATCACACAGCTGGAGCATAACACGCTCGCTGAATACGGCAAAGGTGCCCACCTGGTCAGAGGAGACGTCGAGCGTTTGTTCCACAGACTTATCAGTGAGAAAGCCCTGACAGAGTATAACAAGGTCAACAAGGCTGGGTTTTCGACCCAATACATCAAACCCGGCCCCGCAGCTCGCGATTTCGAGGCAGGTCGGCGATCTCTGAAGATCCAGGTCCTGGCGTCACCGCACGAGAAAGCTAGAACCAGCGCACCACCACCCCAGAAAAGTCGCCAAAACGGGCAGGGTACCGGAGTCAAAGCCGCCGGGGACTACTATCCTACCTCGACAAACGTGTCGTCTCCTTTACAGCCTCGCACAAACCGAAAGCTTCCACGCCCCGTCGAGGACCCCAATTCTGACGACGAGGACTTCATTGTACACACAAGTGAGATGGAAGGCGAGGATGTGCCCGAGGACGAGGACGAGGACGCCTACGCCTTCGACGCCGACATTGCATTGGACCACTCTGGAACCCGGAAGACGAAGCTGGGCCCTCCCATCACATCGGAGACAAGCATGAGCCTGAGTTCTATCCATCAGCATATTCTTGATCACTTTATCGAGGACGCGCGAGCTCACATTAAGCGTATATCCATCGCAAAATCCCTCCGGCAAGTGCCTGTCACAGACCGTACCTTGCATCTGATCGGTATCGAATTCCCACAGGATGCGACGCAGCTGCAACGTATCAGCGGCATGAACGACGAGATCTTCAAGATGTTTGGGCCTGTCTTGCTTCGATTGATAAAGTCGGCATTCAATAACTACGAGGCGATGATGAGAGCGCAAGAAGGTCGACCTGATGACCCGAACCACCAAACAGTCATTGAGATAGCCGATGACGATGGTAGCGGCGACGAGCCCGAAACCGATGTGGACATGAACGATGTGGACGAGACGGAGAGTAGCCATTGTTTTAGCGTACCTGAGGGGGACAGCAGGTCGAGTGGACGGGGTAAGTGTGATCCACGCTTTGCCCGACAATAGTCGCTGACACATTGTAGCGCTTCCCCCTTCGTTTTCGGAGAACAAGTTTCGCAAGACAACAGCGAAGAAGGCTCCGTCTCGTTCGAGATCGGTTTCCTGGAATCGGAAGGGTTCTCGCGCCTGGCAGCGTGGTGGTAGTAGTAGTGGTGGTGGTGGCGGCGGCGGCAGCAGCGGCAACAGCAGCTCGAGAGCAAGGACGAGTGCTGCGAAAGGAAAGAAGGCCAGTGGTGGTGTTGCGAAGAAGGGAAAGGGCAACTCTAGCGCCCGTTCAAGCACCAGCAGTGCTGGGTCGTCGCGCTTCGTGCACAAGAACAACAAGACTGGATCGTCACAACGCAGCGCGGGTGGAAGCAAGATCAGCATGATGCCGACTTGACGAACAAGAAGAGTGCATGGTGATGGCGGCTTGAGTGCTGGCTCGACCGCAAGCATCCACAAAGCCGGTAGGTTAGCGATGCTCATTGCAGAGTGACTGCTCGCTCGTTGAATTACAGTCAATGGAATCTGAGATGGACGCGCCCCAGGAACGTTCTTTCCCAACCCAGCGGATTCTGTTCTCTGCGCCTTCTCATAAGAAATTCTCTCACGGCGCCTTCCTTTGTGCTTGAGCTGTTCTCAATCGTCAGTCAGATGTGGAAGAGCCATGGTTGACGTCCTGCGCAACTTCGACACCACCTCACGACACATGAGTTCCTTTTCACCCACGCTTCACTTTTTCGTTACTTGCCTCTGGCCACCCGTGCAGCTCCTCCACTTACTTCTCCACGCAGCCCACAACCAGGCATGCAACGCGCTGGTTTGACATGCCACTGGAAGAGATCAGTCCGAACATTCGAACAGATGCCGCACAAGATGGGCTCAAGCAGGCTGCGGCGGCAGCGACCTCCACCAATTCCCTGCGCTCAAGTGCCGTTCAGAGCATGCTGAGAAACACGACCGAGCTGGGAGATACAGGTCCATTCGCAATTCGCCCTTCACGAATCCCTCGCTCCGGTTCACGCCCGCAGCCGTCCAGGTGCCGCACGGGTTCGTTCAACGACTCTTTTGCTTCTCAGCCACGGCTCAAAGGCTCCCCACGAAGACGCTCCCACCGACACCATGGGCCCCGAACTGTTCCCTCGTCCTCAGCATTATGTGGACGAGAGACTGTCCACTCGGCTCACACTTCACTGCACTCTGGTCTGCGCTCCAAGCGAGCCGGGCATCGCCACCAGTCGCACGGTTTAAAGGGCCTGGGTAGCAGTAGTATTCCTGCCCATTCGCTTCATACTCACCGGTCGATGGTCACCCTTCGCAGTCAGCGGACCTTTCTTGGTCTTCATTCCGGCTCTCCAATGCTTCGACCCGGCCACCGTCCGCTGCCGGGCCATCGAGCATCTTCCCCTGCCTTCAGTGACGCCTATCCGTACAGAGGCGGCCCGAGACACGGTTACCCAAGAGTTGGCAGTGTCGATACGGTGGCATCGTCTCCTGCCTTGACGTATCATCGGCGCCCTGGCTTACCTGGATACCGTCCCGAGCTAAACAACTCTTTCTCCTCGTCCATTCGCTTGCCGTCTCCCGCCGTCTCGTTCGTCAATGGTCTCCCTGGCAATGGGTATCCGACCCAAAGAACAACTACTCCCATGTCGACTTCTCTACAAAGTCTTCGCCCCGCTTGGAATCACAGTGCAGCCTCGTTTAGAGGCCTCACCAAGTCGCCCACAGAGTCAACAGCACCTCCCTATTATGACTACTCAGAGTCATTCCTAGAAGAGGACTGCTTCTCGTCGCCAGACGATCCTTCTGCAGCGAATCTGCCCTTCAACATGGACCAGACAATCATGGAGGACGATGATATCCCCGAACGCCGACAGGCGCAGTCACCCTTTGGCACTATGCCTGGTTCAGCCTTTCGGCCCTTGGAATTGCCGACCTCGCACAATCGCCGTCCCAGTGAGAACTCGAAGCATTCGAAGTACAGCTACACAGGTGTTATTCCGCCTCGGCAGTCGAGCCTTGGAGCGACCACGGGTCACAAGAGAGGTACATCACGCACACCCGCAAGCCAAGAGGTGAGACATCCATGATCCTTGGCTCCGTCACAGTTGGCTTGTATAGCATGCTGACATATCTGCCACAGGTTATCACCAGGTCTGCCACTACTGACCAAGTGGCACGATCCAAGTATGAGAATCCACAAGCATCTACCGCTTCCCGTCGAGCATCGCATTCGACCCACTCAAGTGCATTTTTCCCCAATGCTTGCCGGAGCCCGCGAGACCTCACGACTCTTGCTGCTCGAGTCCATTCACCGGTGTTCGATGAGAAGCCTTCAATCTCGGGATTGTTGGAGTACGGAAATCCAAAGCGTGACTCCGGCAGGAGAAAAGCTTTCAGCGATGGCCAGCAAATTCGAGCTCAATGGCAGCTTCCGTCTTTCAGTTTTCGACCGCTCTCTTTCGGGACATACTCACCTGGGCTCAAAGAAAGGCCAAAGACGTCCGGTGATGTCCGTTCCAAAGACGGCCCCGACATTCTATCCCCCATGCCTGAGCGGCCCATGTCATCGCAAAGCCGAAAGCGCTTTAGTCGCATCCTGGAAATCTCTGACAGCTACGTGACGGACCAAGGCAAGCCTCCTTATACTCCTCAAACATCTTCGAGGCTTGATGCAGTCGAAGAGCACCCGGACTTGCAAAGCCTCGAAAGGTCCTTGTCCTCGCCCTCAGAATTTGAGTCAAGACTTAACGCGGTCAATCAGGAGCGCCGAGAGCAAGAGCATGCTGCGGAGCATGCCTCTCCAAGCGCGAACGCAGATACGAGTCAGATCACCATGCAGGAAAGGTCAACTATTGAGTCTCTCCTTGACAGGCACATCGAATGCTTGGGTCTCAACGAAAGTGGCGACGACGTTGAAGAAGGCCCTTTCGAAGGCGCCGACGCCCTCGCGCATTCGGATCCTGCTCCCAAAAGTAGCGGAGAGAGCACAATCAAGCCAAGTCCCGTCGTCCAGCAGGCTCTACCACAGTGGAACTTCAGACCAACGACATCGAGCTCAACGATCCAGCATTCCAGTCTGGCGAGTTCGGAACGACGTCGCCTCATACCTCGACGGCTGTTCGCCAGTATGGACGCCAGATTGCCACCAGGAGCGGTGCTCGCAGACATCCAGGGCCCCTGCACGTCCAATCCTACGTCTACCATTTCCGACCTTCAGCCGCGCCTTTCAGGCTGGCAGACACTTCCTTCCACCAGTGGACTGGTGACCTCCGATTCTGCCAGATCTACGGCAAAAGCTTCGTTGGCTTCAGGTGACATAGCGGACATTGATTCGGATCCTCCAAATGCAAGATTTAAGATCCGAAGAGTGTCGGAACTTAGTCTGAGTCCCGAGACAGTAAGCAGTCCGCGCAACGGCCGAGCATCACAACCTCACCGGCGTTCGAAGAGTGACATGCTTGCCAGACAGATGTCACACCGGCGCCGGCGGGCTCGGATATTGATAAAGGCCAAAAGAAAGTCGCAAAGTCTGGGACAGCTCGCCAACCTGGCTCAGGAGGATCAGGTTGATGGGTTGATGGAAGATGTCGGACACTCAGAAGACTGGGTCACGGAAGACTCTCCTGAGAAAAACAGCCAGACTTCGCCCGTCGCTGGGTATGCAGAACTGAGCGCAGACTCTGTCGCGGTACAACCCCCGACCATACTCTCCGCGGAAGCGAGCGTCCTCGTTCCAATTTCTGCGCCTCGGAGATGGACCAGCATGCTAGCTGCAATGCCCAATCCTGTGAAGAAGAGCATAGAGATTGTGCGAAAGGCTTCTGTGCGCACCATTCAGTCACAGCGAAGTAATACCAGTGTGATTGAGCCAGTCAACAGCACGCGATTCAGTGCCCAGATCTCGCGGTTGGGCTCGGTTCCTCAACTCGCACCTCCAGAATTCGGCCCTCCGCTCACATCATCGGACCTGAACCTTAGTCTTCGATTTCCAGGTCCGCCACAAGTGTATCGGCCACCCTTGCGCCAAGTGCAGAGTTTCTTTTCTGACGACAGCTCGGCGGCGCTCGCTCACAAGCGACCAAGTACTCTCAAGAAACGGTTTGACCTTCCCAGCTTTCGTAGCGGTTTCACCAAGTCCACCGGGCTGATCGGGACTCGGCATAGTTCCACTCCAAGAGGGACGAATACTCTCCAAACAAGTGCTTCGTACCGAGTGCGTGACCGAGAATCAGTTGAGTACCGGCATGAAGCATTCGGAGACACCGTACCCATGTCGGATTTTGCATACAAGAAGCGCAAAGTCCTTGGCAGGCTGAAGGAATGGTGGAAACGGCAGTGCATGCAAAAGACCTTGGACCTGGTCAGAAAGAAGAGCGGTCGAAATATGCAGCACGCAGCTTGGGCATAGCGATATCATATCGGCTGTGCATTCGTGATCCACGCGACTGAGGTGGCTTCTCTGACGCAACATTTTGGAAGGGGATACAGAGGCCAGTTGCAAGTATCGTTTGCATCTTATTTCGCATCATGTAAGAACAGCTGGCGTACAGGGTACTGAGGCAAAAGTCGTGAGGTTGTTTCTGTACTGAGGTAATTATGACATGTCGGGAGTTTGCGACGGCATGAGAAGCTGAGAGGCTACTGTACATAATCGAAGTCTAGAGCCCGCTCATCGGATTTCCCCTTGTTTTCATCCGTAGAGACAGACTTTATGAACGGCTGCACTCGAACACCATGCTGATCCCTGATCTGGGATGGTTTTAGAGCATTCAAGACACGGTGCCCAACTAGAGAAATCACAGCCGCTATAGGGGAGCTTATTGTCGTAGTCCTATTGCTTTACCGTGCGAATGTTACCTCGAAACCGGCGTCGTCGCCGTCTTCTTCTCCATGGCCTTGCGTCAAGCAAAAATGCCAATGATGAAAAAGAAAAAAAGATCGCACAAGGCGACCAACACACAGGGCGGAGCAGTGCAGAGAAGAGCAGAGCAGATCAGGAATCGGCCTGAAAGACTCTCCTCCCCTCCCCTCCCCTCCTCTTTTCTCCAGAACGACAAAAAAATCGGCGACGAAGCCACAGCTCACGGCTCCCCTCCTTCCTTCCCAGTGCCCGCCGCGAGAAAGTCTCGTCGAGGGTGTGGAATGGGTGGGACTTTTCTCTGCCTGCGGCTCGCTTTCTTCGAGCGCATGTTCGAAACGTTCACACACTTGACTGCTGGAACCAGCACACCCCAGCACCCCAGCCACGCAGCCACGCAACCACACGGCCCGAACGTACATTTGTACATGTGTACCAGTCGGTGGAAGCGGTTGGTGGAGGTGGAAGGGGAGCGGTTTCAGCGGTGCAAAGAGGAGCAACTTCGAACATGCAGCGGTCGAGGAATGTATGTATGCAGGGAAGTCAGAAAGGGAAGGGCGGGTGGCGTCCGTTCGTCTGTCGTCTTCGCGGTACTTTGTAGGTTGGAAAAAAAAGCCCCCAGATCGGACACGTAAGAAGTACATGTTGTACTCCGTAGGTTATGTTTGGCCCCCCAGTTCCCACAGAAGATAGACTGCCCCCAGTTTCCTCAGCTTAGGTCCGCTATTGCGAGAGACCTGATTTGTGTGTTTTGCTTGACTCTTGACCCGGCCGCAGTCAAGAGCCATAGCAGAAGTAATTGCAAAGTATGTTTTGCGCGTTCAATATGTGATGGGGTCTTCAGCCCAACCGATTCATACATGGGTTGGAGACCGAAAGTTGAACTCCCCGGTATGGTCCGAGGCATTGATCCCCTGGTTTCGTTCTCGTGTACCGCTCCGGTTTGGGCCGGTTGCCAACAAAATAATACCCTTGCGTGTACTCCGTACTGATCTTTAGGCTGCTGCTTTTTCATTCCGCCTCTGCGGCAGTGTGTCCACTCGCACAGTCGGGGCCAAGATCTCAGAGTCGGGTGATGCTTTGCTCTTCGCGACCTTTCGTGGGATGGCCAAGTCTAGAGGTGATCAGTCTCTATGTCCTTGGGAATATTAAAATTTCTGAAGCTGCACCCATAAGGTGCGCAATAGGGTCAGCTGGCGACGCCACGCTGGCATTCCTCTACCTCGCAGTTCGAGCGTAGAAAACAAATCACATCATCCTCGTCAGAATGATGTGTAGGAGTGGTCCAAAGGTACAATCCGAAATTTCGGTGTCCACGAATTGCGTGAGAAGGGAGTGACCGAAAATATTTGGCTGCCTCGTCCAGTCCTTGCATCTTTGGTGGCGCTTCCTGGCCGAGAGTTTGCATGGCAGCATTCCAAAATCGGCCTGTCCACAGGTGCTGAAGAGTCCACAGGCCATTTTCCTCCAATCTCGTGAATCCAAAGGTATCCTTGGGTATCCGGTCTCGCCAAGGCGGGTCCCTGACGAGAGTGTTTTCCTTGGTAACCTTTTTCATCCATGGCGGGCGAAGACTACCAGTGGCCTGTCTGTCCTCTGGCAACCCGTCGTAATATTTGATCTTTCGATCGACATTCTGGCAATCGGTTGTGAAAGGGTATGGCAAAACTTGTGGTCCTTGGGCACGACTTGCTGGGCAATCACCTGCGATACAGACAAGTCCGCATCACATCGACCACCGTCAAGCTGTCGTGTGCAACCTACGGGCCGAGGACAAACGTCGCAAGACAACACGCTCACGTGATTCCCCGGAGTGAGTTGCACAGAACAGCCAGCCTGCCCCTCTCAAGACGGCACCAAGTCCGCGACGTGTGAAGGGCACACGCCGTGAATGGAATTTCCATACATCGACACCGAGGTGCCATGCATGGCGAACCCCATCTGCCAGCCTAAGCCACAACCCTTTGCAGTATTTCGAAAACCTGTCAGAAGCGAGCAGAAACTCCACATAGAGGCGGGCGTCGTGAGGCCTTCACAACGGTTCTTCAAGTGAACACAGTCCACCTCCGAACTGCCTGAGCCCATCTCAAGCACTCCGCGGGTTGCCCCAACCCCGGTGATCCCAGGAGCTCTGCCTTCAATGACGGGAGACGCCAAGCAAAAGCAGAACGACTGTTAGCAACCGACTCCAATATGTTTGGGATAAGTGCTGCCGCATTCTCGGATTCGTGTAGAGGTGCAGTTGTATCCTTCGTCTTGCCCCGGTGAGTGTTTTCAGTCGGCTGTCGGCGCACTGAACCCAAAGTCCACGCAGAAAGAGGAAGGCTCTAGTCCGGGAGCACGCCGTCGAGTGTCGCCCTGTAACACCTCACTCAGCATTGACTGGTGTCACACTGGAGGGGGTTCGATGTCTCGAATAGCTGCAGTCTCTAAATTCTGGGGTTCCTTGCACAAAGGACCTGTAACACGGAATAGCCCGACGTCCCATGTGGCTTGCCTCCGCGAGAACGATACACCGATGGGTAGGGAAGGGGACAAGGAAAAGGAAAAGGTAGTAGGGGAAATAGCAGAGGAGTGAGCAGTTGCGCAGGAAAGGAAGAGGGAGAAGGGGAAGCAGGCAACGGCGGAGGAGCTCATAACAGCTAAAGAAGAGGGGAGCGACGAAGGTTGGAGGAGGCTGCAGGTCGGGGGAGAAAAGCTGGGGAAGAGGGTCTCGACTTTTAAGGTCACGAAGTCGTCCGGCTTGGCGAGGAAGACGCGCTAATTGCCAGACGCGTGGTTGGCGGGGAGGCCGGTTGCGGGGCACGACGGAGCTGCTGAGCACGAGGTGAAGGACGAATGAAGGGAGGGTGAAAGGTGAAAGGTGAAAAGCCCTCGGTCCGTGCGCCCTCATGAGCTCCTAACACGAACAAGAACGCTGCAATCAATCTTAAGGGATTCTCAATTCTCATTCGTATTATCTAGAATCTCTGCAAGGATCACACAGTCGAACCTCAGTGGCGTTGAGTTCCGTAAGGTCCATCGAACTGCTTCTTCTAAGCCCAAGCCAGAGTTCGAGAAGGCCAGAGGGATCCGTCCAGTGAGTTCAACACTCCTCCTTCCCCACCCCGCGAGTTTCCGCGTCCTTGACCGTTCAGCCTGAGTCCTTCATCTCTGTCGAGGCGGGCTGTTGAGTCCGCCTTTGAGCCAAGAAAGCGGCCTACCTGAGTCGGCCTGGCGGATTTGACCCGTGTAACGACTCAAAACCCAACTTGCTGTTCAACCTCAATTTGGATCATGCGGGTCAAGTGGCCAATTGCTATGCGGGTGATAGCTTGGTGACTGGTCAATATGTACTCCGTACCTAGGTAGGATTCCTGTGTGCGGCGCAGTTGCGGGTTGCAGCAAGTCCCTTCGCATGAATTGAGAAGGTCTACAGTAGCACGTATTGCAGCTTCCAAGCACCAGCTACAGCTCCATTATATGCATTTGGAACCTCAGTGTATCTCGCATACCGTTTTCCTTGGTGTCGATGAACTATGGAGCCAAACATACTAAATGGTACTTCCATGCTCCGTACATATATATATGAGATGAAGTCCATCGAAACTGGTTGTGGTAACCACAAGACACCGATGGGGTCCCTATCTGACGTACTCCGCACCTGACATTTAAATGTCAACCTTTTGCACCTGGAGAATAAATGTATCAGCTGTCAGACAAAATCTGACCCCGGCTCACCACTCGCAGCCAGTCGGTAGCGGCCCCTGACAACCCGCCCCTGCGTTTGTATGTACGTGCTTAGTGCCCTGCTACTTGTGTCTGATAGCCCTTGGGACCTGGAACAAGTGCACTGCGTTTCTGACGACCTTCCGTCTTCCTACCTGATCATTGGCGAACACTAATCTCGAAGTCTTGCATCAAGTAGGGGCGTTCACCGGCTGAGCGCCCGTCCGAGATCCTCCCCTTCACCGTCTCTTGACCTCCACACCATGGATCTAGCATACGACCATATCGTCGAACAGGCTTACAATCCAGCCGACCGCGCAGCCACGCCGACTCCAGGCGACAAAGCGCCGACTGACCCGACGGATGCAGCGACACCGAAACCACCAAGCTCTCCGAGGCAGAGCCTGCAGTCCGAGTTCCAAGAGACCTTCAAGGCATTCTCCAATTCCCCGTGGGGCGCAAAATTAGGAGGCTTCTGGGGCAATGTCAGGAAGCAGGGCGAGAGTCTGTACGAGGAGGCGAAGAAGGAGGCAGTCGACATAGGCAAAGACATGGAAGCCTTGCGGTTGAAGGGTGCTAAGGGGCTCGGGTTCGGCGCCGAGCAGGAGCGAGCACAATCGACGGCGGAGAAAGCTGAAGGATCTCCAGCGACTGGCGATACTGGCGCAGAAAACAAGGACCTGCAGGAAACCGACACGTTTCTTGCCCGGTTCAAGGCTGAAGCCGCAAAGAGACTGAAGGAAGTCCAAAAGGCCGAAGATGCCGCGGATGAGGCCCTCCTCAGGTTCGGGACCAATATTCGGAACTTCCTGCAAGACGCCGTTTCCGTGACTGCACCGGATGAGGAGGAGGCCCGGAATGGTCAGCCCGGCGAGGTGCTCTTCGAGAGCAAGGACGGCTCATCGGGAAAGAGGGTCATCCACACGAGCAGATTCGATGCGCAACTTCACGTCATCCACACGACGTTGACGAGCTTTACGCAAGACCCCAGCGGAGCGGGCAATCAGTGGGACGATTTCAAGGCCGGGTTTGATATCGACAAGATGACCACTCGCATCGCCGAGGATCTGGACAAGTACGCCGAGTTGAGACGTTCGATGGAGAAGCTGGTGCCCGAAAAGGTAGAGTACAAGGATTTCTGGACGCGGTACTATTTCCTGAGACATGTCGTTGAGACGCAGGAAGAGAAGAGAAAAGAGTTACTCAGAGGTATGTCGATTCCAAGAAAGCCGTCACCATCCATCCATCCATCCACCCACATATCACCCACTAATCTACGCGAGCAGCGTCGGCCAACGACACCGAAGAAGTCGGCTGGGACGAGGACAGCGACGACGAACAAGAAAAACCATCCACTTCGTCTCAACAAAAGGAAGCAGTGCCCAAGGTGTTGGTCGCTCAAAACACAAACGACTCGTCAACCACCATCCACCAAACTCCACCGCCGCCGGCCGACTCCTCCGCCCTCCGACCCAGCCGCCGGTCCCACGACGAGAAGTCCGTGGCAGACAGTGACGCAAGCTACGACCTCGTCAGCGGCGCCACCAGTCGCGCACCCGGAAGCCCCAAGGACGAAGTGGGCAAGTCGTCGACCAAGACCGACGAGAGCGACGAAGAGGACTGGGAGTGATAACCTGATGTTTTGAGAGTCCTGTATTTTTTGGCCCCGGCACGGAGTCCACGCACAACACAATGAGATACCCTGCAAGAAACATTTCCCACTACAGAGATCCCCAGCTTGCTGAATGTCCTTCTCCGCTTGGCCTGATCTGATGCTTCTGCACTCAAAAGACCTTTACCTACACATTCCAAGTAGCTCATGTCTTTGTTTGTCCCGTCCTGCACCCAAATACCTACACTACACTGCTCTAGTGGCTCAGGTCTTCGACTTGTCCCATCCTTTTGTGAACATGATCCGGCCACGAAATATTGAATATTCCCGTATAGGCGTTTACTTCCTCCAGCAACAATCGCCATTGACGCTATTCATGGGTGCATATTGTGTATCGTTCATCGTCGTTTCAAGTCTAGTCAAGCGGCAGAAAGCGCGGGATAGCTTTGACCACACACACACACACACGAGAGAGAGTGCCACTATAAAGTACAGTAAATCGTCCTCGTTAGGCCCAAGGCACAAATGAACGCAGTCGAAGTTCTGCAAACCAGTACACTTGCTCCCTTGAAATACTCTAGGCAGGGCTATCCAATCCTGCGAACACGTGGTAATACAATACAGATACACTGTGAAGTGTAAGTTGGGCTTCTGGAGGACTCGGTTTATCCGTCAGTTATTTCTCTCTGCCCCCGTCCTGTTTTTTCCAACAGGCCCGCCTCTTTTGCGACCATGCTTTAGTGGAGAATCCGGCGCATGGACTGGCAGAGAAACAAGCAGAGTCCAGAGCTCTTCAGAATGGTGCTTCTCTTGACTTGTGGTAATAAATAGGCTCTGCCGGCTTTCTTGTCGACAGTAAGCTTTCTTGTGCAGATTGTCGGCAACCTCATTATCCAGAAACTCTGGCACCGCTTGATGCTGGCTGCCCCGAATCTCGTCTATCCCTTTCCAAAACTGTGTCTGACACTTCAATCGTTGTCAGCGTTTCCAATTCGATCGTCCTCAGACAAGAAAGTCCGAATTGATTCAAGAGACCCTGCCGAAGAATCATCCATTGACTGAAATTCACTGCTCAGCAGCGCATCTGATAACACCATCACCGGCCCCTCTTTGCGCCTCGCCCTGACGACGACCGCCCTTCCCCGCCACCTCGTCGATGCGGGTTATTCGAGCCAGGCGCATTTGGCACCACGCGCAGACCGGGCACTCCTTTGAGTCCCATCTTGCCTATGGTGGACTTTTCCAGCGCGGGCACCTCAGCACAATCTAGACCTCGGAGCGCGAACTGATTCGCCTCGGTCACCAGTTCGGCAGTCGACACTCGCAATTGCTTCATGAACGTCTTGTAGTAGCCCAGCCATGCTTGATAAACTTTGGCCTTGTTGTCCATCGCGGCCAAAGCAGGCTCGATATCCTCGATACTATACGTAAGCGTTGAGGGGTATTCTTGCATCTTGATATTCTTCAATTGATGCAAGAAGCCTTTCTCGAGCTCACTCAGTACCAGGACGCCTCGGCCTTCAGCACCTGCGCGAGCTGTACGTCCGAGCCGATGGATGTACGTCTCCCTGTCGGCCGGCAGACCAACCTGAAATACATGGGAGACGCCTGGAAAGTCCATACCTCGAGCGATGACATCCGTGGCGACGCAAATCCCATTTGTTGCTTTTCGGAACTCGTCCGTGGTTCGGGTCCGCTTGCTCTGCGTCATTCGAGAATGCAGGACCGAGACGCTCGGAAGTGTACCAGTCGATGCAAGAATGTGGCCGTAGAAGTCAGCATGAGCTGCTGTGGGAGCAAACACGATGGCCTTGAACGCATCTGCTGAAGCGAGCTCGGCTTCGACCACGGCGACCGTAGCAGGGGCAAGGTCGCTCATGCTTGGAGTCAAGACAACATATTGATCAACACGTTCATGGGTGGCTGCTTCACCTTCCGGAATTGTCGAGATGAACTCATAGTCCTTCTTCAAGAAGAGATGCGCAACTTTCTGCACTTGATCGTCAATTGTGGCCGAGAACAGCATGGACTGCCTAGGAAGTTGCTTCGGCAGATAGTTCAAGATCCTCTTGATGTCTGGTAGAAAGCCCATATCTAGCATTCTGTCCGCCTCATCAAGTACAAGAGTCTGGAGCGAGCCCAACATCCGTTGGACCTCCTCTTCGCCGAGATGATCCAAAAGTCTGCCCGGAGTAGCAATTAGAATGTCACACCCTCTGAGAATAGTCCTTTCCTCGGCAACCTTGTTGGTCCCTCCTATGGAAGTGGCTACCCGATACTGCGGGAGTCGTTGAAGCACTTTCTTGGCCTCGGTTGCGATCTGTAGTGCAAGCTCTCTTGTCGGGCAGAGAACCAGTGCGGACAAACGTGGACTGTGGTTTCGCAGGATGGTGTCCACAGCAGGAAGGAGAAAAGCCAGAGTTTTGCCTGTCCCTGTCTTTGCCTGCGCCAAACAATCTTTCCCCTGAAGCAGGTATTCTAGTGTGGCAGCCTGCACCGGCATCATGTGGTCAAAGCCGAGATCATTGGTTAGAGTGTCGATTATGGTAGGGTTTAGGAGATTCTTGTTGCGGAGGTCTCCGAATCGAGGAGTGTCTTGCGGAATCTCGATGGACGGTGGTGGAGGGTCTGGAGGTATCGAGGCAAAAACGTCCACTTGGCCGTCACTCAGATCGACATTCTGAGGCTTGTGGCGGTCCCCGCGCGCTTTACGTGCGAAATGGCCTCTACTACGACCCATGGCAGTTGAGCTGGCGAGGGTGGTGTGTTGCGGAAAAGATGGCGTGTAGCAGCGGTGCTGGAGAATATGTACGCAGACTCTGTATGGACCACGTCTCGGAGGTAGAATATTCAAGGAGAAGATAAAGGGCTTGCGCATCTTCTCATGGCAGGCTCTTCTAGAAAACTCAAGTTTGCCTGTCCTCACCAGTCGTTCACTCAAATTTCACGAGACGCGATTTCAGACGCGAATTTTCCCAGCATAAATGACGTCATCAGCACAAATAATTTCCCATGTTCGTGCTAGTCCTTGCAGCGTGTAGAAATCACGAAATACATCACTGCTCACCTTGTCATCGACCATGTCGCTGTTTTGAGTCTGCACTGGCCTAAAGCGCCCGTGATGATACGATTGAATGACCTGTCAACTCGCTCGGAGCTGAACACTGAGGACATTCAGCCCCAATCAAGCTTGAACCATGTCATGTTTCGTTGATACCATGGCCATTCATCTGTGTGGCCTCGTTCCAAACGAGATATAACGAGCAACTCCTCACCAGCACAGCACTTAAGTTGCCATATACTGCTGCTGTATTGCTCTGCTTGAGTCGCATTCGGAAGTCCTCATCACTGTCCATCCTCGGCCACCCTATTCGTGACGATCAACATTAACCATCATGCTCAGTATTCAAAATCATCGTCGACACCTGTCTTTCCCGACTGCTCCTTTTGCAGGACCTCCTGCTTCCTATACATTTCCGCCACCTGCTTGGTTGTTGTCGCTTCGTCCGTCTTCTTGTCATCTCTGCGTTGAATGAACCTAGGAAACCGGAGGCTAATTCCGTTCTTGCCGCCCATCTCTTCGATCGCAGCTCTGTACCGGGGGGAGAGAGTGAGGTCGGCGGTCTTGACTTCCCAGACATAACGTGCCTCGAACCAGACGTCAGGCTGATCATTCTTCGTCGTAGAATGAGAGTAGAATGGCTTGGGCCGGTCGATGACAATCTCAGAGAGCTCTTTATGTAATTCTTCCAGAACCTGCTCCGAGAAGCCAGTCCCGATGTTGCAGACCGTTTCGAATGTTTGCGTGTCTGAGTTATAGGCAGCAAGAAGAAATGCGCCGTACCAGGAAGTGCGCTTGCCTTTGCCATGGTAAGCACCCAAAACCACAAGGTCGAGGGAGTCGCCAACGCCCGACAGATAGTCTTTCTTGACTTTTAGCCAATTGCGCGAGCGTTTCGATGGCTCGTATCCTGACTCCTCGGTGTCAAGCATTTTCACCATCAACCCTTCGCAGGACGCTTTTACGGAATCGTCAAGGAGATGTTGAATCTCTTCAACATCTTTTGCGTCACCGTATTGCGCGAATTGGAATTCACCCTCAACAAGTTGAAAGGCGCTGTGCAAGAGTTCGCGTCTCTCGCGGAGCGACTTCTTCACCAGTGCCTCTCCGTTGTAGAAGAGCATATCGAAAGCAAAGACACAGACCTTTACGGTGACATCGGACGTTTTGACATCTTTCCGTTTGCGGGTCATCAATTGTTGGAAAGGTAGGACCCTTTTGTTCTGAGGGTCCCAAGCCACGGTCTCGCAATCCAGGACGAAACTTTTCGTCGAAGGTTTGATCCACGTATTCAGCTTCTCCAGGATATCAGGGTACTTCTTCGAAAGGTCTTCGGAATTTCTCGAAAAGATGGCAGCCAGACCTTTGAACGCCTTTGGATCTTTGCTCAAGGTATTTTCTGCGGCTGGAAACTCTGAGGCGGCCTCGGGCGCGACGTAGTGGATCTGTGCACGCTCTCCATCGTACTTGTACTCGCAAGTGAAGTCCTTGCCTTCGAATCGGTCCAAGACTTCAGTGATCGACTTGGTCGGTTTTGCAAGCATGGGTTTTAGCGGCACTCCAGGTTGCAGTTTGCACGTCTCGTGCAAGTTGAAAATGCCATGTTCCAACATCGCCGGAATGATGACTTCATAGGATGGTAATTCACTGTAGACGGTCTTCAGAGCAGCTTCCCCTTCTGCTAGCTTCTCGGTGCTGGGGACTTTGCCCGTCTGAGCAGCTTCGTGGGTTACAACAGCCTGCGCCAGGGCGATGATAACTGTCTTTTCGGCGAGACCGAGTCTCAGCTTTCCTTCCAGGAAGCGGACGAGGAATTTGGCTTCGGACGGTCCGCCCTTGTCCTTTTCAATGTCGACATTCTTGCTCGCAGATGAGACATCCGCAGAGGCCATCAATTTGTTGATGGCTCGGACTTTCTGGTCTTGCGAGCCATGCCCCTCCATTTTGGCAATGTCAAGCAGGCCCTGGTGCACCCCTCGGACAGTAAGAGGTTTCGGCTTGAACATCTGACTCTGCTTCGATCTGCTCTTGGCTGCAACTAATCCCAAGTCGCCGATTTTCTTGTGGTCCTCTTTGATGACCGACAACGAGCGTCCGGAGCTCTCTCCAATAGCTTTCATGATGAGCGACTCTCCGATTCCGAGTTCAATACCAGCATAGTCGGCGGCAAGCTTGTTGAGCATTAATTGCACTGTGGGCAGGAGATCCTGCGGCGTCAGGCGCAAAACTTGTTGAAGGAATGCTGAGCAATAGGCAGTGATCTGGAGGCGCTTGGTGGTGAGCTCAATCAACGAGAACGTTGTGCACAGTGCTGCGTAAGGCACAGCTTCGCCAGCTTTCCAGTCCGGATATGGATCTTTTCCTGTGGATGCAATCGTTGCCTGGATCTTGGCCACTTGTTTCTTGTCGACTTTGGGCGTTTCTTCTTCGCTTACAGAAGCCTCCTCCTCCGTCTCCGACACAGGCGTTTTCCCATCTGGCGAATCGACATCTTCCTTGCTAGCTTTAGTCGTCGCAGGTGGCTGCTTTTCTTGTGGAATGTCGGGTTTGTTCTTGGGGTCGATGCTGCTCGCCTTAGCCGATTTCTGGAAACCTGCCTTTGGTGTAGGCGTTCTTCTTCGTCGCTTGACCGGCGGCTGGACATCTTCATCGTCATCTTCTCCTTCTGCTTCTTCGCTCTCAACGCTGCGTCTCTTGTTCTTTTTTCCGGATGAATCCTCGGTGTCCTTCTCACCATTTCTAACAGCGCATGCGTCCTTCATTTCTGTATCTGGTGTGGCATCCTCCTCCTTTTCACCTGACCCGTTGACTGCCGTAGAATCGGTTTTCTGGGCGTTTGATGCATTCTGATTGAAGGATAAGGTAGACTGCGCTTTGGGTTTGGTGCCATCTTGCTTGCTCCCCAGGAATTTTCTGTGAGGTTCAGCAACATTCAGATACCATTATCTTGATGTTCAAGGTCATAACGTACCCAAGTGTCGATTGCCTCACTTGCGGCATGCTGGCTGAACCGAGTACGCAAGCACACCGAAAGCGAGGTCTGAGAGATCGAGCTGATGGCAAAGGAAACGCGATTGCAGAGTTCAGTCGAGAATGTGACTGGCTAAGGGGCCGTCGAGGTAGCCAGAAGAATTGAGAGACAGCTTTAGGTACGACAGGGTGAACACTTTGCATCAATATCATTCGGTTAACACTTCTGCTTGACCACGACTGCTTCAACAGTTCATGCTCAATTAATGGGAACGAAAACGCGTCGCGGCGCGTGGGGTTGTCTACGGGCGGAGGTTTAATGACGTGGAAGACGCGAGCGTGACCTGCGACTGCCTGCGCTTGCCTGCGCTTGCCTGCCGTACACTCTGATGTACTCGACAAGCAGTGCACAAGAAAAGAATACTGGGTACCTCGGTGCCTGGAGCTGCCTGGGCTGGAGAGTATAAGTACCTCAACTGCAGTCCCTTGGACCTGATTGATACGCGGTGGGCTCGATGGGTTGGTCGGATTCTCTGTACTCCGTACTCTCGCTGACTAAGTGTCGCGTGCTGCAAGCCAGGCTTTGCTGACCGCACGGGCCAGGAAGAGGATCGCTGAAGTAAGAAGTAATTATATAAAGCTCAGACTAAACCCTCTTCTGAACTTTGCTGTTTCGTGTTCAATGCATCATTTATTAGCTATCAGCCCCGTGCCTTGCGAGGCCTATTAAGGCAAGAGCTTTATGCGCCCGCTACAAGTACTGTGTGTTATCCGTGAAATCCGTGAATGCATCAGCTGGCATCTTGCTTGTTCATGACCAAGCCAATCGTGATGAACCGTCGTCCCGCGATTGTCCCTTTTCGCTTGGAAGCGATGATGCATACTTGCGCCATTCGAACAGGGGTATCAACAGCTCATTTTGAAACAAATAGAAAAATGTCGTCAACCCTCCGAACCGACCCTATGTGTGAAGTGCCATCTGTTCACAGCATCATTATGGCAGCAAGACCTGCGACGCCGGCAAGGCCATGGATACCAGCTGTGGCGATGGGCATAGCGGCTCCCGTGGGGCTGGATCCAGCGGAGGAAACAGCAGAGCCGGCTGCACTGGTTGCACTGGCAAGGCGTGACGATGCAGAGCTGGCAAGTGACGATGCAGAAGCTTGAGCGGATGAACCAGCACCTGATGCGGCAGACGAGGCAGACGCGACTTCGGACGAGAGAGAGCTTGCGACAGAAGAAGCCGAGGCGCTTGCGGCGGACGCGGCAGAAGACGCACTGCCAGAAGCGCCGGAAACAGCCGAAGAAGCAGAAGCCTGCGGCAGGTTAGCATCGAGTGGTATGCATGGTAGAAAATGGGTTTACTCACCCCTGCACCAGCTGCGCCGAAGATGGTGGAAGTGCCAACGGCGGTGGTGAATGTGCTGCCATCACTGTTGGTTCCTGTTGAGAAGAGAGTCTCCGTTGAAATGGGAGTGGAAGAGCCACCATTTCCGCCTGCGCCACCTGCACCATAGATGGTCGACTCGCCGACAGCGGTAGTGATGGTGCTGCCACCAGAGGTGATGGTCGAGAAGGTTGTCTCAGTCGAGATTGGAGTCGATCCACCAGAGGCAGAGTCCGAGCCGGCGCCGGCACCAGAGGCACTGGCAGGACCACCAGAAGCAGTCATGGCAGAAGTAGCCGAGAGGGTACCAACAGAGCTTCCAGCACTGGAGGCAGAGGAGGCCGCTGGCAATAGTCAGTATCTTGTGCCCACCCTTTCCACGTTATTGCCAAATACTAACCATTGGCGCAGTATTGATTGCCGTACGCTGTGATAGCAGAGAGATCGGTACCAGGTGGGCAGGATTCTTGGGAACAATCGCGAAGTCCGAAGCCGAAGTTTTCGCTGGTGCAGAGGCAGATGATGTCGCCGGCAGCGCAGCCAAGCGAGGAGACCAGTGCGGGAGCGACCATGTTATTGAAGCAAACTTGCTGGAGAAGAGGTCAGTACGGTGGGAGGAAGCTGTTGTGCGCTTCGAGGTACTTACACCGCATTGTGGCAGGTCTGCAAGGTTCTGAGCGAGACCAACGCTGACAAGGGCAGCGGCGGCGACGAAGGTCTTCATGGCTGAGGAGAGGATGAGTGTGAGAGTTACGCGTCGTAAAGGGTGCAATCAGTAAGAGGATGCACTGTACGTGGCTTTGGAAGTGTAACTCCTGGGGGAGACGGAAGTCCAAGGAATGTGGAAGGGGAAGAGGATGTGTAGTGCTCAAGAAGATGAGATGGTTCTCCTGTGGTTGAGGTGACAGGAAGGTGGAAGTGAGAAGCTTTTGAACTGTAAGTGGGAAGTGATGGTCCACGGAACGGTTGCTCGACTGGCAGCCGCAGGAGTGACGGGAAAGTGGGGACTGGTGTTGTCACTGGCGAGCAAGAGCTGTGGAATTACTTTTTCCTGCAGGTGGTGAGCGGCAGTGGGAAGCTTCGAGCCAGGAACCAACTTTCCCAGATTAATACCTTCCGGGAATCGGGCTGGAGCAGACGTTGGTGATTGGGCTCATGAGGAAAGGGGATGCTCTCGCCAAACCTTAACATTGCAGGAGCTCTGAGCTTCGCCTTGGATCGGCCTTTCATATGCATCCTGCGTTGCACAGACTTGACTTCCAGGGAGCTAGAGGCTGTAGAGCAGCCAGGGGCAGCGCCGCGGCCTTGGACTTTCCTCCAGCCGCTCTGCACGACTCCAGCCACAGGGAAGCAAGCTGTGCGAGCTGGGTCCTGCTAAAGGACCTACTGTCCGAAGAGGCGCGTATGCGCGTGGAGATCGTCACGAATAGTCTATGCTCAAAGCTCTCTAGCACGATTCGATTCGAGCTGAAAAGCCGCTCGAGATCTCAGCGGTCAGCACCCAATCGTCAACCCACTCAAGCTGCGAAATCCTGTTTCGGGCACCCCAACGAACGTCTTGCTGGCTACAGCTCTACTTTCGGTGAGGACTCCTGTTGTACCTCGTACATGCCTGATGTAATTATTTGATTATTGTCCAGTATGCCAGTCCTACTTGCCACAGTCCACTCTGGCTTTAGAAATGTGACCCTAGCCTCCTCGCATTCTGTCCGACCAAAACCTGAAGCGAAAACCTGGGGCAACACGAACCGAGAACTGTGGGCACCCAGAAAATTGGGAAATTGGCCTGTGCTTGGCCCACAGTGACGCAGTTGCCAGAGGATGGAAGCACAGCACCAGCTCCGAGGCACACCATCAGATCTTTGTGGACGAGGATTTACGCTCTACGCCAGCATTCGTAAGGCCACCAGCTCCAAAAGCCGCTTATCGGCACTACTTATGTCTCGTCAGCGACCAGCTACTCCGGATACTGTGTCCAGCCATTAATCCGGAGCTGGACGGAGTTTGCACACCACTGGCAGTTGTTGGAGTTGTTGACAAAGGGACAGGGACGCGCACGCCGCGACCTGCAGACGAGGTCACGGAGCAAGGCACACCAAGCCGGAAAGCTGCGTGGCATGAGACAAGCATTGAGCCAGTCGTTGCGAGGCCAAACAGTGGCTATCGCACGACTAGCGTGGCAACGCCCGTTACGTCCCGTCGCCTGCTAGCCGCTGGTAGTGACGGGTGCAAACGCCACATCAGCCAGGCACCACAGGCACAACCGAGAGAAAGTGCTTGCAGCAACAGCGCAACCCACCCAACCCCAGCAGGCTACGTCGTGCATTCGCCGAGGTTCGGGCAGCGCGGACAAATCCAGCCTTGAAATCCTTGTTGCGTCATCAGGTTCAGCTGGACTGTCTCGCCGCATCTCGATCGATTCGACACACTTCCTCTTTTGCTGAAGCAGCTCCAGGTTGGGAGCACCAGCTGACTCGGGATCGAAATTGTGCCCACATCAACCTCAAACATTGGTGGTGAGTTTGTGCGCTTCCCGCTCGGCTGCTTGCCGTGTCAAATTTCCCGATTTGATTGCTTGCCAAGGTCACCCAACGAGTCCAGCCTCTCCGCACTCACCCTTTGGTCACCACTAGCTTGTGACGCAAAGGTTTACTCCTGTGTCAATTACGATCAAACTGAACGTCCTCCGTTATTTTGCGTCGAAAGACAACGAGAGCCACTCGCGTTGATATTAATCTTGAGGTATGCCGCGCTGCATTGGCAGCGAATAGCGGATGCAAAATCCGGCTGTCCCCACCCAACAACTCACCATACTGACTCCAAAGTTTATGTTCATACTGCCTACAATTCCTTTTACACGTTCTCGCCCTGCTCTTGCGGCAGTTTTCGCGAAGTACAAGACCCAAGCTGGGTCTAGGCGGCACCAATTTTGGGTGGACAATGCACTCGCTATAGAGGACGCCGGGGGGTTGCAATCATCTATCTCTGACCCAATTTCGGGAACATGCCATCTGCAAGATACTTATTCAATATCTGCTCCGGGAACTCCGGCGACAGCTTTTCCAGATATCGTTGAGTCCGGCCGCATGTTGGTCACGTCTCGCAGCTTGCCTGTCATGAGCTTTGAAATTCAGGTAGGCAAACGCTGCCGAAGAGAGCTTCAGAAGGGGCCACCGTACCCATGCATGTGTGCTGTGAAAGCATAGTCGCACTCGGATTTCTTGCTCAAATAAGTCTCGTGAATCGAGACTGCACAGCGGTACACCTCCTCTGAGGCAGTCGCAGGCAACCAGAGGAGAGGTGGTTGATTTCAGCCATGAGACGGCAAATAGGAAAGTAGCGTGCCAATGATCGTTGGAAGGCAATTCTATTTGACTCGAGGACCGAAGTGTCGACGCCGGTGGTCTTTCAGTAGGACAGTATCTTTCCTGCGGTCCAACTCTTTATTTCTTGAGGTGAGTTCAACCTGCTGCCGAGCCTTGTCCAGCTCCTGTTGTCAGCTCCGGGCAAACGGCAAGGGACATTTATGATTACACAAAAGACGAGCTGGCGACGGTTGACCGATCGGTCCGCTATGGTCTCGTAGCAACAGTACAGTAACCCGTACTTGTCAGTAGGAGTCGTGAAAGCGAGATGCGCGAGGCCAGGGAGGGAGGGGAGGCTCAACGGTAGGGTTATGTGCAGCCACATTCTTGGCACGCCACACGAAGCCAGTGGCTGTGCTTGTCACTGTCACTTTCTGGCCGATTCTTAATGTCGACCGGTCGATCAACCGCGGATCATCACCTTCAGGCATTGCCAGCATACCTGCAATGTCGCCAATGCTAGACAGGCTCAAATTTCGAATTTGTCGCCTCATATGACCAATCAACTGGCACAATGACTCAATCGCGTCAACAAGCCTTTCAACAAGTAAAGCCTCCTCGGCCTCTCCACTACTACCATCCCAGGCTGACCAAGCGTAGCTGCGTCCTCCATGCGTCGAGCTCAGCTCTGTCGCACTCAAGTTCAAGGCGAATCAGGCCTCGGCGAAGGCTGTCCTTCTGGCGCTGGAGCGGGTTCACCATACTCTGCAGCTACTTGGAAATGAGAATCTCCTCGACGAGAAGTTAGCAGAGTATGCCTTCTTCCCTCTCACCCACATCTTCAATCAATCCCAGCGCTTGTCTTTCCGGAGTCTGGAGCTGGCCGTCAGGTGCGTGCAAGTCCTGGTCTCGAAAGGATGGCGGGAGAAGTTGGTCCCGGAGATGGCAAAGCAGCTGCTCATTCTCATGGGCTTGCTCGTCTCGAGAAACCCCAAACAACAGGTCGAACCCCCAGCAGATGAACTTAAAGTGGCCGCGTTTGAGTGTATGTCGAGCCTCGTCCGTCAAGGCTCTTCTGCGGCATCCGATTTCCTGCCGGGTGTTGGCGACAACAACATCGTCGACCAATTAGTTTATCAGCTGCTCGAGGCACTGACAGATGCGTCTTCTGAGCTCGTCCAAATCAGCGCTGCTCATGCTCTTCTTGAAATACAGCGTGCCATCAAAGACAAAGCCTTGATAGCCAGCCTTTTACCTCGAACTGTCTCCACTTTGGTCAAGGTCCTTAGACCTAGCACCCAAGCCAAACGAACGAGGAAGGTCCTTGTAGCTTACTTGCAACTTTTGACCGAGATCTTGAGAAGGGTTCTTGCCGACGAGGTCATCGGTCAAAACCTGGCCGAGGTAGGCGCTACCCCGTCATCGAAGACGTGGGGTCTAGACGGTGGTGTGGTCCTTGACAGATCCTGGCTGGATGCCACGACTCCTCAAATCGACCTGGCGTTGGTCCAGGTAGTCAAACTCAGGACGCATGACGGTTCTGATGTGGCTGACGCGCTTCTCGACCTCTGTTTGACAGTGATCGATGACTGTTCGCAGACTCTCGCTCGCTCGGTACCTCTCATGATCGACACGCTGGCAGTTCTTTGCGATTCATCCAAAGACTCGAAGGCTAATGCAGCACTGAAGCATCTGATAACATCGAGACCCGAGCTGGCAGATGTCCTCAGTGCCAAGTTTTACGACTGGACACAAACCTTGCCAAGGGTAATGCAAGGCAACGATGACAAGCCCAAGCAGCAGTTACTTAAGCGAGTCGCAACATCCTTTAACGCGCTTACAGACACTTCAAATATGCCTAGTGAAGCGACATCTCGAGTTACATCTGTGTTGATTGACACAGTTGACGCCGCCATTGGCTCGAGTACCAAAAAGTCGGAACTTATCAGCGAAGCTGCACAGATCCCAGCAACTGAGCTCATCCAACAATCTCGAGGACTGGAAGGACAGTTCCTGCCCGTTCTTCTAGGTCACCAGAGCCAGGCATCCTCCAAAGAGGAATTGGGACACCTGATTGCCTCCCTCAAGACACATCCCTTCAGTCAGCAAATTATACGCGGTCTCGTCGATCATCTACATGATTCTGACATCAACAGGAAGCTATCAGCTGCCTGGCTCGCCCTGCAATTCCTGAATCCGAACGAAAGTCAGGCGTTCGATGTGATGGCATTAATCGAGGACGATTTCTCCGCGTCGGATCTGTCAGTTTCCCGTCCCTTCCTCATATCTGATTTATACTCAAACACCCTACCTTTCGTGACGGAATACCCCGACACGATTCATGAAGAAGGCACAGATTGGCGACTTGTTGCCCTGTCGCTGGAGAGTCTGGTGCTGCAGGCGTCTCAGCTCGGTCGATCGTACCGTCCTGAGCTCATGGAGACATTGTTTCCACTACTGACCCTGTTGGGCTCCCACAATGCACTGCTCCAGCAGCATGCCATGACGGCTTTGAATATCCTGGCCACCGCCTGTGAGTATGACTCCGTGGCTTACATGCTTGTCGATAACGTGGACTACTTGGTCAACGCGGTTGCCCTCCGGCTCAATGCTTTTGACGTTTCAAGGACTAGTCTTCAGGTCATCGCAATGATGATTCGCCTGTGCGGTGCTAGACTCTTACCGCACCTTGACGACCTGATTGGCAGCATCTTTAGCGCACTTGATAGTTTCCATGGCTACCCCGACCTCGTCGAGCAGCTGTTCGATGTCCTCCGGATGGTCGTAACGGAGAGTTCGAAGTCTTCCGATGTCCTTACCATAGAAGCCGGCCAGATGCCCGCAATTCGGAAGGACAACAAAACCCATGTGTCGTGCCTGGATGACATCCTTGGTGACTTGAGGACCAGAAGAAAGAGGAAGAACAGGTCTGATGAAGAGGAAGATCTCGTGACAACGACACCTCACCGGCCGTGGACCACGTCCCAGGACGGTCCTGCTGATGCAGAGCAAAACAATCCCGAAGGTGTCGAAGAGACCGGTGATGATGACCTGCCGCTAGATCATACCGACAAGAAAGAGGAAGCCAAAATATCGAAGTCGCACCAGCTTCTGCTGAACATTGCGCAATCCACAGTGCCTCATTTGTCCTCACCCTCACCCAAGGTCCGCCTCACTCTGCTGCAGCTGTTGCAAGATGTATGTCCAATACTCGCACCCCATGAGAACACATTTCTGCCTTTGGTCAATTTGATCTGGCCGGCAGTTGTGGCGAGGCTTCTTACCACGAACGACGGAGCTGCCAACGATGCACCTTTCAACGTCAGGGCTGCAGCTACCACAATTGGGGCCATCTGCCATGCCGCGGGAGATTTCATGGCCAGCCGGATCGAAGATATCTTCACGGAGCTTGAAACTCTCTTCACCAGGACCCATTCGAGCGTGGCAGGACCGGTGAAGAGCCCCAAGCCAGTAGCGCTGCTCAATGTCCCCAGAGGATCACTGTCCACCCCCATGAACAGTTCTAGGGTCCCAAGTCACGGAAGCGTAACGACAGGTGCTCAGTCTGCTATTTCTCCTTCTCTAGATAGCCCCAGGACTTCCAAGGGGCAGATCCTGGAAGCCCTCGTCGACTTGCTGGTCACCATTCTTCGAAACGTCCGGCTTTCCGACGACAACGGAGACAGAGTCTTCCAGCTCCTGGTTCCTTTCAAGCATAGGGAACCAGTGCGAGACGCGCTGCTAGAGTTCAATGAGGACGCTGTCTGGCTGATGGAATATCATCCAAGCCGACCAGGTTCGGGCTGCAAATCCGGCGCCCCCAACAAGGTTTGAGCCATGAGGGAAATATGCAGTGACAAAGAAATGTCGAGCAAGCTCTGGTCGCAAGGAACTACAAGCCACTTCGCAAGTCACTATTCTGATGTTCTTGTCGGTAGGCAGCAGCATTTTGTGTTTTCGCGACCGGGGATTGGATTTTCCCAATACGGGCATTTCCGACCTCCGGAGTTAAGGGGGGTCTGCAAATGGTCGAAGTCCCGGACAAAGCTCACGACGCTATGTAGCCCAGACGGGACAAGGTTGCGAGACGCCAAACTTACCTGGCAATGAGATATTTTGTGCGCGCCTCTAGAGATCTGGAGATGGTCGGGTCCAAGCGAGCAGGGGCAGAGATACATAAAGCATGGAGGAGCGCCATTGACTGAAGCAGCTCTTCCATTCTGCTGCCAACATACGGACATCTACATCCCTCGAACGACTATCAGAACAACGAGAATTGTGCCAAAGAATCTCCATCATATCTCAGCCCCCATCCGTCTTTGACTCTGCAGAGCGCAGTCCCTCGTCCGACACGATGCCGGGAATCGTCCAGTTCTTGCGCGGCCAGTTTTCTACACCGCCAATGCCTCAGGTCGACCTTACGGGGAGATGTATGTTGGTGACGGGCGCCAATACTGGGCTTGGCCTCGATGCCGCCCGACTACTGGCCCGGTTGAATTGCACCACCATCGTGCTCGCCTGTCGAAGTTTTGCGAAGGGAGAAAAGGCCAAGGAAGCCGTCCTGCAGTCCCTACCTACCGGTAGCAAACAACCGACAATCGTCGCGCTTGAGATCGATCTGACCTCGTTCTCGAGTGTGGTCGCCTTTGCTGAACGTTGCAAGGACCTCCCAAGGCTCGACGCCGCCGTACTCAATGCGGGAGTCGACTTGCAAGAATTCAGCTTGGCAGAGGGATATGAGACGACAATTACTGTGAACGTGATCTCGACATTCCTCCTGGCCACCTTGCTCCTCCCTATCCTGCGTTCGTCCGCAAAGCGATATAACATCACTCCACACATTGCCATCGTCGGGTCGGCGGTGCATTTCTGGGCCAACGACAAAGATATTACCACTCCCGCCGACGGCCAAATCCTCCGAACCCTATCAGATCCGAAGAAGGCGGACATGAAAGGGCGTTACTACCTCAGCAAGTTACCGGTCATGCTGCTCGTGAAATACTTGGCGACGGTGTTGACGAAGTCGGCTGAGGAAGATTCCCACGACAAGCCACTGGTCATCATCAACAACGTCGCCCCCGGCTTTTGCAGAACCGACCTGTTTCGTACTCATGAGGACGTTGTGCTCAAGGTCATGTACAAGACGATTGGCAGAGAAAGTGAGCACGGGGCGCGCACGTTGGTGCATGGCGCGGTTGCTGGGCAGGAATCCCATGGGCAGTATCTCAGCGAATGCCAGGTCAAGAAGTACAGTGCGTTTGTCAGGAGCGCCGAGGGTGATCGAACTGCACAGAGGCTCTGGCAGGAGTTGAGCTCCCTCTACGAGGGGATCAAGCCTGGGTGTACGCAGGCGTGGTGATGGACACCAGCGATGGCGATTGGAGGGGATGAATGAGCATTGATTGTGTTGATGTGCGAGAGTCCACCGAGTGCTTGTCCGGTCCTGAGCGCTGTAATATGATACTTATGCCCGTCACTCAGTCACTTGGCGGGGGGCCCGACGGGGAAAGTGGCACTTTACCGCTTGGAGACTGTACTATGTAATTGTACTGTATGTACGTAGTGTGTATGCTGTGGGGTTGATTTCTGTGTCTACTATCTATGTAGTCAAGCTCGAGTTTGGTCTTCATCGTGCATTGAATCGTGGTCCTGTCATTCCTGTCGATGTGTTGTATGTGCAATTTCCGCTGATCAAATCCACACGTCGCGCTTGGGTTCCAATGCCACAGCGCGATCACCATCACCATCACCATCACCTTCAATAGAGTACGGTACGTCTGTATCTGATAGACCCCGACCTTCGCCACTTGACACATGCAAGCCATCCGCAGTTGTGAAGCCTCTGGGACCTGAGATCGGACGTCGCCAGAATGTCCGACTTCTTCTCTCTAACTCACAAGTTCCGCGCCAACCTCGACGGCCAACAGGCTGGAGTCGACGCCAAGTTGAGGAGGCGCAATCGGCAGCCTCTCTCGTGCGCGCCCTGTCGACTGAAGAAGCTGAGATGCGACAGAGGACATCCATGCGAGACGTGTGTCAAACGGGCCAACCAAGCCAACTGCACATATGGCAAACTCGCTCCCGCGAGGGCTTCCGATGCCGCGGCCAGGAGCGCGAAACGAGGACGAGCTCAAGAGCGGCTCGGACGCCTGGAACAACTTGTCATGCAGATGGTTGACACCTCAAACGGCTCGAAGCCTGATCACGAGTCCGACACTGGCACCAGCACCAACTCCTCAAGCGACAACGACGCGACGGCGATCAGGACCGGGATTGCAAAGGACGGCCATCTACAGTATGGGTCCGCCGAGTCTCGCTACGTCGGGTCAACCCACTGGTCTGCTATACTGGAAAGCCTCCAGGAACTCAAGTCTGCGCTCGCCGGCACTACCACCGCCGCAGGAGACCAGGCTCCTGGCGCCGAGCTGGATGAGCCCGACGATGTCGAACCGCAGGATACGGACAGTCTCTTCGGCCCAGCCAGCCACGTCTCTATCGCCCAGGTCCTGGCTCAAGCCCTTCCGCCGCGATTACAGGTCGATCGGCGCCTTTCCACCTACTTCAACAGCCGCTATCTCGTCATACCGTTGATCCACACGCAACAGTTTCAACGGCAATACGAACAGTTCTGGCGGACACCGCTCGAGACCCCGCCTCTCTGGATCTCCATCCTGTTTTCCATCTGCTGCTTGTCCGCCAGCCTGTCCGAGGTCGTTGGCTCCGAGCCGACGACGCCGGAGGATCAGCTCAGTCCACGTGTGAGCTTCCTGCATGCGGCGTGCCAATGTCTTCGGCTCGGCGGCTTCACGCGACCGAAGCGCTTCGTCGTCGAAGCTCTCGGCCTGTATGCTCTATGCAAGTATGTGTCAACGCTGGACCCATCTGGGGATGTTGGCGTCATCTTCTCCATCGCGGTGCGCCTGGCCTATCGCTCAGGTTATCACCGCGATCCGTCCCAATTCCCTCATATCTCTGTGTTTGACGGTGAAATGCGACGGAGAACCTGGGCCATGTGCCGGCAGTTCGATCTCATGGTGTCCTTCCAACTGGGCCTGCCGAGTCAAATCCCGCCCGACAGCTGGGACACGATGAACCCTGGCAACCTGCTCGACACGGACTTCGACGAGGACACGAAAGTGGCACCGCCGTCCAGGCCCGAAACCGAAGCCACACAGCTCCTGTATTTCATCGTCAAGTCGCGCTTGATGACCACGTTTGGCAAAGTCTGCGCGCACGCGCTTTCCTTTCGCCCCGACAACTATGCCCAGCAAGTCATGGATCTGGACCGAGAAGTCCGCGCCACGTACGCGACGGTGCCGAATGTGCTGCACATCAAGCCCATGTCCCAGTCCTTTGCCGACCCGAGCTACCTCACAATGGTGCGCACGAACTGCGAGTTTCTGTACCAGAAGTCGCTCCTGGTGTTGCACCGAAAGTACATGACTCAAGGCACGCACCCGGCGTCGACGCAGGCGTGCACCGACGCCGCCATCGCCATCACCAGACACATGCTCGACTTGCACAAGGAGTTCAAGCCGGGTGGCCAACTATTCAACGATAGGTGGATGCTCGGTTCGTTCACCATGAACGACTTCTACCTCGCCGGCATGGTCTTGTGTCTGGCAGTGAGCATGTGGAAGAAAGCCAATCCCGGGATCGACATCAACGCCGACGAGAAGATGAGAGAGCAGTACATTCTACTCAAGGAGTCTTTCGCCATCTGCGAGGAGTTGAGTCCGACGAGTACCGAAGCGAGACGCGTGGCGGCTGTGTTGCGCCAGGTCCTAGGCGAGAAGAGAGACGAAATAGCCTCTTCGACGGGAGGATCTTTTGGTCCAGGCACCGGTCCCGGCACCGGCACGAGCATCAGCACCAGCACCAGCAGCAGGACTTCCAACCCCTTCGCGCAGCCCGGACAGTTCATGCCATCGGCAATGTTCCCGATGCAGTACGACTTTAGCTTGGCCTCTCCAACGGTGCCAGACGGACCACGAGGACGAGGACAGGGGCAAGGCGAGGGATATGGCCTCCACGAGAACCTATCCAACTCGTCAGACGCGGTGGACTCGACTTACTTTGCCGCCTCGAACGACAGTACCAGTGCCGGTGTGGGAAAAGACCCCTTCCAGAACCTCATGCCAGGCATCAACAACCCTGTGCCCCTCGGCGGGAATTCATTCCTGAGCTTCTTTCCCTTCAGCCCGGCGTCCTACGCAGGCGGTGCTGGCTCCAGCGCCACATCGAATCCCATGCCAAATGCAGCCGCAGCCGCAGCCGCAGCCGCAGTCGCAGCAGCGCCCAATGCCGCTGATCCGCAGCCTTTCGACCCCGGTCCGACCATGGACATTGACTGGCCTCTCCTCGATCAATGGATGGCCCTCCCCAACACTGTCGACATGCTCCCCTTCCACGACGGCACAGGCGACCTCACCCAAGCGTCCGCGTCATCTTCCGGTATGTTCCCAGATCAGGAGCAGGACCGACGGAACAGATTAGGGAACGGGGACGGGAGCAGGATCCAGAGTGGGAACGGGACACGAAGCTGGAATGAGAACGACAACGACAACTCTCCCTCCAACGAAAACGGAACCGAAACCGGACCCCTCGATACCGCATATCCGCCTCTCACGGACGCGCAGACAATGACCACCGCCGCTCAACCACTCACGCAGGCGGCCACAGAGTGGATGAGCACGCCGTATCCGTTTTCAGGCAGAGACGCGACATCGACATCGACATCGACATCGGAATCGTCTGGGAGTGATAAGCACCCCAAAGGCGAGACTGGACTGATGACAGGTCGGCGGATCATGAGTTTGGGTTTGAGACGATGGCCGGGGGACGATGCCGCACGGACACAGACAGGGGGACGGGAACGATACTCTGGGTATTGATGGACGTGCTTGCATCGTACCAGATCCTGTACCATGGTATGCCCGTCCTCGTACTCGTATGTACCGGTGTGGCATCTAGAAGGTACCTAGGGTATACTGTGAGAGATAGGTAGGTATACGAGTCATACTCAGTAATCGTAGAACTTTGTCTACCCTACCCTACCCTACCCTACCCTGCGCGTTGTCTCGTTCATGCAAGCGAGAGAGGGACCATTTGATCACGACATCTGGCATTGGATGGCTATGCTAGACCTTTATCCTGTACGTCAACTTACGTCTTCTCACCTTTTAAGCCGTTAATATATCCTGTATTCCGCTCTGTCCCTTGTACTACACAGATCTCACGTTAATATTTGACGTTGAAGAATCATGTTTGATTCCAGAGGCGGGCCTATATGAATTGCACCCCTGAGGCCTGTGCTTGTGATGTGCTTGTGCTTGACGCCATGTGTCCATTCCATCCGATATCTGGGTATCATATTGTATCTTTTCGTATCGTATCATCTCGTGCCTACCTCATCATACCGGACGTACCAAGTTATACCATGCCATGCCATGCTCATCTCATCTGCATGGCATGTTTCCCCCTAGGACACCCACACGCCGCCACGCCTTCCAACGCCTTGCAGTGCCAATGCCACCAAAAAAAAAAAAAAAACAGGACGATGAGTTACATGCTGTGGGCAAGACTGCTGACCGTACCTCTGCCATCGCCACCGCCATTGCCGTTGCCAATACGGATAACGCCACATGCACCCTCGCCAATGCTATTATTTCAAGGCTCCCGCTTGACAGCACCCTGCATGCGCTTCCGTTCCTCGTCCCTGGCCTTCCACGCACTCCTGATGTCGGCGGCATGGTCGAGCAGATCCTGCTCGGTGACGTGGCTCTGGATGCTCCGGATCACGCTCTTGTACACCTTGATATGATTGGACTGGTCCTTGTCATGCCGGAAACGATGGTATCGCCACCTCTGCTCGTCGTCCTTGGCGGCCTCGACGATGATGTCCTGCAAGGGGTGGCCAAACGTCTTCCACTCGTCGTACTCGTGCGGCTCGACGTACAGGTCGTCAATGTACGAGTACTCGTTGGAGCCGTGGTGGATGTACAGGCAGAAGCGCGAGGGGAAGGCGTAGTAATCCGGCTGGGCCGACCGGTCCGGGTCGTCGGCGTCGGGCTCCACCATGGGCCACTCGATGTGCAGGAGGAAGTCGACCGTGTTCTCCGAGGGCGGCTTCCACTTGAGGATGTGCTCGTCGGTGCCGGTCTTGTAGGGGGTGTTGCGGCACGTGAAGATCAGGCCGTCGTTGCCGTGCAGCTGCTTGACTTTGGGGATGATCTCCTTGAACATCTTCTCGAGCCCGTAGCTGAACTCGGTCGCCTTGTCCTCGAGCACGAACGGCCGCGGCCGGTCCGGCTGCTGCCTGTACATCTCCTTGTAGGGCCCCAGGACGTGCGACTTGAAGTAGGCGAGCCGCTTGTCCAGCGGCCGCTGCATGAGCACCTGCTTGTCGAGCACCAGGCAGTCAAAGACCAAAAACTTGATCACGGGGGGGCGGTCCGGGTAGCGGTCCTCGACCAGCTCGCCGTCGAGGATGGTGTCGGTGTGGAAGCGCTCAAAGGTCTTGTCCTCGTGGTGCGGGAAGTGCAGGTACGGCACGAACCAGTAGTCGTTCTTCCGGTCGATCAGGTAGTGGATGTCGTGCTCGCCCTCGCGCGTCAGGTACATCAGGTACCGCAGCCCGTCCGTCTTCTCGCACACGTAGTAGTCCTGCGTCTTGAGCTCCTGGATGTGTTCGGCCGAGAAGGACACGGGTTGCGCGCCGGGGAACGAGAGGTTGCGCCCGCGGCCCAGCAGCTGCGCGACCTCGCGCTGGAACTCTTCCTGCAGGCCTGGCGTGCGGCCGGCCCAGATGCCACCTATGCGCTCGAGGAGAGGGTTCGCCTCGGGGCCCTTGATATCGGGGGCGGCGGCGGCGTGCCCGTCCATGGCTGCGCAGGTAGGGGTAGTTTGTGATTACAAGTGAATCGGAGTAGATCTGAGAACGGCAGGGGATGCAGGAAGGGATTGAAGTAGCAGATAAAAGCACGTCGATGCTCGCCAAGACCAGATTCCCTCATGATGGGGAGGGGGAGGAGGAGGAGGAGGAGGAGGCAGCCGAGTCTCCATCCCCAACTTCACTGATACCTCACTCGTACGGGCGTCCTGACTCGACACGACACCTCGAGAACTCCTACAGGCTATCGCATGTCTGAATGATCGCAGTATACACATCTCATCTACACACATTCTCACCATGGCGACAGACGGGTCACCCGGTTCGTATCGTCCCCGTGACATTCCCTCGAAGATGAGATGCACGGCGACTAACATTTCCCATCACAGCCTCGTCCCCCTCCCTCCTCAGCGCAACCACCTACAAACCCAGCAAAGCGATCAAGAAGGCACCCAAGGCGCAACTAAAGAAGATCACCGTGAATAAGGAGGCGCAGGTCAACGGTTGGTACTGGTCGTCGTGTGACCGATGGCCTCTGTTAAGAGTATCTAGGTATTAAACATGTCGGCGACGCGCCCTCTCCCGAACTCCCCAAGTTCGAAGGCGACACCATGGCCAACTTCCCCGCCGGCCACCCGGAGAGCCTCGAGACGCTCGTCTGCAAGCACTGCAAGAAGTCGATCCTCCAGCGCACCGCCAAGGACCATATCGCTCTATGTCTAAAGTCCAAGCAGGACAAGGCGCGGAAGAAGAAGGAGGCACGAGAAGCCGCACAGCGAGCCAAAGAGCGCGCCGAGAAAATCGACGACGATGATGATGACGACGATGACATCCGAGGACCGGGCAGGAAGGACGCGGCCAACGGCGGCGACGACGATGGTACCAAGAAGGGCAAGAAACGCAAGGCCGAGGGCGACGAGGACAAGGAACCCAAGAAGAAGAAGAGAAGGGAAGATCCCAAATCCAAGGCGGCCAAGCCCAAGGGGCCCGTCGACGTGGAGAAACAGTGCGGCGTCACGCTTCCCAACGGCGTTCAGTGTGCGAGGAGTCTCACATGCAAAAGCCACAGTATGGGAGCCAAGCGGGCTGTGCCTGGGAGGAGTCTCCCCTACGACATGCTGCTGGCGGCATACCAGAAGAAGAATCAGGCCCGGCAGCAAAAGGCCGCGATTGACGCCAACGCTCCGGCTCTCTTCGAAGACGATATGGATCCCACGCTCAACGGGCCCGTCGACTCGGACGAAGAGAAAGACTCGGTCATGACTGCCATCTCCCGAAGCCTTGCACGACCACAACCCCTGGTCACGCGCGAACTGTTTCCCATCAGGCGCAAGTATCCGCTCATTCGGCTAAAGGAGATGTTGTCCAACGCCATGAGTGGAAACCGAAACGGTACCAGCATATTCAGCGTGCCTTTGGAGAGTGCTCGAAGCGCTGTCCCGCAGTCGGCCATCAACGAGACCTTTCCTTCATCGACTGTGTCGGCTTCACCCGCTTTGACGGGGATTGGCATGGCTCAGCCGGGGCTCAAGGTGCCTCTCAGGAAGTCTTCGATCGACGTGGCTTAGATGCCGTCCAACTTTATACCCGTTGATCTCTAGTATTGTAGCAGGAGATGTCCCTGCGACGCACAAACATGCCCGGACACGGCTGTCTAGCTTCGCAAAGTCGCTCATTCGCACTTCCTGAAGCACAAACTCGAATTCGTCCCGCCGAACCCAAAGCTATTGGTCAGCGCGACAGTGATTTGGGTCTGTTGGGCTTCATTGGCAACATAATTGCAGTCGAAGTCTTCGGTCTTGGAGACCAGGTTTATTGTCGGGGGCATCACGTTCTGCCACAGATTCATGTTATTATTACGACACCCATATATTTCCCGTCCACGTCCGCACACAGGAAGGACAGGGCGAATGAATGAAACATACCTCATGAACAGCCAAAACTGTAAAAAGGGCCTCCACCGCGCCAGCAGCGCCCAGGAGATGTCCTATTGCGCCTTTCGTGCTGCTCACGTTGATTTCTTTTGCAGCGGCTTTGCCATGTTCACTCAGCATGAGCGTCTTGATCGCCTTGTTTTCGGCTTGGTCTCCCAGCGGCGTTGACGTTGCGTGTGCGTTGATGTAATCCACCTTCGAAGGGGGGATCCGCGCCTGTTTGAGCGCCCTCTTCATCGCGAGAAGGGCACCGCCGCCCTCCTCCAGTGGTGCAGTCAAGTGGTGCGCGTCGGCGGAATTACCGTAGCCGATGAGTTCGGCGTAGATGCGCGCCCCACGGGTTTTGGCGTGTTCGAGTTCCTGCGGCATCTATCAACACGTGTTTCTGGTTTACTGTTTCTCACGAGAATGCTGCTTTGCTTGCGCGAAGGCAGACCTACCTCGAGCACCAGACACGCGGCCCCTTCGCCAATCACAAAGCCCGCCCTCTCTTTATCGAACGGCCGCGAGCTCTTTCCCGGCTCGTCGTTGAACGCTGTCACCAGACTCCTCGACCTGGCAAACCCTCCGATCGCAAGCGGGTGGATACAACTCTCCGCGCCGCCCGCGATCATGACGTCCGCTTCTCCGGCCTGGATAAACCTTGCCGCATCGCCTATGGAGTGTGCTCCCGTGGTGCAAGCTGTCGTGACCGCATGGTTTGGACCTCGCAGACCGTAGCGCATGGAAATATGTCCAGCGCCGAGGTTGATGAGCAGCCGTGGCACAAACAGGGGGTGGATCTTGCGATAGTTGTGACCCTGGGCGTAGGCGAGCGACGTGTCGTACAGGTCCGCGAGGTTTCCTATGCCCGACCCGAGCGTCACGCCGGCCATTTCGGGATCCAGACCGTTGCCATCCTTGAAACCCGCGTCTTGAAATGCTTCCTCGGCGGCGGCGAGGGCGTATTGTGCGAATTGGGCGGTCTGGCGGATTTCCGTGGGGGAGAGGTGGTCTTCTGCCCTCCACGGCCCGTCTTCAGCTGTCCGGGGAACCAGACCGGCGACTTGACTTGGCAGGGATCTGAACTCGTCGCCGAGGTGGCGGGTTGAGACGATGCCGCAGTGGCCGTCGAGGAGGCGAGCCCACGTTCTTCGCACCCCAACTCCGAGCGGCGTGACGGCGCCCAATCCTGTCACCACGACTCTCCTCATTGTCCGGCGGGCTCCACCTCACATGTGCGAGAAACAGATGTCAGTTGCGAGGAGAACAGTATCAGTCGCGTCTTTGGTGATTCCTTGAAGCACGCGAAACTTAGAGCCTTGCACGCCGAGTCTTCCACCAATCAAAGTGGCTGATCGGTAGCCGGAGATCCCCGCTCTGCTCTGATTCGTCGCTGCTCTCTACGCAGATTTTCCCGCACACGACGCCCTATTACTCAATGGATATCCATATCCATCCATGTGTTCCCTGTGGATGATACGTAGACATGTTCTCTTCTTCATGTAGGTGATTCTGCGATTGATCTTCCTCCCACTTCCGTGACAACTCACCGTGACTTCTGCCATGTTCCTTCTGTCGTTGTCCGTTCTCCTCCCTCTTCTTCCCTTGGTTCGATGCTCCTTCTACGACAACCCGGAGCTTGAGATCCCGACCGAGTCTGGGACGCCGCTGGACGAGTTGAAAGCGAAATGGGACTTTGATGTAAGTTTCCCCCCTCCCTCGGATGGGCTCTTTAGGTGAGAGAGTACGAAATCGGGGATGGGCGTTGTCGAGCGACAGGCACAAGTTGAACATGTCGACAGTGGGGATTCTCAGGGATTTCGACCTTTGCACACCTCCGCCATGTAAAGTGTCTTACGACGCCCTACGAACCATTTGATATCGGCATCATTGGCGCACCATTCGACACGGCCGTAAGTTATCGACCTGGTAAGCACGGCCCTCTCCCGCCATCGGCACAGAACGAACGGACTACCACGAGTCCAGCGCACACACAGTAGCCAGCCATGTCGATATTATATATAGATTAGCTGATGGAGATCCTCAGGAGCCCGCTTCGGCCCTCGCGCCATTCGCGCCGCCTCAGCACGACAAACGTCCTTCCGAGGCTTCAACCACCGAGCCCATCTCAACCCGTACACGTCGTGGCCCGCGATCCTCGACTGCGGAGACATCCCCATCACGCCGTTCGACAATGCCCTCGCCCTGCACCAGATGAGCAGCGCCTACCTCGAACTTCTCTCCCGACGGCCCTTGAGCTACAGCAACCCAGAAGGACACGTTCATCCCAAACTGATCACACTTGGCGGAGACCACTCAATCGCACTACCCGCCCTGCGAGCCCTGGAGAAAGTATACGGCCAGCCGATCGCCGTGTTGCACTTCGACGCACACCTAGATACATGGCATCCCGGAGCCTACCCCAGCGCATGGGCTGAGACGTGAGTTTTGATCCTCTGTAATCTCGACTGTGCTCCCTTTTGCCCCCGCAAAACAAACAGCCAGATCTTCTACGAATCCCTACCACAAAGAGGAACAACAGAAAATAGATCGCGGCTAATGAATCCCGCTATTCCAGCCCCACGCAAGCCGACTTCACGCACGGCACCATGTTCTGGGTCGCCAGCCAAGAAGGCCTCATCAACAACGGCTCGTCCGTGCACGCCGGCTTACGCACCCGCCTCCTGGGCTCCGATTTCCACGACTACGAAGACGACGAGAAGCAGGGCTTCCTGCGCATCGAAAGCGACGACATCGACGCCGTGGGCGTGCAGGGCATCATTGATCTGATCATGGAGCGAATGGGTGAGTCAAAGCGTAGCGAAGTGAAGCGTAGCATAGCGCAGCGTCGCAAAAAGACAACCCCTAAGAGATCCACGATCATGGACGAATCCCTATATTTACGACCCCTGATCTAACCCTCCTCTCCTCGGCCACAGGAACGACGACCCCAGTCTACCTCTCCGTCGACATTGACGTGCTCGACCCCGGCCTCGCGCCAGGCACCGGCACGCCCGAACCGGGCGGCTGGACGACGCGCGAACTGATCCAGATCCTGCGGGGCGTCGAGGACCTGAACCTCGTAGGTGCCGACGTCGTCGAGGTCTCCCCCGCGTACGAGAGCGGGCATGGCGAGAGCACGGCGCTGGCGGGCGCGCAGGTCGTCTTTGAAATGCTCACCAGTATGGTCAAGTGAGTGATTAATGGTTTCCTTCTTCCTTCCTTCCCCTTTCCTTCCTTGGTTTCCTTCTTCCTTTCTTGGTTGGTTGGTTGTTCTTCGTCTATGAGTTTCACGTTGTGCGGTGTGGGGGCAGGGGTGTAATTACCTCCCTACTCCTACACATTATGCGCGTACTGTATCCGATGCGAGCGTGTATGTCTTAGCAGATTCATATCATGTGTTATGTCACGTCACGTCACGTCACGGCATGTCAGGGCATGTCAAGGTCGAGTTCGTCCTCGCTAACCACCGTATACGATCTAGGAGAGGACTGAAGGATCGAGGGGAATGGCAGCCCGAGTCTGTCGTGAAGCCAGGGAGGAAGATCGGTGGGGAGAAAGTCCCGACCGCCCAGAAGGTGGTGAAGGATGAGTTGTGAGCTGTGAGTTGTGAGATGGGGTGACGCCCAGAAGGTGCTGAGGGATGAGTTGTGAAGCTGTGAACTGTGACTTGTTAGGAATGGTGAGCTCCGTTATAGTATTGTACCTACTGAGGTGGTATCTACCTGTAGCTAGGGTCAAGGTCAGGGTCAAGGTGGATGATGAATGATGAATGAAGGGTCGAGGTCAACGTCAAGATCACACCAGCGTCAAGGTCTTTGCTTCCTCCTTCCCTGCCCTGCCCTGCGATGCTCATATCGCAGAATCCGCTCCGATCCAAGCTACTGTATTGTAGCCACATAATCTAAGAGAGAGTGCCCGGTACTGTACCGTACCTAGGTAACTTAAGAGGTACAGTAGACCACGTACTTACTTACAGTTACTATACACTGCGACTGCTAGATAAATGCTGCGAGTTGCGAGTGCGAGTCCAAGGCAAGGCAAGGAGACGCTCGTCCATGCAGCGAGCACGTCTGTTGAAAGCGTAGAACTCAATAGATTCGACGACACAGAAAAGAGCAACCAGCAGATCATATCTACCATTCGCTTCCTTGTCTTGCTTGTCTTGCTGGTCACGTTGAGCAGCTCCAGTCTATGAACCTCATGTACTGTCTCCCTGTCACTGTCACCCCTGCTGCGGTGCGACCTTTTCTGAAAGTCTGATCCGCCTGATGCTTCTTCGACATCGATCTATGCTGTGTCGCTCATCAATACACAATAACAAATGCCGTCTACTTTACACAGAATGTGCGCTTGTCTGGGCCGTGCCAGCCACGGTCGTTATCGTCAATGTTGCAACGTGCAAACTTGTAAAAGCAAATACATCATTCATGCTAGTCGCCAACTGTAACCACCCGCCTCAAAATGCTTGTAGGAAAACGTCGTCCGCCAAATTCTGTGTGACAAAACACATCTTTTGTTTGCCGTCCGACGCCATGCTTTTGATCTGAAAGTGGAAAGTTGGAATCGTGAAACGTCAAGAATCCTCTGTCGCGTGCCATCATGATTGGGGAGAATGGGCATCGTCTGCCCTTCAAAAATTGTACCTCGTCCCCTGCCTCGTCACCGGCTTTCCCTGACGGTTCAGCGGCGCGGCAGCCGCGGCGGACAATGTATTCGACCTCGTCACCTTCTCATCTTCATAGCTCACGTTCTTTCGTCCTCGTGCTCGCGGTTTCGGCAGGGGGTCAACATGTCGATGTCCCAACTCGGCCAGGGCACTGGAGTTCTTCCATCGGAGACACCGATGCGCCTTGTCGCTCACGTACGTCTTGGTCCGAGTGGTCATCCGGGTCGATGGTTCTTCCGATTCTTCACGGGGGGCAAGGTATGCCGCTCGTTTCTCCATGTGTTTGATGATGGCGTCTCGCTGCATATTGAGCTCTTTCTTCAGCTTGAGCTCCCGGATCCCGCGTGAGTCTAGCCATCCGATGAGCATGTCGAGTTCTTCCGCCGTCTCGTAAAAGCCCCACTCCTTTGCCGAGTTCAGGTTCGTCGAACCCTCCTCGAGTTTCTTTCGTTCGGCCGGAGTCATTTGGAAGCGTCGATAGTAGGCTTGCTTGTCCGGCTCGCAGATATCGATGAACCCTTCACGTTCCATGTCGTCGGGTCCCTGTACCCATATCCGACCGTTGGCGTACCCTGCATCTGCCGTGGAACTATCCGGCAGTCCGCCATGAGGCATCGCGTTTCTCTCGAACCACCAGTATCGATTGCAGAATCGGTCTTTGCCCAAGACTCGCGTCCGAGGACAATCTGCTTCGCGCAAATCACCATCCACAATAATGATGTTCTCCTCGGCCTGCTCAATCTTCTCTCGCTCCTTTTCGATCTGCTTGAGCACCTTCTGATACTCCTTGCTGCCTTTGTTCTGCTTCTCTTCCTTTGCCTTGATTTTCCGTTCCTCTTCCTCCTCACGCTTCCGCTTTCGCTCGGCGGCCCGGTCAGCACCTCGACGCAGTGATCGTGTAACAACAGGATCCTCATCCTCAGAGTCTGGAATAGAGACATCCTCGTCTTCAACTTTGGTGTTCTCCATCGCATCTTCGAGTTCAGGCATGGGAGAAGGTGACTTTTCAGGCTCGGGCGCGAGTAGTCTGCGCTCGATTTGAAGCTCTTTCAGTCTGGCCATAGCCTCCTTGCGGGCTCGCTGGTGTTCGATCTTGATCTTTCGGTAGTGAGTCATGGTGTTGCTCATCTCTTCCAAGAAGTTCTTGACGGTCTTTGTCTCGAGGAATAGCTGGCAGATGATCTGGAGTGCTTCAGCACGGAGATTGATATCCATGGTCGAGTATTGTATGCGGGCCGTGTCTATCGTGGGCTCGGCGTCCAGAGGAGCGAGATGCGACAGGACTTCGTTGCAGATGCGTGTCACTCTCGGTCTCCCAGAAAGCTGATGCAACAGTCCGACCATTACGAGCTCCCAGCCACCGTCTCTCAGATCGCGCTTCTGAAGTCGTTCAACCCAGCCGTAATCCACGAACATCTCAGCTGCGCGATGGTCAACCATTGGCACGTCTGGCTGTGGTTCTTGTTCGGGCTCAGCAAACTGCACCTTGTTGAGGCTGCTCCTCGTCCGTTTTGCCGGGTACTCTGGCTCAGGTGTTGGCGT